AGACGGTTGTGGCAGAAGTTATAGGTGAATTCGTGAAATCGGAAAAGTTTTTGTTGTGGGGATTCCGCTTAAGCTTCTATTTAATAGATAATCAGACGAAAACCAGCCTATTTAGACCGGAATCCTATAAGGAAGCCCTATTTCACCTATCCTTTTCTTAATCTATATATAAGGCCTATTTAGGTCACGTGCAGTTAAATTTATCTCTTATATGGATGATATTACTCTCTCTTTTGTATTAACTAGCCCCTGCAAAAACGTTAAGATACTGCAGCTAGTAGCTAAAGAGCTTTTTCAGCTAGCTAGTAAAAACGCAATCCAATTTAACCCGAAAAAGTCTAAACTAATTCACTTTAGCACAGGCGAACGCGCTAAGCTAGCGTCCCTTATACTCCTAGATGGGACTATAGTCCCTCTAAAGTAGATAGTTAAGTGGCTTAGTATTTACTTTAATGCTCTATTACGATTTAAGGAGCATATCACTATCTGCACTGCTAAGGCTAAGTCTATATTTAGATGTATATCTAGGCTAGCTAATAGCGAATAAGGGCTGAGTCCTACCGCTTTTAGATAGCTATACCTAGCTTATATTACTAGCATGTCTAACTATATATTACTAATTTAGTAGTAAGGCTAAGTATATGCAAAAGACTACTTATAGCACCTCTAAAATTTAGTACTATGCAAAATCCTAGGCACTTTTTAGACTAGTCTAATTTAGGCCATAGAGGTGGAAGCTAGCCTCCTACCGCCTGTAATATAGCTAGATATAGCTATATATAAATACGCTTTTCGGCTAGCTAAGCTAAGTCTAGACTATCTAGTGAATTGCTAAATTGCTAAATCTAGCTACTTAGGATATGGACTTTAGATGATTGCTAGGACTATTGCACCTCTACTTAGCAGCAAAATTGAACCTATATACTACTTCTACTTTGCCCCTTAGGACTGCTCTATCTCCTAGGATACACGAATCGCTAAATTGCTAAAAGAGGAAACTGCTACGATATACTGCTAGCAAATATAGTTACAATTGCTAAATTAGGTGTTATACTACTTAGATGGGTCGCAAATGCCTAAAAGCACTAGAATTGGAGTGGGACTAGCGGGCTATAAATGCGCTAGTTGCCCTTTTATACAACTAGCCCGAAATATAGGACTGCACTAAATCGTCTATAATGGAGAGCTAGAAGGCATTGCCCTAGCATTTGAAGATGCGATGAGACTAGGCCTAAATAGGGATATTCGGGTGTATATGGATAACCAAGCCGCTATTTATAGGCTAGCGCGGCCTTCCGATAATCCGGGCCAAATTCACTAGCTACGCGCTATTGCAGCCGCTACTAAAATAGCCTAAAACGGATCCACGCTAGCAATAGAGTGGGTCCCTAGATACTAAGATATCAATGGAAATAAAGAGGCGGATAGACTAGCCAAATTAGGGTCCAAATCACTTCCGACCACCCAGACCGCCCTGGCTGCCCATATAAGCTATGCCTATATAGGCATAAAAATCAACTAAATACGACGGCATGCGTGGGCGAATGCTCTAGCTAACAGCAAAGGCCACTACTTTAACTTTTTCAACCCACGAATTCACTCTCGAATACAGCTTCCCAAAACGGCTAGATCCACTGCTAGCGCCTTTTACCAGCTTAAGCTACGACACGGCTACTTTAGGACATACCTAAAACGATTCGATAAAACACCCACCAACCACTACATATGCAGTCACAAGCCTGAATCACTATAGCATCTTATACTATAATGCCCCGAATATAGTGAAGAACGCAAAAGACTGAAAGACAATGTCCCATTTAGGCTTAGCATGCTTAGCCTATTCGAGACGAAAATCGGACGCCAGCATCTGCTGACCTTTTTAGGTGAAACGGGTATTAGTACCCGCAAATGGCGGCTTGAACGGGCAGAATTCGATGATGACTAAGCAATACACTGCTTAGAAGTCTCACCGCCTACCTCCACTGGCCGAATCCATCGATTTTTCCTAATTTTGGCTTAGAATGCATAAGAGCGCGATTGCAGCATAAGAAACGGCTATGCTAGCTGACCGCCTTTGCTTTCTGCCACTCCTTGATTCATTTTTATTTGTTAGTTATACGTTTTTGGGGCCCTGGGGGATTTTTATTATTATGGCGTTATTGCTTTATAGACCTAGTCCGCATTAGGCTTAGTCCCACAGATTCCAACCGGAAACATATTGACATATCTCTTGACTATACCACTAGCCCGCGCTAGCATTAGGCTAGCGCCGTCCTACATAGTCTTAGACTCACACAGGACGTTAATGGAATAAATAAATAAATATATTTTAAGCTCTAATTTAAGCTTAAAAAGCTTAGAATAAATTAATGCAAAACGTAGCTATAAAGCAACCCTAGACCGTCTGGATAATATAGCGGAATGTTATACTAGCGCCATTTTATGCGCTATACATAATGCTATACCCCAAATCCGGTTAGCGCTACACGCTAAGCCTTAGTGGAACGATTCACTAAAATCACTTTGACGCGATATAAATCAGGCTAGAGAGGCCTCTAAGCAAGCGTTTTCCAGCTAGTTAAATAAGCGCTATACTAGCGCGGCCATCGCGAAGACCACGAGCATCGCCAACAACGAGGAAGCTTTCCAAAACGCACTACTAGGCGACTCTCTCGTTAACAAAGAAGTATATCAGAGTTTAGAAGTGGTCAGGAGCGAGTTTTCTACTCAAATACGTCTCTACAAAGCCATAGCATACGAAAACGACCATGGTACGTGGTTAAATGCCGTGATGGCAAGCATGAGCCTTAAATCGAGCCATCTCCTGGAGAGTATAATAATGGAAAAGCTACACCGGCGATTTGGCCGTACGAAGAACAGGAGAATAGGCTGGCTACCGCCTATCGCCATGGAGGGAGACTTCATCTGTGTCTTCGATGGTATGGAGCTCCCGTACGCCATCCGTCCAGCGGTAGACGGCCGATACCTCCTTGTTGGCGAATGCATCATCCCAGGACTCATGATAGGCGAGGCGGTGGAGTTGTCTGGTGTCGTTTCAGAAACAATCGTTCTCGAATAATTTTTCGTCTACACAATCGAACTTCTTGACATTTGCGCAGCTTGGGGCTTCGATAGCATGTCAGCCTGTCTGGGTCAATATGAGGTATGTCACTTCACACCAGAGAGAATATTATCCTAAGACCGTCGATGTAGTACGTACATGCCAGTGTGTTAACAGGAAGATACTCGTCTCATGGAAGCTTCTAGCTGAATAGCACGGCATCATTTATTAACTGTTACGCCTTTAATCAGATGCACTATTACATGTTTAATCTTGCGGACATATACAATTCCTATGATTTCTTCTATTCGTGCACCGCCATTGTTCCAGGGACGACCAAAGACGTCGCCAAGCACTGGAAACCACCATTTCGTCTCTCCAAAAGCGGGAAGGCTGTGATAGTCATTGGAGCTTCCATTGCATCATTTATCGCCTTGGTTCTGTTTCGTTAGTTGTGCCGCCAAGATAAGAATACCTCGACAAAGACGGATGCAGCTGCTGATCTTGCTCGACGGCGAACTCGTACACATGCAGACATACCAAGCAACCCCCATAAATGCATAACTGGCTATGACTTTACATAGGAAGCACGCCGTAAGCACGCTGTGAGCACGCCGTGAGAATAGCATATAACTGAGAAAGGGCATAGAAGGAAAAAGAGAAGACGGGGCAAACGCAAGCTCTATAACCACGCGCTCTTAGTATATTATTAAAGTACTAGGAAATAGTTCCGTGGATGCTCTCTATGTGATTCTAGAGATGCTGCTTATGCTACAGCCCTATTCGATAGACCTTGCACTAGAGCCGATCCCCTTCTTTAATATAGGCTAGATGCTTCTACTTAAAGTGCTTTGTTAAGTCTTCCGGACTAGCATATTTATAAGTGCGCTTTTTAATTAGCAAGCTCTACTCCTCTAAGTAGAGGAAGCAGGTCTTAGTCCTCTCCTTAGTAAACACTAATAGCATAGCGTCACTTAACGCTTGCCTCTCGGCCTAGGCGGCTACCAGCTAGGGGCTGGTCTTCTTTAATGGCATTAGACTCGTCTATTACATAGACGACCTTTTACGTGGTATAGCAGCAGCTCCCCCTTCCTGGAAGTGGTAGTAGGTAGTAATAGTATTGATAGCCGGATTACGGCGGCGGAACTCTTTTTTAATAGTCGTGCCTGAGAGCGTTATTACCATCTCCGCCAAGCGTTTCTAGAGTGGGGGCATCTTATTGTTCTGGTCTATGCTCTTTATGTCCTGGCTGAGCTTAAGCCTAGAGAGCTGCCGCTTGATCTTGTTAACCAGGTGTTCCAGATCCTAGCGCTCTTGAACGTGCTTAAGGAGTGTAGCTCTTAGCCGCTGCCTGGTGTTAAAGATCGCCTGGCCGATAATCCGGTACCCTAGCTGCTGTGTCGCTATGCTCTTAAAACGGCACTTCTATTTCTCCCGCTCTATAATAAGGCGGCAGATGATAGGATCCTGATTAATGGATAGAGATTCCTTAGGCGTGAGTTCTTGCTGCTAGTTAGGATTAATCTAGCGAGTCATCTGATAGGCCGCCTGTATTAGGTCGCGCTGAGGTTTATAGCCGGAGATGATAGCTTGCGTGTTAGTAGTAACTATCCGCTGGAGGTAGTGCTTAATAAAGGTGTTAATCTTGGCATGTTGCATTATTATATTCTGGAGCGCATCGCTTATATTACCTGTTAGTCTATAATTAGCATATTGCACTACGAGTAAGGAGCGGGGTTGTAAGGAAGGGGGGAAATAATACGCACCGCTCTGGTTAAAGGCGTTGCCTGCACTATATTGGAGGGAGTACGGACATGTGATCTGCGGGAACCTAGTAAGTACGCCGAGCCGCTTTATCCACTTTAAGAGAGTTGTATATGGTAGTGGCTGATCGGGCGAGACTTGCTAGCTATACGGCGTCCTAATAGACTTGCGGAAGACGGGGATATTAGCTATCTCCGGCTTTAGACGTAAGGGCAGCTGCTTATAGCCAGGCGGGATAGCCAGCTCGCTAATCCTCTCAGCTGATATAAGACTTGGGGCCAAGAAAGCATCGTTGGTAAAGATGAGACCCAGGAGGGCGACGTGCGGACTAAGGATTAGGGACGGATTAAAGATAATCTTAGGGAGTATAAACGTATTCCTAGCTGCTATGTAAGTTGCATGTCTCGGCTAGAATACGTGGGGAAGGGGGATGGCGGGGGAGAAGGCCCAGGGTTAAACTTACGCCTCTTTTGTACCGAGATACTTCTTCGTAAACTCGCACGTAAACTCGATCAGGACATCCGATGGGGCCCGCCACTGGGGTCCCGGAGCAGGTTTACCGCGATGTCACCATAGCGGAGCTTTAGTCACAGATTTCTCGTTAAAGATTTCTGCCATAGGCCACATAATACGTACGCTCCTAGTTTACGGCTCGGCCCGCTGCACGAGCTTAAAGTAGATAGCGGTTTTCAAGGCAAGCTATCGCGAGGCTCCAGACCACTTCTTCATGTGCGATAAAAAGTTCCAGCAGCTCCTTCATGCCACCCTCTGCTTCATACGACACTTTGTACTGCGATCGCTGCCAAGGCGAACCATGGTATACATCGTTTTTGATATGAGGTCAGTCTTACCCTGTAATTGTACATGATACGAAGTTGCCACAAGCTATATTGGCAAAGTCTGTGTTTCGTACAACAACGAACCATGTATGGATTCACCCAGGATGGTACGGACTTGGAGCGGCTGGCCGTGAAAGAACAGTGGTCTGCAAAGAGCCTAGACCCCATGAAAAGTTTGGTGACGTCACAAGCACAAATGATGACATACGAATTTTCATTGGTTAGCAGTGGAGAGTTACAGTGGAGACTTGTTCCAGTCAGCCCATTTTCCAGTACTTTGCAGTCGCCCACATCTGATGCCGTCGCATCTCTTTTCAAGTCTGCATCGCTGAATCTTTTCTTCTCAGAGAGGATATTCCGAACATCACGGTTGGTCACATTGCAATCGACTGATAATGCGAGGCGTATATTTTAGGAAAAAGTTTAAATTATGAACTGATGGCAAACTTGTCCCTTCACAAACATCAATGCCTCAAGCTCAACTCTTGCCCTGGTATGTCCCTTGCGTCTCTCCTCCAACCTTTATAGAGTCGAGATTTAGTACCTTGTTTTGTAAAGCTAGCAGGTGTATACCTCTTGACGAGAGGGTAACTTTGATCCTGAAACTTTTAGCATGTATGAACAAAAACAATCAGACCACATACGACGTCCGTCAAGCTAAGTGGCCAAGAAGGTTCACGTCTAGAGGCATATTCAAAAAGCCGTCCATTTCTCCGTACCAAGACGTAGACTTCACAGCCGTACTCGCTCCTCATCTCGTCTGCCTTCTCTACGAAGGTTTCTTTCCGTCTTCAGAAGTTCTCCGATGTACCCTTTACTGAATGTGGAGGAGGTCGTTGCTCCATGGTCAACAGCGACTATGCGGGCTCTTATGGGCGTTATTATCCAGCTCCGCCTCCAATCAAATGAACTGTAAGGTCGGATAAGTTACTTTAATCTACCATATAAAGGTTCCAAGCAAACTTTCTCAGAACACCTCCCCCAGTTTTGGGAACTACAATAGCCTGTCATGTATTAGATTGAGCGTTCATGATTTCTATCGTTTCGTAAGGTAGCGTTTCACAGTCACTTCAATTTGAAAACCAGGTCAGCACAGTAGAGCAGTGGATGACCATCTGGGAATACCCTCCAATTTGGATGACCCAGTTCTGGTTACTATGCTCTAAGAAAAAAGGTCAGCACATGTTAAGTAGGGTGACCATCGATGAACCTTTTCTCACTCTAGGTCAGGCTGATCTTTTCTTAGGGAACAGATCAGCGTATGATCGGCTGACCACTTAGGATCGATTCTCCAAGAATGGGTACGGCTAAGTCCAGGAGACAGAACTTCGGCATCACCCGACACTACATTTAACGTCTCGGATCTCATCTAAAAGCTGCAAAAATTCTCATTGTTGCTAGTCAGAGAATGCCAAATTTGTTTGAAGACTTCACTATTAGGATTTGGCTTTCACCAAAATCACCATCGTTGCCTCCTCTAACTAACCAGCTGACAAAATTAGATTAGATTGTAATGCGAATGCTCCCGAAGGGTTTTTAGAGGTTAAGTATTATTAAGAGGCCTTGGCAAGCATGTATGCTAAGTTCAATGTCCAAGACCGTCTTTAAGCCCAGTTCCACGAGAAGGAATTCAAGCCGAGGGTCCACGCGAAACTGAATTTACTCGAGTGCTTTTACATCAAGCGTTTGGAGTTTGTTAACGATGCATCAACGTTCTCCCCCGGCTGGTCGGGACACTTATCGAGACGGCAAAGTTCCTCGGAGCTGAGAATTGCGCAATTTCGATTGTGGAGGGATGCTCGAAAGATGGTACATATAAAGTCTTGCTCTCCGCCAACGAGGAGATCCAGAAGTTGGGCATACAATACCATTTTCAATCCAGCACATTAAACCCTAAAAAAACGGAGCGCATTTCCACACTAGCAAAACTACAGAAGCTAGCACTCGATCCATTGGCTAAAAGCCCCGAGAGGTACCATCCCGATACCACGGTTGTGTTCATCAATGACATTACATTGTGCATGGAGGACCTTTTGGAGCTCATACATCAACGGACTTACCTGCAAGCCGACATGACTTGTGCTATGGACTGGACATATGTTGGGCCAGACCCTACCTTCTACGATGTGTGGATTGCACGAACCATAACTGGTAATACATTCTCTAAGATTGGCTCGGACGGGAACTGGAATTCGGCGTGGAATCTCTTCTGGGACGATTCGACTGCCCGGGAGAGATATCAAAATCACAAGCCCTTCCAAGTATTTTCATGCTGGAATAGCGCCACAGCCTTCACAGCGAAACCATTATTAAAGCAGAAAATTGCATTCCGTTCAGCCAACAATGAAGAGTGCTTTCAAGGCGAACCTAGACTGTGGTGCAAGGACATGTGGCATTTGGGATACGGGAAGATTGCCGTTATCCCAACAGTAAATGTGGAGTATAGTGATGAGGCAACGAGGAAGATCAAGGATTTGAAAGGCTATGTCTCGCATTGGGTACCCCAAGATAGCACGATTGACACGGCGGATTGGATCAAGTGGAAGGCAGATCCTCCCGCTGAGGTCAAGTGTATTACAGATCCGGACTATTCAGCTCAACATTTTGTTCCTTGGGACCAAGGTTTATCATGAGAAGATACTTAAAGAGTCAAAACTGGCCCACTTAGTATTTTACTTGGCCGTGTTTTTACTTGATGCGGAAGTTGATAAGTTAGAGTAGTTGTGAACGATTTCTTCTCCCTCGGGACTCCACATCACATTCGAACCCTGCAAATCAACAGCACCGAGTTGGAGCTGATCCATGAGCTATTTATGGACGTATATGAGCAACATGATCAGCAATTCAAGGTGTTGACTTTCCAGGAAGCGAAGGGCGTTGTGGGGATCAGTTATCTCAAGATGAACGACCACACTCAGTTGACCTTATTAACAATTGCAGGTTGTCGAGGCCTTTTCGTCTTCGATCACAGGCATTAAGCGCCCATACGAAATATCGACGCGGGCCACATGCCAATGTGTCGATTCGTGAATCGAGATGACAAGGGCTACAAGCAAATATCAGGAGGGATTCAGATTCTTCACACAGGAATAAAACGGAAAAGCAGGTCTTCTCAAATGTGATTGGAGAGATAGGGAACTCGAACACACGCTCTTAGGGTCAAGTGACCATTGGCTCTATAGCACAAGCACAATGTATGTAGTCTCAATTCTCGATTACAGATCATAGCAGCCGAATGCCCTGTGATAGTCGGTTGCAAAATTGGCTTCCCCTTATAGGATTTCAACGTTTTCAGGGACTACAGGGTAAAATTGCGTCAGGAACCACAGCGAAGGGGGTAGCTATTTGCCACGCAAATTCTGTTGCTATACCATTTCGACCCTCTGTAAAGTAAGGAAAGGAGAAAAATAACACATCAGTAATGACCTTTAGTCCTCCAGGCATGCCCAAATCTTAGAATTGTTTGTCGAGTTTCGACACTCAATTTTTCCTGTCGTCGTCGTCTCGCAACACTTGCATTCGATATGCTGATCCCAATAGCCACGGCAACGTAATCGACCAGCACTGGGCGGAAAGTGGGAGAATATATCTTGTTCATTGCTTAACCAATAATTTCTATGTGGGAGGGAGCTCTCAATAAATACACATGGGGCAAGTTGAACAACTGATACCACTTCAAGATTTAGGACAGCACATCAATGCCGTACCTCTCGTAGTTGAAATGTTCCAAACTCGGTATGCTTTCAGCCCAGCCGTCATCAATCTCTCCTAGCTGCCATTTATCTCCAATCTCAAACATTCCAGTCCTTCCAGCCAGCACATCCTTCTGCCTCGCTTGATACTCGACCGCTACATCTAGATGTGGTACCCAAACAACCCTCATCCCAGCCCGTCTTCCAGCCTCTACCCCAGCCACACTATCTTCGAAGACTAAACATTCGTTGGGCATAATGGCCCTTTCGCCAGAGTCTGCCGTCGCGTTTAACGACTGCAACGCAACTTTATATATGTCAGGCGCTGGCTTCCCTCGACCCTGTCGCACTCGTGGGTCATCACCCAGAATCCGCCTGTCGGACCGGAAGAATTTAAGCAGCCGTTTGGTTTCCGGCTTCGAAGTCTTCAACTCGTAGCTATAGCTCTTGGTGCTGGATGCCAATGCCAGCTCGATCCAATCCCCAGAGGAAGTACTACGTGCACTCCTAAGGTTCGACAGAAGCTTCTCCGCACCAGGCAGCGGCTCGCAATCCGGAAAATGCAGGCGCATTTGTTCAGACGATTCACGGGCGAATTGTTCGCGGGAGATGGGCAACTTGGCCCAGTTGTGGAATACGTCGCCATTTGTCGAGTCTGGGACACCCATGAGCTGAGCCCGAATCGACCGAGTCAAGACAGGCCTCCCATACTTTTCAAGAAGGTGGTTGATGGACAAAGTGATTATGTCTTCGGAGTTGATGAGCAGCCCGTCCATGTCGAAAATGCAGGCGCGGACTGCTGGGAAGCTGGTGGCAGTCTTTGTTAGCATCGGGATTAACGGTACCTACCCTTTTATGTTCGCGACTAATGATGCCCATACTAAAGGCCATACATCGATGACTCTATTGGCGGGCACTTACTCTGTCTCAAGGGAAGCCATAAGTACTGAATAAAGGCCAGCTTTGATCCGAATTGATGGCACCGTTATCAAAATGATAAATGGGATCTGAAGTGGGATTTAGGTCTCGGATTCCGACGTAGTGTTTTCTAAATTTGGGTACGCTGTGGCGGTGCGCCACAGCCCAGGTGAATACTACGTTAGTCCTACCTGGTGGTACTTTGACAGCAGTCGAGCCGACGCCAATACCGCACTAGAAATCCGGGCCGCTGCCGCTTGGAAGCATGTGCGCCCACCGGGCGCCTAACTAAACATGTTTTATGGAAATAGTATGTATATGCATTGGCGCAGGAGTTCGTGCCGCGCGCGAGGCCTTGTCCTTAATTTGCATCAGGTTTCAGGACTCGGCCTCCTTCTTCGCAATGATAAAGACTTCACCATGATGATGTGCAGTGTTCAGTACTTGCAGCCTCTGCGTACCACGATCGAATATGGAGCGCAGAAAGTCCGCACGTAAGGTCTCACTTATCCTACCATCTGCCTGCAACTCATGGCCTCACTAACCTTGTTGTCTGGACAGTTACACCTGAGAATTACACCAGAGCAATCGTCTCGCTCTTAAGAAGATATTCGAGCACCTCTGTCTTCCCGGGAAACAATTATGTCGACATTGGAGAATGGTTGCTACAAGACCGTAGTCTTCTCAACTCGGCGAAAGCGCAAGAAGATACCGTCCTTTTCGCTTCCAAGTCTAAGCAGCCTTACAATCTAGTCGTGGTATACAACAGCGGGGAAAGCAAGTGGGATATGCAAAATTGTCGCAATATGGCATCTTGGTAGGACTCGTCACGTGAGTCACGTGAGGGACTGCTTAGTTATTACAAATGTGTGAATTAGTAAATGTCTCCTGGTAGAGATAATTATATAGAATAACTTTCTTAACTTTAATATAATATAATAAGAGCTTTTAGCTACTACTTTATTTTATTTATTTAACTATATATAGCTTCTATCTCTTAATACCGCCTACTTCTAATAGGTTATAAGCCCGGCTTATGCTATAAAGAGATACTCTCTTTAAAATCTAGTATAAGGCAGCTGGTTATAGAGTATTAAAAATCTCTATATTATACCTAGATCTTAAGATAGCCTTAAAGTATTTTGCTTAACTATAATATAAAGAGTAAGCCCTAGAAGTAAAGCATAAGCTATGCCTATACTTAGCTTACTAAGTCTTAACCGGAGAGCGCTTACTTTTCTTTAGATCTAGATAAAAATTCTTCTCTCTCTTTTATTAAACTTATTAAATACTATATTAAGCTTCTATATATATATAACTCACTTATAATAAAGAAGATCTATAAGATATTTTCTAAGATAGCTAAGAAAAAGAATAAATTAGAGCATATAATATAATAGCTTAAGAGCATATTATAAGCAGCTTAGAACTATTTATCTAATAAATTATTTAAGGAATTATAAAAGAGTATAAAGAGGAGAATTAAGATAGTTATTATAGCAGATAGATAGCATACTAAATATTAGACTTAAAAATTAATATAACTTAATAAATTTTAGTTCTCTAGAAAGCTATAACTCTAGCAATTTTAAAATATTAAGAATTACTTGATTTAAATAATTATTAGTCTAGGAATAGAAATATTTATAATAAGAGAAAAAATGGCATTCTTGCTAAATCTCAGTTTATATATTATAAGTTGATTAGTATTATAATAGAGAGAAGAGAGAAGACTATAAAGTTCTAGAAGTTAAAAACCCTTCAGATGAGCTGTATTCACTTATTTTTCAAGTGAGAACTATAAAGGTAGGCTTAAATAAAAGCCGAGATTAAGATAGTTAATATGCTAGCGCGATCATTCGATTTAGACGGTTGTAGCAAAAGTTATAAGTGAATTCATAAAATTGGAAAAAAAATTAATTTTAATATTACTCTTAGATTTAAAACTCTTTTAGATAGCCTGCTTTTACTTATTTTTCAAGTAAGAACTATAAAGGTAGGCTTAAAAGAAAGCTAGAGTTAAGATGGTTTAAACGCTAGCGCGATTATTCGATTTGCATAATTGGTTTAAAAGTTATAAGTGAATTTATTAAAATCGGAAAAGTTTTTATCTCTTTAGTTAATTATTCATATATCAATTCAGGCTTTTGCTCTGCATACTCTGCATTTGCCCCGTGACATATACAAGAGTCTAATATAGGACGATTAAAGATATAGTCTTGATTATATGTATATGCATCTATGGCAGAGGCTCTGCCGCTTCCCCGCCGGCCCCCTCACGCCAGCTCAGATTCGCTCCGGTGGGATAAACAAATAATCAGAACCAAGTTTCTAGTCCGCTCCCCAGAAGACCCCTAGACTTATGCAAGCTTTGAATTCAACATGCATGGAGAACGCGGGGAAATGAGGGGGTTTCAACTAGACAGCTGCTCTTATTTGTGTTCAAAAGGCCTTCAATCCCCAACTGTCAATTACTTCTTACCTCTCGCTATTAAAAGGTCGATATGTAGCATCTGACCGCAGGTTGATTCGAGCTACCCGATCTCAGTTCTCTGCCCCTCAAGATGGAGTCCACGCAAAAGAAATTTAACAACTCACACCTTGAAGATGCATTTATTCATCCACCTACAATAGTCGACTCTATCGACACGAAGAACCATCTGCTAGCCAAACAAGCTGCTCTGGACGAGCATAACATGACAGTTAGGGAGGCTCTCCGCACGTACCCCAAAGCAGTCATGTGGTCCCTCCTGGTCTCGACGTCAATCATCATGGAAGGTTACGATCTCGTGCTTATCAATTCCTTCTACGCCCAGGAAAGCTTTGCCCGGAAGTATGGAGATTTCGTCCCAGTCTCTAGTTCCTACCAAGTCTCGGCATCTTGGCAGGCTGGTTTAAGTAATGCTATTGGAGTCGGAACAATCATTGGTGCATTTGCCAACGGATATTTTACCCAGAGACTTGGTTATCGAAAGGTGCTACTCACGTCACTTGCAGCCATGGTGGCTTTCATCTTCATCACATTCTTTGCACCGAACCTTCCCGTTCTTCTTGGTGGAGAATTGCTTTGTGGCATACCGTGGGGTGTCTTTGCTACAATGGGACCAGCATACGCATCGGAAGTCTGCCCTTTGGCCCTTCGAGGTTATCTCACTGTCTACGTCAATCTGTGTTGGGCATTCGGACAGCTCATCTCTGCTGGTGTCCAATCGGGATTATCATCTAACAATACACAGTGGGCTTACCGGATTCCCTTTGCAATCCAATGGATCTGGCCCTTTCCACTGTTTGCCGTTCTCTACTTTACCCCCGAGTCCCCATGGCATTTGGTTCGTGCTGGAAAACTGGAAGACGCTGAAAAGAGCGTGATTCGGCTCGCATCTGCAAGTCGAAAAGATAATGCAAAGCAAACCATCGCCATGATGGTCCACACAAATGAATTGGAAAAAGATATCGATGCAGGTACTTCGTATTGGGACTGCTTCAAGGGAATTGATCGTCGACGTACGGAAATCGTTTGCATGGCTTTTGCCGCCCAACCATTCTGTGGCTCTGTAATGGGAGGAACACCAACCTACTTCTTCGTCCAGGCTGGTTTGCCAAACTCTATCTCTTACAAATTATCTGTGGGGGGACTTGGCATAGCATCAGTTGGCACTATAATATCTTGGTTCTTACTCCACACCTTCGGTCGTCGTACTCTCTATCTCTGGGGACTTGCTGGGCTGACAGGCATCTTATGGATCGTCGGCATTATCAGTGTAACAGCCAAAGACTCCGTGGGTGGTAATTACGCACAAGCGACTATGATGCTTTTCTGGCTATTCGTCTACTACCTGACTGTAGGACCTATCTGCTACGCCATCATTTCCGAGACATCCTCGACTCGCCTGCGTAACAAGAGCGTGTGTCTATCCCGGATCGCATACTACATAGCCCAGATTGTCACCAACGTTGTCAATCCGTACATGCTTAACCCTACTGCGGGTGACTGGAAAGGGAAGACGGGGTTTTTCTGGGGAAGCTTTGCGTTTTTGTTCTTCATTTGGACATTTTTCCGCTTACCAGAGACTAAAGGCAAGACTTTTGAAGAATTGGATCTCCTTTTTGCGGAGAATGTGGGGTCAAGAGACTTTTCTAAGAAGCGTGTTGATCCTTATAAGGAAGATGCCGTGGCTCAAGTAAAAACGAACTAGACTGCTAGGTGAAAATTTCGAAAGGGAAGCTTAAGCGCATGATTTGCTTGGCTGTGGATTTGGTTGGATAATAGCAAATTACATACTTGGAAAGCAATCCAAAGGAAAGCTTTAAATCTCAAACTTGTAAGCATTATTATTTATGATGCTTGTCAGAGGGCAAATCTAGGTAGATTAGGTAAATTGAAACAGTGTGATTTCTTTATACCTACGTTATTAATATTATTCAAGCTATTAATAGCAGGGTCTAGTGGCCCGCTTATGGCTTGTACAATAAGATATTGTTGAGTCTAAAGAGCAATCCTGCGGGGCTGTAGTCTGTAAATAGGAAGTGAAGTTACCCCTGAACTAAGCCTAATCTAGAGGTTACGCTTTCCCAACTGACACAAGAAGAGTAATAGGAGATGGGTATGATAGCAGATAGTAGCTCTACTGTTCTCGACAAAATCTCCTGAACCACAGCCATGCATGCATACTTAGCAAAGCAGCACAATTAGGTAAAGTTTACTGGTTCTTGTTGGTTACGCATGCCGTTACTCTAGGAGCCCTACCCCCCAATCTACCCCCTACCCTGTTCCGGCGGGGTTGCCCAATACGCGAGGTCCATGTTATAATTTTTAGCGGGGCTCCGGCGGGGTCACAGTTGCATTGCTACCTAGGTATGTTCAGGTGATTGCTGGTGCTGAACAATTGGCCTTGAGTTGAGCAAACAACCAACACTATACCCACAACCCCGTTGCTGTTCTACGTTGTCATACTTGCTTGATTCGTGTCCACGAACCATCGTTGCGGCGGGGTAATGAGGTGCAGTATTACAGTACTCCTCCCCTCTTCCCCTCCTAACCTTCGCTCCGCTATGACTACCTATGAAAAGTCAAATGGTTCTCTGAATATTTTCGGATTTGTTCATATCACTCAGACTTCACCATGTTTTTCAGAGAGGGAGACTGCCTTGTATTCCGCTACGACGCAGAGCAATTGCGGCTTCAACCATGGGGCGACAACGCGCTGCGTGTTCGTGCTACGAAGAAGAGCAAAATACCAGATGAAGACTGGGCGTTGCATATCAAACCATCAACTTCCTCCGCAGGTCAAATTGCCATCAAAGACAATGTAGCATTCATCAGCAACGGCAAGATCACGGCTACAGTCACAAAGCTAGGGAAGCTCACAATAACCAATTCTCAGGGGAAAACGTTGTTAGAGGAATACACACGCAACCGTCGCGATCCTCTAGATCCAAAATGCAGCGCCCTTGACATCGAAGGGCGCGAGTTCAAGCCTATCACCGGTGGTGATTACCACGTCACGCTGCGACTTGAATCTATTGACCCCAATGAAAAAATATTCGGGATGGGCCAGTATCAGCAGCCATTTCTCGACCTCAAGGGCCTCGATATCGAGCTTGCCCATCGAAACTCACAAGCAAGTGTGCCATTTGCCCTATCCTCCCTCGGCTACGGCTTCTTGTGGAACAATCCTGCTATCGGACGCGCTGTGCTAGGGAAGAACATTATGAGTTTTGAGGCATTCTCGACAGATGTACTGGATTACTGGCTTGTGGCAGGAGATTCTCCAGCTGAGATTGAGGAGGCGTATGCAAGTGTGACTGGGACTGTCCCTATGATGCCTGAGTATGTTGTCTTCCTATCGCCATGTCGTAGCAGCGTTAGCGTTTACATCGGATCCTGCTAAACACGAACACGTAGGTATGGCCTCGGCTTCTGGCAATGCAAACTTCGCTACCAGACACAAGAGGAGCTTCTTCAAGTTGCGCGAGAATACAAAAGGCGCCAACTGCCGATTGCTTTGATTGTAGTTGACTTCTTTCATTGGCCAAAACAGGGAGAATGGAAATTCGACCCTACTTACTGGCCGGATCCCGGTAACTTACTTTGCAACATTCTTCTAGTCTGTACAAAGCTAATTACACCTAGACGCAATGGTTCGAGAGCTTACTGAAATGGGGATTGAGCTGATGGTGTCAATATGGCCTACTGTTGATAAAAAGTAAGTATATTTCCTGTGATACATCAAAATGATGCTGCATACTAAACTTAAATCTATAAGGTCTGAGAACTATCAGGAAATGATAGAGCACGGCTATCTGATCCGGACAGATCGAGGAATACGAATCGCAATGGACTACGAGGGAGAAACCGTTTACTACGACGCAACTAACCCAGCGGCACAGAAGTATGTGTGGGAGAAAGCCAAAAAGAACTATTATTCCAAAGGCATGCATCACTTGTACCCGGCTTCTTATTCTGTTTTCTAGCATTACATTTACTTTCCTTTTGCAAGATATGTTACTAACCTCAGAATAGGCATTAAGGCCTTCTGGCTTGATGAAGCAGAGCCTGAATACAGCGTCTACGATTTCGATAACTACCGGTACCACCGTGGTACTAACCTGCAGATTGGAAACATCTACCCCTCCGAATACGCACGCACATTTTACGAGGGTCAAGAAGCGGCCGGTCAGAAAAATATTGTTAATTTGTTGAGGTGCGCATGGGCAGGAAGCCAACGATTTGGAGCCCTGGTCTGGAGTGGTGATATTGCTTCCTCTTGGGGAAGTCTTCGCAACCAGCTCGCAGCAGGTCTTAACATGGGCATTGCTGGTATCCCGTGGTGGACGACAGACATCGGTGGTTTCCATGGGGGAGATCCCAATAACGAAGCTTTTAGGGAGCTCTTCGTTCGCTGGTTTCAGTATGCGATGATCTTGTATTCTGCCAATGTAAACATCCGTGGCTAATGACAAACCTTGCAGATGGGGCACCTTTTGTCCGGTCATGCGACTCCACGGCGATCGGGAACCACGCCAGCCCCAGCAAGGCACAACCGGGGGTGCCACATGTTGTTCTGGCGCTGACAACGAGGTCTGGTCGTATGGGCCCGACGTGTACGAAATATGTAAGAAATACATGCTCATCCGAGAGCAGTTGCGGAGCTACACTCGCGGTCTCATGGAAGAAGCTCACAGGAAAGGCACACCTATTATGCGTCCTTGCTTCTACAATTTCCCTGGAGATAAGACGAGCTGGGATGTGCATAGCCAGTATATGTATGGCGACAAGTATTTGTGCTGTCCGGTGTTGGCGCCCGGAGTAAGAGTTATTGACATTTATCTGCCTGCTGGGACTGAGTGGCAATCATTTGTTGGGGAAACAAGGTATGCGGGTGGCCAGACGATTCAGGTAGAATGTCCTTTGGGCGATATGCCTGTGTTTATACGGCAGTAGTCAACTGCAGGTATATGAGTTATCGCACAGCACTTCGGCGTGCAATTTCACATTAAATATATATATACACCCAATAGAAAGATGTAGATTGCAATGATTCCAATAATAGTCTTTGGAGATCGCTATACGTATTTGAAGAGTATTTCAATGAGGATTTTAATTTTATCGGCGATTTACTAAATCCATATTGTTTCAAATCTTAATTACTCGATCCATTTGTTTAATGCTTTTATTACTCGATCCATACTATTTCCCTTTAAATTTAATTACTAAATCCATACTATTTCTATAGATCCATACATTTCCATCTTTACTAGCAAAAACTGATATATCTACTACTAGTAATAGAAGCTTATAACTTTATATAGCTTCTAAGATATTAGCATACTAGCATATAGCTATAATAAGTGCTTATATATCTTATTAGAATGCGTATATCACGTGTACCACGTGATCTTAGCCCTAATAACCAAGCAGTATTAAGGCCTTTCACTTTATCGCTGCATTCTTAGTAAGAACCTCTTTTACACCTAGAAATGCAATAATAAAACTATAGATTACTAGGCTAGATAATTATATGTAAGGTTATATGATATATGTGATATATAAATTCTAATACTTCTAGCTTATTATTAACCTCTTTAATATTATATACATGTCTTCATTACTAGTAGATAATAGTATAATGCTATGCTAGCACTAATTCTAAGTATAATAGAGCAAACTACTAGTAGAAACTAAAAAGTGTATGGATCGAGTAATAAGGCTTTAAACAATATGGATCGAGTAATTAAAATTTAAAACAATATGGATTTAGTAAATAATCGTTAATTTTAAGGTCAAAACTCAACTCCTTTGTAAGCTGGATGGGGTAGGATACACCGACGCTTCCCCGCTTCCCCGCTCCCCCCCACGAAATGAAGGCTGTAGAAAATCTTTTAACCCAAGAACACCTAGATCTGCTGTTCTCTAAAGCTATCCCCGTCCGCCATGCCTTTCTCTTCATCGTGCATATCGATCGCATTGAATTATATTATCAAACAAGATTGATATGATACAATGCCACAATCCTCGGAGCAGCCCACCTTCAGATGCGGAAGCTGTGCATCTACTTTTGTTCGCCGAGAACACCTCAACCGCCACACGAGAACCCACACTAAAGAAAAGCCATTCCAATGTTCGAGCTGTGGAAAGGCCTTTGCAAGAGCGTAAGCCTCTGCCTGTCTTGTCCCGCTAGCCTCGAGATATTGACATAACACTCGAAGCGATATTCTTCGGCGCCACGAGCAGTCGCATGCAAGTGCAAGTGATGAAAACGGGACAGGAAAGAATCTCAAACCCGGAACTACCTTTAGAGCTTGTACTGCTTGTGCTAGTAGTCGGGTCCGGTGCTCGGGTGGTGCACGCTGTCATGGCTGCGAGAAGAAGGGGCTAAATTGTAAATACCCCACCACCTTAGCTCCCAAACCAAAGCCTAGTTCGACTCAATCGAGTAGCATCCCTGGGATGGATAGACAGAAACATACACGGAACGATACTCCTGGTAGAACACAGGCGGCTGAAATGCCCTTCGAGAACGTTGTGCCCGTCACTGAAAGTAGTCCAGGCTTCCAAATAGTCGCATCTCTAGCTACGAACTCAGTAGCTGATAATTCAGGAGCCATATTCCCACCAGCGTCGACACCTGAGATACAATGGGATTCTAGGTGGATGAACCACCCTACCTACTTGCAATATAATCAATTTCCCATCAGTAATTCAGTTCTGGCTTTCGAATTCGACCTCCAGCAAGAAGGCTCTAGTCAGTGGCAGGACTCCATCAACTGGATATCCCCCAGCAACGATGTCTGGAGAAATCGCGATTACGAGGTCTTTCCCGTAGCTGATCTTGATCCTGCTCCGTCTTCTGCTTCTCCGCCTATTTTTGATGCCACTCCTGGCGAGGGAGCTCTAAATCTTGAATTGGACACCAGGCAGTGGAATCAGAACGCGCCAGTGAATTCTGCGCCATTTGGAATAACGGCTGCTGAAGAAAATAGCCCAGGTGTTCCATCGACAGCGCAATCAACGCACTCTGTAACAGGTCAGGCTTCGAGAACGACGGGCTCTGAGGAATCAATGTCGCCTTCTCTAGGATCATATGTTGACAGTATAGGAGCTCGGGACACTGTTCGGAGGCTTCGCAAGAAGAGAAAACACTCCAATGTTGAAGATATCATCTCACCAAGTCATTGCTCCAGATTCAATGATATATCTTTGACTGGTACCGCGTTAGAAGAGGAACTGCGACGGTCAACTCATTGGGTGTCTCCTGATCTATACAAGAACATAGTTCAAAATGCACAACTCCTGGGAGTCAAAATTTCAAGCCAGTTTGATTTTGATACTTTCCCCTCTAATATGCTTATCAACAAGCTTTGTCAATTGTATTTTGACCATTTCCATCCAAACTTTCCACTTCTGCAGAAGGTGGCTTTCCAACCCGTGGACGAGGTTTGGATCTTAGTCATGGCAATAGCAGCAATCGGAGCACAATATACACCTTCTGCAGAGCTGGCAGGCTTCAAGGGAATGCTAGATCACACAGTTCAGCGCGGTCTTGAAGTAAGGATACATAGCAAAATTTCATCTAACAACACCACCTCTTCAGATCCCTTTCCTGGTACAGCTGCCGTGGACGATATAACTGTCATTCAAGCACGGATTCTGAATTCTGTGATCATGATTCACAGTGGTAATTCATCTTTGATGGAGAAAGCACTCTCGGACTTCACCGCTCTCGTTGCCGCTGCTCGTCGTATGCACTTGCTAAAGTCTGGGTCCCGCAAAACCTTAGTGGAATCTAATGCAATTGAACTTCAGCTGAGATGTAGAGCCGGGTATATGATATGGGTGAGCCCCGTCGCAAAGCCTTTCTACTCTCAACTGAGGACCTTTTAGATGCTGGACTTCACATATTCTTACGAATTCGATCAGCGTCATCATTTTGACCTTGCAGATGCCCAGGCACCTTTGTCATGCTTCGGAGAAATATGGGAAAGCTATCCAACCAAGGAAGATACTACCCCAGGTACAAGTTGTATGTTGAAGGAACTAAAGCTCTATGCAGTAGACGATGACTAATTAGCCTCCTTAGATACATTATCCCAGGCCCTCGAAACATTATACACTGAAAAGCGCCTAATTGACAATCTCGGCGAATTTGACCGCGTTCTTTTAGTTCAAGCCATCTGCCGACAAACTATAGAAGTCCGCCAGCATGTACGGAATAGAATGTTCTCTTGGACGCCAAGTGCGACATCCCAACCGGGGGTCCGCTTCCCAGACACCGAACTATGGCCCCCTTCATCACAGACCTTCTCTAAATGGCGCAACAGCGCCTGCGACTGCCTCGATATACTCCACTGGTCCGCCAACAGCAAGATTGCGCAGTTGGCCGGCTTTGAGCATCCGACTGTCTTGCATCTGCATCTCGCGAGACTTATAATTCTTACGCCTAGCGACGCCATAAGAGAATTTGCTAATGCTTACGTCTCGGGCACGAGGTTTCATCCCGAAAAGAACAAATCTGCTTACACGGTCCTGCAGTGGTTGGTCAGAGACCAGTACAAGGCCCGCTTGTCTGTCGTGCACGCAGCGGCCATATTCTGGTACATACGCCGCTACAGCCGCAATCTGTTCTTGGAGCCCTTCGCTGCCTACCTGTCCACGCTTGTGCTCTGGGCCTTCAGCATCATGGCGCAAATAGCCCAATCACAATCCCACGACATCCAGGTCGAGGACAAACCGTTATCGGAAGAGGATTCGGACTTTGATTTGGAGTTTATAAACCTTGATAGGCCGTGCGATGATGAGAGTGTGCAAACATTTGTGAGACGCGGCCATAAGGTGACGGCTAATATGGCGCGGGTGGGTAATATTTGTGGAGCGGGGGCGCCGAAGAGGATTTTGAAGCAGGGCATTAGGGTTTTGGGCAGCGGTGAAGAGGAAAGTGTGGATGCGTGGGGGGTTGCTGGGGGGTATGTGACGGAGTTGAAGAGGCTTATTAGTGCAAGTAAAGCCGCAGCCTCTTCGAATGCGGATAAGGAGCATTAGATCTATTGAGAATAATACAGGTAGTAGTATTAATAATACAAATCAATTTCAGAATACATGTCAGAGTATTAGCCATATTCATGACAAATGATAGAGCATGTTAAACAATACTTTTTTCTCTTGTCCACTTTTCATAACCCTCCCTCAACCCCACCTGATTCCTATCCTAGTTTATTCTCCTCCATCAAGTTATAACCGTAAACAGTCAATCAAACTTGAAACTTGCGACTCTTTTCTACCGGCTATGCTAATTCTTAAGCGAGGGTAAAAGGGGGCTGAGAAATCGCCACGTGACGAGCTCCTTTCTGGCCCTACGTACGGCCCGCGGCCTTAGTTCAGCTCGGACAACCTGATAGCAGCTTAGTGGAACCCACTTTCTATTCTACAATGCTGAGGTCTGTAAAACTTACCCAAAACCTCCTCTGCAAAAATTTCTCACCTGGTAGTAGTAGCACAATCCAGTTCGATGCCGATCTAAGAATACCATCTCCAGATCTTAACGCAAAATCTCGGAGGCCGGCGGCAACCAATGAGCTGGCTGACCCCGCGCGACGGCGTAACATAGCCTGGAGTTGGATTACTATGTATTACAATGTGGAAGCTTTTGGAGTGCGGTCTACGAAAGGTGCCGCCTCGTTGATTGGTAGTTATTTGCAGGTAGACGCTAAGTGAAGGCGTTGTAATCATGGTTTCTATACCTTGTTTCAAACGATAATGTTTATAGTTATTGAAGCCGTGCTGTCGATATGGAAAACAGTTCAATTTAGCCGGGTACAGGCTACGAGTTTAGTAGCGAAGTAAAGACAAGCGGGTTTATCTGAAACTAGACTAGGAGGGTTTTAATGTCGAAGCTATAAGCGACCTAAAATATGAAATTCAAGTTGAGACTTAGAGTCAGCGTTATAATTAAAGCCTGAACTATCATTAATATAGGACCCTGGCTTAGTTTTAAAAGCACATACTAGAAAAACTTCTTAATATTCCGGAAAGAAGATATACATTCTAGTTTATATATGAATTACTTGAAGTTGAAGATATATTCTACTAAGAATGGTTAAATTCTAGTGTAGAGCGCTTGCTCCTCCTTGGCTTCTTGGCGAAAACTATATAATCAGCTGCTGCGAAGTTATGATTTCCAAAATTTCGAAACCTCTTCTGCAACGCGTAGATAAAACCCCCGGAACTAGCGACTGCAGATTCTTCTACTAGCTATGAAAATAGTGGTCTGTATATAATATTTAGCAACCGAAAGGTTTTCATCTAGCACAAGCAATATAGATTGCTAATAATTTATTCCGAAGGGACGCCTCACAAACGCCAATGCTTCCTTCCAAAATGCTTGCCTTCCGTCCATTTTCTTTTAAATGCCATACTCACACATCTTCATTCTCCCAGTCCTTCTCCTCATACGTACTCTGCGCTCGCCCTCCACTTAAATCCAACTTGGCGAGAAACTCGGGTGGGACGGTAGGTATGTATTTGCGCTCTCGCTCGCGGTTCAAGCCTCCGAAACCGGCACCGTAGCTGATGAGCATGTCGGTGCTTGAGGGTAAGGAGAAGGGTAACATCATTGCTGGATCCAGAAGGAGGTGCTCGGGCGCATCGTCTTCGTCTTCGATGGGTAGCTCATCAGCAGGTAACGGCTTCAAGGCATTTGGAATGATCGGTTTCCCGTTTGTATCGGGTGTCGCAGGCGTCTGTCCATTGCCATTCTTCTTGGGCGTTGTGGTTGGGGAGGCCGCAGCATTTCGTTGTCGCTCTTTCCGTAATTGTGCCTCTCGCTGCAGGTTGACCAAATACCTCATTGCGCTTTTCGGTAGACCTTTCTCTCCGACCTCAGGTCGATAGTGCTTCACGGCATGGATCAGTTGTTGGTATGTTAGTCTGGTCAGTTGCTGTAGAGTGCCAACCAGAGCTTCCAAATCATCCATTCCTAAGGATGAAAAGCACTGTAACCATTGGAGTAACTGAATGACGGGCGCAAGATGCCTTCGCGCCGCCTCCACAGTTGGCTCACCACTCGAAGTCATCGAGCCATGCTCGTAATGCTCTGGTTGGCGGTTGTTCGAGCGAGCCCATTCTTCAAGACTAGAAATGTTCATCCGAATCTGCATTGCTTTCGTCCTTGCGAGATACTTTCGATTTGACATGATGCGGTTGAAAAGTTCTGCGCCAAGCCAGTATAACAACTGTGCAAGGATTTGAGCGATGATGACAGAGTGAATGTCGTACAAATCTAGTACAAATAGCGTTGATGAGAGGAGAGATGTGATGTTTCGAGGAGAGGGCTTGGCTCTTTGTTTTGGCGAAGGAGGTCGAAACCGCTTTTCTGCTGGTTCCTCTTTAACTTGGTTTTTTCTTTTGAATATCTTCCACTCGTGTTGGAAAGCGATATCTTCGAAGCCGGGAATAGTTTCATGATCCAGCATGGCCGAATCTAGGACCTTGTCCATGCGCCTTTCTGCGTCTCTAATGATCAATATGAAAATTTCGTTGATCAGTTCGGCGAGCTGGAGCTGGAATTCCGACGTGGACTCCGATAGTCCGCCGTCTTTCTTCAAGTAATGCAGTAACAATGTTGCGTTGGAGATCCAGAAGGCCAGGATAGTCATATCCCATTGATTCTTCTCCACTACATCATTGATCTTGTCCATAGCAGTGACAAGAAGGGTTGCAAGTAGGTTCTGGTCCGCATGGTAGTGAGCGTATCGAGCACTCAGGAATATCATGTTAGCAGGAACAGGTTTTTGGGATGGAGATCGCTGTGGTGTCATGTTGGTAATAATGATATCGAGTATTCTGCCCAGTTCATTCTCCTGAAACACAAACATTTGATCGTGTAAGCATCGAGCCCAGTCAAACTCTTGAGCTTCTTCTTCAAGCTCTTCGGGGGTCTGCATTTTGTCAGCACTTCGTCCTCAAAACTGGGAATGAAGCGGGTTACCTCTGGTTGGTCGTCCAGCCCAACGTTCCCCAAGTCAACCTCCAAATCTCGAGCACTCTCCATCATCATCCGCCTCCTCATCTCGTTTTCTGCCATTTCTTCCTCGAACCGGTCCTGTGAGAATCCCGGATTGTAAAAGTCGTCTGTAACCCCAGCACTTCCAATATGATACCCGCTGTCATGCAGGTACCCCGAAATCTCGCTATCGGGGGCCACGAAATCGAATGCCGTCCTTCCAGAAGATGATTTGACTTCCGGAGAAGCACCATGGTCCAAGAGTGATTTCGCAATCCCCTTATGTCTGTTTGTCATAGCCCACATCAGGGCACTCCACTGATTTCGATCTTGATTGTCAACACTTGCCCCCGCATCAAGCAGAGCCATAACGACAGCTTCATGACCCTATACTATTCGTTAGCAGATACCCACATACGCAAAAGCAAAACTTACAAAACAACTCGCATAAATCAACGGGCTAGTCCCCTCCTCGTCCGGCGCATTGACATCCACAAAGTCCTTTGCCTTTCCCCCAAGTATCCTCCGAATTCGCTCCACATCCCCATTGCTAGCCGCCATATTCAGCGCCTTCTGCAAGGCATCCCTCTTTTCGCTCTCAGAAAGCTTATCGTCGCCCGCAACAGCATCCTCGTCTTCACTCGCAGAGCCATCCCTATGCGCGGCCTGCGCAGCTAGCATCTCCATCAACCGCGCGTCGCTATCCCCTTTCATCACATCATCGTTTCCGTCGTCGAGGGACAGGTTGCTGAACTGCAGCGGCTTGGCTAATACAGGCGTGGTGAGGAATTGCGATTGTCCTTTCCATCCCATCAGCTTCATTCCGCCTCTTCACACGAGCAAGCAGACTTACCTTGCCACGCATCGTACATCTCCGTCTCCTGGGGTAAATGCGCAGGTACATTTTTGCGGTCGTCTAGAGACTTGGGTAAATCGTCCGGGAGGGCTCGTGGCATGGGCTTTACTTCGTGCTGGGTACCAATGTCGTCCTCGCCGAAGCCCCCACCATTATCCCCAATATCCATCGCGGAGTGAGGACTGCATGCAGGGGTGTGTTCATCGGTGGGTGGTCATAGATGCCCTGGTCGGCTGCTTTTATTTTTTCTGCGTTCGATAGAGACTTTGTGCTGTTTCGAAGGGGAGTTTTGGTTTTGTGGTCATTTATATCTGTCTCCTGTCTCCAAATGACGAGTGTTGAAGTTGCATCTTGAACATGTTGTGCCCGCTAGAGGTCCGTGCGCAACTCAACGTTCAGCTCTCGATATTTCCCTCTCAGTATTAAGTAAGTACAGTAGTTCTCTTTGAACACAAAACTTTATCATATAACCTATTTATTTGATATCGATAAGAGCGCGCGCTAAGTTTGTTTACGAGCAGCACCAATGCTACCTGGTCTTGTGTAAAATCCAAGATATCAGATGTTTTATTGCTTTCTTTAGGTTCAAAAAGGGGTTTCAAATTAACTAGGTGGCTTGCTATGGGCCGACGAATCTCTTCCCTAACACCCGAATCCTCTTCACTCCTCCATCGGGAATCATGATCAGCTTGATGTAGTTGAAAGGCTTATCCTTGACCAGCGATTCATGCTCGTGCTCTTTGTCCGCACTGCATTTGCTTGGCTCGACAATATCCGTCCATCCTTCAGCGTCAGGTCCTGGGTGTCCCGCTTCAGGCCATTCTATGGCTTCCACTTTCGCCTTCTGAGGAAAGTTGCCCCTGAAGAACGCAGTGTCGACAATCAACTTCTGGATCGTCCCCTTAGCTCCGAGCTTTATGATCGCCCAATCCACATGACCTTGGCTCCGAGATCTTGAAGTCTCCCATCCATCACCCATATCCTTTCCCCGTCCTGGAAGAATCAGGTTGGAGATTACACCGAAATGCTCATCACTGCAAGAAACAGCAACTCCTCCATTCTGAGCAGCAGCAAGGTCGAAGACGGCCTCTGTGTCTGCTGGAAAGACTGGGATGGCAATGCCATAAAGTCTGAACCTTGCAATACCACCGTCAGGGTACATGTTCAATCGAACATGAGTATATGCTTGTCTCTTTGGCTCTTCAAACTTCCAGCCAAAGCGCTGAGAAGGGCCACATTCTTGAACATCAAGAATAGTCTCCCAATTGCCTTTCTCCCCCTTCCAACTAACAACCTCCTCGTCACTCGAGCTAAAAACACCTTCCACTGAGATGGCTGGAGCGTGATTGCCAGAGAAAAATGCCGTATCAACCTCGATACCGCCAATGACACCTGAAGCCACGCCTAGACGGATGACAACGTAGTCAAAGGGTGCAGGGTTATGGCGACGAGTCTCCCAGCCATCATACCAGGCACCGGAGTAAACCATCTTACCCGGCTGTCTGATAGGCGGGGTAGGCGTGAGGAGGTTTGAGGCTTCCGCGAACCACTCATCCGAGAAGGAGAGCACCTTGCCGCCTAGAGCTGACGATATCAGGTCTGACAAAGTGTTAGCTAGTGATCAATTGCTTATTCACAGGAAACGGTCCCGAATCAAGAGTACGAATGACAAATATATATCTGTGCTACAGTATCTGGGTGAGTCTTATGTTGCGGTCTTAGAAAGCACCCGAATCCGAAATGTGTGTAACAGGAAGTTTGTACTTGCCGATAGTAGATGACCGAAAGGTCGCATCGATCTCATCCGCAGGGACGCGCGTTGCTGCGAGAGCATTTTCCCGGGTGATTTCTGCTTCTGCAGACATGATTTGCAATGAAGGAGAAAGGAAAGAAGGAGGAATTATGAGGTGGATAATTTGAAGGTTCTTCTGAGTTGCTCTTGCAGTTCCTATCGAGTAATAACACATTCATTGGCCGCTTCCGTCCGTATCTTTGGTACCCCACCTTTGAGCTCGTGACATCTCCTTGATACCTAGCCAGCTAGCCTAGGTACGTACCCCAACCTACTACCTTAGGTACCTTAACCCTACCCTACCCTACCCTACCTACCTACAGTACTTAAATTTAATTTTCACCACTTGAGAAAGGCACCACCAAATACTGATATACTGATATACTGAGTAATGCTCGTTGAAGCATCACACAACACGTTGCATTGTTTCCCTACCTACCTATTGTGCACCGAGGAAGGATTCATACCCCATGGGAAACAATGCACCAACTACCTTACCTTACAGCAAACAATGGTGCAATTCATGTATTTCTGTGGTCTTAGCCAGCTGCTTACCTTTTCCGTGCGCTGATTGGTCAAAGCTCCAGCTGCAAGCGTCATCATGGAGGGAGGGGTGCAGACTACAATTAATACATAAAAACTACAACATTCCACTTTTCCTCTCACCGCACCGCACCTCATCTCACCTCACTCACTTCATCTCTCTTCCTGCCATTGCCATTTTACCAATTTTAAATAATTAAAGCTCAAGGTGTACTAACTCGCCCAACCCATCAATCCATGGCGAGCGTTACGGGCATTCCAGAACGGATTCCTGCTGAGGCAGAAGTAAACGGACACGACCGTCCCGTGGAAGAAGTAGGAGACGATGAACCTCTTCTAGGCCGTCGAGGAGACGCTTCCCAGCCAGAAGGCAGGCCCCTCTACTACAACTCAATCATTGGTAATACCCCTTCACCTCCTGTCTGCTTATTATTCCTAACACGCTCTAGGCACTGGAGTGGTCGCCCAAGTCGGTATAATTCTCCTCGTCGCCTCCGTCTGGGCCAGCGTCTTTCTGAATGACCTCATACTCTTCTCCGCACACCCGCTCCTCAACAGCGCCGGCCTCCTCTTTCTCACGCAAGGCATCCTCATCCTGCAACCAACACATACGGCTACTCAGAAACATCAGGGCACAATCGCGCATTTTACCCTCAACAACTTGGCCATTGATTCTTTGATTGCTGGTCTAGTAGTCATTGAGTACAACAAGATCGCGCACAAAGGCACACATTTCGTCTCGGCCCACGCAATACTTGGTCTTATTACATATATTTCCCTGCTCATTCAAGCACTGGTCGGTTTCACGGCCTATTTCGTGCCCAAGTTGTATGGAGGTGTGGATCAAGCCAAGTCGCTGTATAAATGGCATAGGATTAGCGGGTACATCATCTTGGTCTTGTTGCTGGCGACGGTCGCAGCAGCTACACAGACGGATTACAATAAGGATGTCTTAGATATCAAGCTCTGGGCTGCTCTAATCTCGGGGGGGCTGGTGTTGGTTGGTGTGCTGCCGAGGATCAAGAAGCAGAAGTTGGGTCTTGGGGGATGGAAGGCGGCTATCTCTCTTCGATGAGATTGTGAGTGCTGGAGAATTTGACCAAGGAATAATAACATCAGGGTTGTTTCATAAGGTTTAGCAAGGAGTTACAGGAGTACGGACGAAAATTGACATTTTAGGTAGTCGGAGACTGACAATCTGGTTCTATGCTAACCGTTTTCTTGAAGCATATTCATAGAACAGAATCCGCCAGCAATCTGTTTAATTGTAGGTATTAATATTGTTCAGACAGGAAACACTTTATCCTTGCACAGATGCGTCACATTAGAGTCATTCAGACGGCAGGTAAATATATTTTTGAACGTTTCTATTACTCGGATTGCTTTTCGTGCTACGGACTTTTATTCCAACGTTGTGTTAATGAAGAACAACCCTGTCTGCTTTGTTCTACACTAGCCCTATTCTGGTATGTACCCTGCCATGTTCTCGCAAAGACTCCCATCGTGTTAGTATTTGATTATTTGATGCGGACGGACACAGGTCTCCGCTCTATAGTCCAGGCGGAGAAGAGTTACCCCGTATTGGATGTGCAGACAGTGTGGCTGATGGCTCTTGGGACGGGATATTCACATTTCCGTCGATCTATTCTCCGTACCTTGTCATCTATGCTCAGCCAACTTGCCCTTATATATCGACTTGCCCTTCAAGATAGAGACCGAACCAAGCACCTTTAACACCTAAGGTCTATCCTGTCTTTGCTTCTGACATTTGCGAATAAAATCAATACTGCTTTCCTGGCCTTTTAGGGGTGGGATGTTAGTTTCACCTCTCAAGGTTGTTTGTTATCCTGCTAGGCGCAGTCAAGTATCGGAACAATTTTCAACAATACCTAGTCATTGCCAAACAAACAACCTTTTTTCTCTTGCGGTGGCTGTTGCTGTTGCTAAACACTCATACACTATCAGAATCACTTTGGAGAGTTTGACCACTTGACGTGGCTCTCAACTCCCCACACAATACAACCAGCAGCTTATGTATCAAATATTTATTTGCCTGCTAGAAGATCTAGCCTACTGCTTTGCGCCTCATCGCCTTGTAGTTGGGCTGTGGACCGCTAGCGAATTACGAATGCTCCGAGCCAATCCTCAGCATCACTATCGTGAACTTCACGAGTTGCCGCACCTCTTTATGGGGTACTTGGCGCGTTTCTTCACTGTTCGTCTGAACACGAAGCGCTTCTACTTTCCCTGGCGCCATTGATTGTCGCCATTGATTGCCCTTCACCGTTGGCCGCGTCGACTTTGCTTTTCGCGCTTCTCGGCCGATTTGGATATATCTAGCTTTACCCACGTCTCATCTTTGAATATTTATTCTTTTGAAAGAAATCTCTTTCTCCTCTTCAGACAGACAATCCGTAGGTGTTCTCCAACATTTGAGACATTGGTTCTGACCTTTCTAGTGGACCAGCACTGCACCCTACAAAGTACTACCGCCAATTCACAATGTCACTACCCAACACAGCAGTCACAATCCCTCACCTCAAGCCGAATTCAATCATGGATTCCAAAGCCACCAATCAAAAGTCTCGGTCAGCTAAGCACACCAAAGAGAAGCAGCCAAAGCCCGCCATGAAGAAACTTAAGCATGTCCCAAAAGAAGAACCCAACACCATCTCAAAGGACGAAGTCAAGAAACCAAGACGTCTATGCAACTTCAAACTCTTCTCCCGCCTCCCCTTCGAACTGCGCAACATGATCTGGGCCTTCGCAGCCTCCCAACCACGCCTCATTCGCGCAATCTGGTCCGCCCAAACCGATGGCCGAGGGTTCAGCACCTTTTACAGCCTTACCACCTCGTCCTCCCCCGGCACCATGCGTGCATGCCGCGAGTCCCGCACCGTCGCGTTGAAACATTTTCGTCAGGTACCCCAAGAGGTCGTGTTCGGGGGAAGTGTATTGAAGGGTGAAAAATATGGGTTGTGGATCAACTTCCATGCAGACACCTTTTACTTTACGAACTTCCCTGAGCGCGCCGGGTTTCTGAAGACGCTGAGGAGGCTCAAGGCGTGTGAACGGGGCATGGGCGTGCGGAGTATTGCGTTTTCCACAAAGGAGCTCTGGCGCCTACTTGAGTGTCCACCGTCGGCGTTCAATCCGAGAAGCGTGCCAGCGCTCATCTACGACGTCGTGCAGGAGCAGCGGGCATTGAGGGATATTGTCGTCGTGGCTGGTGATATGGGCGGGTATGCGGCGGATGCCGAGCCGGGCAGGTACAATTTGTACCCGCTGTCGAAGCCGTATAAGCCGTCGAAGCACAAGGGGCTGGGTAAAAGGGAGCCGCCGGAAACAATCCCAAATGCATTTGATTGCGGGGATCCGATGCCGAAGACTGCGAAGGAGAAATTTGAAAGGTTCCGGAGCGAATATCCGATGTGGAGAGAACCGGACTTCTCCTACATGAAAGTTTTAAGGAAGTGAGGGTGGAGGTGGTTACTCGAATTCTGGTTGAAACAGACTTCAATCAAGCATTCTGTCTTCATACTCGAGGCTCGAGGCTGGGAAACATGATCTGCGTCTTCAACCGTAGATTCCTCGGAGGCTTCCAGTGAGCCAACACTTCAAGCGGTCATATTCAAACCATACATTGGTTTTTGAGCGGCGGATGGGAGTGAAAAGGAGAAAAGGGGAGAGGAGAGAAAAACTGATTGGTGGCTACTTAATATATCAACGGATGATCACGAGGCTGGTGGTGGATATGTACGGTATATGAATATTAAATGCCAGCTTCTACCTAAATTAGTTCCGCTCTCAACTTGACTATGGTTAGTGAAGATCACTGACCTATTTACTTACCCGCTACCATAAATAACATAGGCACATAAAAGCTGATCCTAGACTGCAACATATATCTCAATTTTGATCCTTTGAAAATACTGACTACTAAATGTAAGAATACATCTACCATATCCTTCAAGCCAATCAATCGATCCACTGTCATCTGTCCCAACTCCACGTCAACCATAACCAAATTATCACACACAACATACCTAGATACTCATTCCACCCAACCCAACCATCCTCATGTCATACCCAAGATGCCTTATTCACGATTCGCAGCCTCCCTATCACTCCTCCCCTTAAACCTCGTACTCAAATCTACAACCGGCAACGGAAACTCAAACCCAACCTCGACAAACATAATAACAGCCAACAAATACCTAATAATCAACTTATGAGTCAGCAACCTCTCCTGTTCACACCACTCCCCCATATAAAGAAAAAGAACAAGAAGCAAACTTACCACCCCAACATAACCGCCGAAAAAAACGCCGCCGCCGCCCCAACTAGCACTTTCGCAGCAACAGCCATGCCCGCAGCCATAGTCCCGAAGCCGGCCGCAGCGAGCGCGAAGCCGGTGGCGGCGGCGAAGATGAGCACGAAGATTAGGTTTGTGCGGAGCGATCAGACGGAGCAGACGAGGTAGATGAGGGAGAGGACGGACATGAAGATGGAGTAGAAGGCGAATGAGGATTCTGTGATGGGGTTGTGTTGGTGTGTGGATGGAGGTGGATGTAGAGGAGGAGTTGGAAGGGCGGGGGGTGTGTGGATGTGGGATGTGGTGGGGAAATGCAAAGAAAGGGGAGGAAGGTACCAAAGCCGGGGGTAAGATCTTGTGTGCCATCGGATGTATAAGTTGCTACGGCGTTGTGAAATGGTTGGAAAGTGGCGCCGCTGTTTATTTATTGCTTGGTTAGAAGAAGGAATGGAAGAACGTCCCAGAGCGAGAAGAGAGAAGAACATAACATACAAAGTCAAGAAATGCCCTCCATATCCAAAGAACACCACACACGGGAAAGTGTTCACCGGGAAGAACTCGAGCAGTCCGGAGATAATCAATAGCATGCCGCCGAAGAAATAAGTCGCTCCTCTATTTCCACCAATTCGTTCATCAGCCTTGCTTAATATATTATCCCTCCCCTTTCGGACTAATAGATAGGGGAATGTACCATGACTCGAAATAAATTGACTTGACTTACATAGCAGCACTCTGACCCATAGCTCCCCTCCACCCCATAAGCTGAATACTAATCGGAGCCAACGCAACCGTAAACCCGACCAGCGCTCCATTTACCACGAATATCATCAGTACTAATGCCTCTCCCCCACCTCTTATCAATGATAGTGGTTGTAATTATAGTTATTATTAGTAATTGGCGCAGCGTGTGAGTTATCGAGATCCAATATTTCGATCTGAGTTTGATTGAGAACTGATTAGAATTGGAAGGGGGAAAAAGAATTGCTTGCCTGCTTGCTTGCTTGCTTGCTATTGCTGATACAGTAAAGAATAAAAAATCAAGAACGAAAAGGGAAAATACAAGGAAACACTGTATATATATAACACTTCCCCATCTCCCTCTCCCTCTCCCTCTCCCTCTCTTTTCACTCCTCCTGCTTAATTTAGTTACACTTCAATAGCTTCCTGCTTCCCCCTAAAGCCTCCCACGAACTAACAGCGGCAGTTATTTAGATCTATCAAGTCATGATGCCCGTCGTTCTAGACTTGAAGCTATTGATTAAACAGGCTTGGTGTGTGCTCGCTCATTGGTGGCGCTACCACCCGCATCCCCAGATCTCCCATTTCACTTCCGAGCCCATGGGAATGCTGGCGTGCGAGCTAGCGGGGAGCTTATCATGGGCTCCCGGTGTCGATGTGTACTACCTTGATTCTCGAGGGAGGGGATTGGTTTTGCCATGACTCGTGTGGAATTGTGAAGTGCTGAGTTCAGCTCGGTATGAGCAGCCTCGAAAACCAGTGTTTAGAGGATGGATTTTTGAGAATACATTCTTATATACTGTGCCGGTACCCTAAACCTATGTGATCGATGTTTCGCCAATACGAGTAAGAAATATAAATGTACGATACGCATCCTATTCCATGTGTCCAAATAGCCATGTCGCACCACCAAACGCCATAATCCCAAGATTCACCAAAGCTCGCAAGTAGGCTCTTTCTTCTTACACTGAAAGCTCTCCGCAAAATCCCTCGAATTGGCCATTGTACCCAGAATCCTTGCCCACTTCGGTGCATGCGGATCCGTATAAATGCGGTTAATAGCCGTCTCTTTCCTGCTCTTGCCGCACCACCAATTCGCATAACTGACAAAGAAAAGTTGATCTTGGCTGAAGTGATCCAATCCAGGAAGATCCTCATTGGGGGTTTCGGCTGTGCGTTTCTTCCACGCTGCAAACGCTGCGGAAACTCCGCCAGCATCTGCTATATTCTCGCCTAGAGTGAGTTTCCCATTGATGTGAATAGGCTTCTCGTCCGGTCCTGGCACCGTGTACTTGGCGTATTGATCTACGAAGCACTCAGCGCGTTCAGTGAAGCCTTCAACGGTACTGTTTGTCCACCAGTCCGTGTAGTTGCCATTCTGATCGTAATGGCGACCAGTTGAGTCGAAGGCGTGGGATAGCTCATGGCCAGATACCGAACCAAATGCACCGTAGCTGAGGTATTGCGGTACTTCAACATCAAAGACTGGGAATTGCATGATTCCAGCTGGAAATACAATTTCATTGCCAGGTGGATTATAGTAGGCATTGACTGTAGGGACTGTCATTCCCCATTCGTCTCGGTCTACGGGCTTGCCGAGGCTTGACCACTCTTTTGCGACATCAAACTTGCTCATTGAAAGCGAATTTTTGAAAAATGTAGACGGCGTGATATTAACCGATTGATAATAATCATGAAGGCTCGATGGGTCCATTATATTCGGGCTCTACGAACAAATTAGCATTTGAGCATGTGAGAGAAGTGTAGGATCTTACCTTGGTTGGATACCCAATTTTTTGTACGATCTTATGAACCTTCTCGATGGCCAATTCAATAACACTCTCATCCATCCACTTGGTAGCCTTTAACTTCTCAATGAACATTTCCTTGATGTCAGACACGATCTGATCTCCAAAGATTTTGGCTTTCTCTGAAAATGCTTTCTCAACAAAGAAGCGACTCAAAATCCAACCGAGGCCTCCATCTACGTGGTTTACACAAGTCCTCCAGCGTTCAGGGGTGGATTCGGGATCCTGTTTGCTCTTAGTATAGCTACACTGACTGGGAAAGGATTTCCTACCTTTCCTTGAAGCTTGTTCATAAACCTGCTGTAAGGCTTGAGTTCATCTGCCTCTATCACCGAAGCATATTTCTGAACTGTCTTCCATAGGAGGTAAGTTTGTAAGACATCCTTAGGTGTGCTTGATACGATGTCTGTAAGGTTGCTCATGTAGCTAGGGGACATAACGATGAGACGCTCTGTCTTGACATTTGAAGGTGACAGACTATTAATAATATTTGCGAGGTGTATTTGAGGAGTAAGCTTGTCTGCATCTTCAAGAGACATTGGATTGTAGTATTTCTAAAGCCATGGATGTTAGTAAATTCTTCTCTATGGGCTGGAGTAAGCTCACGGTAACGTCGTTCTGATCCGCTGCATCAGGAGTTGCAGCTGATAATTTCTTCTCGAATTCAACCACTTCCTTGGCATAGTGTTTGCTGTCTCCCGTCGCAGTGTTTCTAAGTCCGGTGGATTTCATCCAAGTACCGTGTGCAGCGGCATTTGCGGGGTGGATCAACTCAATTGTCTCCTCAAGCATATCCTGATATGTCTTTACAACGGCCTTATCTTCGTAGTAGTCCTTCGCAGGGAGACCAATGCGGTAAGGTTGGGATGCTTGAACAACAACAGTATCGGGATCTTTGTCATCGGCACCAGCTCCAACTGATACAAGTGCAGAGATCTCATATTCTAATAGCAGATACAGGGTCTCTGATAAAGATTTGCTGTCAGCGGATGTGATTGGCTTGCCAAGATTCGATTCAGTGACCGGAAACAAATCCACAACTTGGTGAAGAAGCTCCATGAGCGGCTTCAGGCCATCCTTCTTTATGGTATCTTCATCCATGCAGGCATCGTATGCATCTCGCAATTTATCAAAGTTTTGCTCGTCAACGGAGGAGAGGGGAGCTAGAAGCTGGGCTGGAGAGAAGCTCGAATGCTGTTCGTGTTTTAGTAATGCAAATACCAACTCATTGATAGACTAACCTTTGAGCCATCTGGGTACGGAGCCTCGAGTATATGCCGCAGCAGCATTTGAGAGGCCTCGACCATTATTGTACCCGTAAAAGCATCACCTTGGTCAGGACGAAGGTCGTGGCGCTCGTCCCATCCTCCGCAAACAAGCTCCTCGAAGTTGGTACACGGATCAATGTTCTTGTATTCGGGTGAGAGATTGTAGAGGATTTCGGAAGATGCATGAACGCAAGCAGGAGTCAAGCATACTTTAGCATTCAATGTTTTGCTGGGGGCGTGTACTGATAGTTATCAGTCTGAGTTTAAGGACCTAGGAGGTTTGCAGAAGACTTACATCCAAAGAAGAGGCAGAGACCCAGAATGAGAGTCAATATCAAGGTGCTCATAAACACCGTAACCGCGTTCTGGGCAACCCATCTTGCAGCCTTTTTTGCAGCAGTTGGCTCGCTTTGCTGAGGTCTTTCCGAGTCTGGCAACAACGGGGTCTGCTCGGTATCCTGATCCTGTAGAGTGCTCTCACCCATATCGTAAATGCGAGCTGCTACACAACTAAGAATACCTGAAAGGGGGACTACGAAATGCTTCCAAACTGGCTCTTTCTTGGAACGAGGCTTGTGCTTTGATCTGGACCTGGACCTCGATCGTGAATTCTTGTTGTCTTTATTGGAAGCCAGGATGCAGGTTGGAGGATGCTGGTTGGAGGTTGTAGGTACAGGTTGCCGTTTGCCCAAAATTGAAGGCAAAAGGCAGATGCTCCAAAAGGACTGTATACGACAGTCAGTCAGCCAAAAGTGATTACTGTAGGGACGAAACCAGGAGGTCAGGTCATGTCATGTTTGAGAGCTTGGGCTTGAGCTTGAGCTTGAGCTCAGATGCTCTTGGCAGTGCAGTGCAGTGCAGGTGGCGAGGCGGGGCGGGGCGGGGAAGCTGCGATGGCGCGCATGAAACGCTGTCAGGGTCAGGTACGGGGGGGAGGAGAGGTACGAGTATACCCGAAATATAAAGTTGTTAATCTCAATTAATATTTCATGAAGATATACTTAGTACTTGAAAGTACATTTTATCTTGTTTCTACATGATTTGCCATATTGGGTAGGAGGAAGGAATGCTGGAATCTGGATGAGAGCCTTCTACTTCGTATCAACTTGTTAACGCGGATATGGCCGATGGAAGGTGGTATCAGCATTCTTCATCGTGATCATGAGCACAAGACTCACACACTTTTATGCAGCAGCATGCACATCACTTGTACTTCTGTCTCCTTTCATCGCATCTATGATTCTATGTACATCCATGTACCACGTGACGCGCAATTTGTGGACCTTGATGGTCAACCGACTAACGTTGCAGATCCACCAAATCTGATGAGCTCATGCTTGGCACTACGTCACATACGCGGTATTTGTACGGAGGGTTTAGTACGGCGAACTTACGGAGTAGGGGAGGGTAAGAAGAGTAAGGTAGGATTTGACCCCCAACGGGTATTCGGCATCTGTTAGGAGTGAGTTCTGTCTGTTCTTCTCCGTAACTTCTTAGAGAGATCTTCAATTTGAACAATACCGACTGAGTACGGATAACCTCAGGACTACTCGAGCCGGTCCATCATCTCACGTGTGGCGTGGCTCAGGAACCGGTACTGTAGCACTCGTAACTGCAAGCAATAACGGTGATCTGTTATCTGCTACCTGCTGCCGTACTCGTAACACGTCTTTCAAGGCGTTCGAGGTAGAGAGAGTTCTTTGTAGCCTTTCTTTGTACTTGTAAATCACGTTCTACAAATCCACGTGCTATAAACGTGTAGTCATACTGTCATACTCCGTAGAATTAGTTGTATGATACGGTACGGGACTTTGAAAAGCAACAATATTCATAATCCTCGTCCGAGTGATAGAACCAGACCAGAGCGGTGGAGGACATCTCCATATAAACTCATTGTGATCTTCGGGTCTGACTACAGTACTGGCAAGGTTCTTTCGTCGTAAATCCACTTTGTACCACTCTTACCTAGCCTAGGTGCTCTTATTCTTAGCCACCACTAAACACTAGGTTTCCTCGTTTTACCAGTACTTACACCTACCAAATAAGTACAACAAAACAACAACAATAACTTTCTTTCTGTGCCTGCGCTGCTCAGAGCAGCTCCAACTCACAACACGACACGCCGCGACCATATCTACATCTAGATATAGCCCCCTGAATTCAACACTGAGTCTTTGGCACAAAGGGGCGGCTCTTGCCTACGTCATAATTGTTCGACTACTCAACCTCCACTTTGACACGCACGACCGCCACCAGCCAGCCAGCCAGCACTGTCGGAAATAGAATAGACAACCACAATTCAGATGAGGCACCAGAGGCCAGCCCTACGATTCGCAACGACCAGGAAGGCGACCACCATTCTGGATCAATAAACGGAACGGAACGGAGGAGGGGCAGCCCAGACGACGTGCTATCGGTGTTGGTATGCCTACTCCCAAGTCGCCTCTAGATAGACCATCTTCTTCCCACCACCGAAGACCTGGCGGTTCGCGACGTTCCAGCAGCGAAAAGTCGGTGACCAAGCATGGGATGAAATCTGGGCAGGCTGTCCAAGGCAACACGAAAGACTCCATGTCCGATCCAGTTTCTAGCGCTGCGAAAGCGCCAACCCCAACCCCAACCACAGCACAGACATCGTCAGATAAGAAGGACAAACGAAGCTACGATGCCAATACCGTGAGATGGGCAGAATCGCGTGCAGTTGTGGCCCCTGAATCTTCAGGCGCAGATGTACCACAGGCAGAGACGATACGGGATGAAAGAGGCGGGAACCACAAGGGAAGCGTTGGATCGGGCGGGTCTGCAATACCCAAAAACACCTCGATCGAAGAGTTGGAACGCGTACGAGCCACTGTCAATGCGCACATTCAGTTGAACCAGCAGCGAGACAAATTGTCACGCCATCTAAGCGAAAGGGGGGAGCAACGCAATGATGCACCCCGGGCCACAGGTGGCAAAGCTCGAGTGTCTCCTATAAATGAGGAGACGGCCTTTGGATCGCCATCAATAGAAGAGGCTTTCGCAAGCCCTCCTCCTCTGGGCCCAGAAACTACTTCAACTAGTTCGGCAGCGACCATCCGCGGGGCATCGACACCGGCAGCTGGAACGACTGCTAGAACACCATCGTATCCCTTCCCGTCAATGCGAACACCGAGACAGTTTAGTTACACCGGCCACCGTCCCTTTACCGCGCTTTCTCCAACGGTCAATCCTGCAAATTATGCTGGAGGCTCTTTCGATAGGGTCCAACGTGATTCCGTCATGTCTGCCCCGATAACGCCGGCGTCAACACTGAATTTTCAACCGCCAGGGACATCTCAGCTAAGGGATCCAAACTTTGAGACTCCAAATTTGTATGATATAAGTCTAAGGCTCATGTCAGAGCCCGGTTTAGATTCCTGGTGGACCACTGTTGCCAAGATCATGAGCGACTCTTACAAGGCTGATCGAGTGACTTTAACCATTCCAGCCGATCCTACGGATGTCGAAAACGTGCCATGGGCACAGAAAGCTACTTTCAACATCAATGAAGAGGATGATTTGAGCCTTGGGTACATGGCACACGGAAGCAGTTTCTTGCCCAGTAGCGTTGATACGAACGAAACCTCCAATTCCGAAGATGCCGGAGACTCACCACCTTTGCACTTACCTTCGATTGATTCCCTACGACCGGGCTTATCGAGTAGACATTCCTTCACTGCGTATGAAGATACTAAGCGCGAGCCGATGCCCTTCTCTGAGGCAAGCAAGGGAAGTGCAGCACGTCCAACTATATCCAGAGCGAAGAGTTATGCGACAACTCGACATGACGTACCACCACGCACAGCTACACTCCAAAATGCGAAGCTCAGTCTACAGTCTTTAGAGCATCACTTAGAGTTCGAAGATACCAAGTCCGCTGAGTGGGAGGATTTCGAAGTGGCCCCCAGAGAGGTCCGAGGGAGAGTATTTCCTGTGTTGCAAGCGCTGGATTATGAAGCGGATCCACTGATAGATAATGCTGGTGTTATGAAAGTACTGGATCGTGGAAAGGGTATTGTCTTGACCCGTGATTATCCCTACATTGAAAAGCAAGAATCCGTGGAAGAAAAGAGTGGCGGAAGTGGGAGTGCAAGGCAGCACTCCCAACGGGGTAGGAAATCGAGGACGTCACCCAACGAGCGGCCTAAGAGGGGCAAAACTCCCGATCTAGGTACACGGCTTCAATCTTTTCTTGGCAGTAAAGGCAAGCATCCACATACACGAAGCTTGAGCCGCAGTCAAACGAGTGACAAAGGCAGGAGTATTCCAACTTCTGCTTCGTCACACACGCACGACCAAGATGATGATGCAGTGCCTACAGCAAAATATGAGGAATACGAGCAAGGACCACCATCTCCGTGGTCACAATCACCTGCGCCATCACCTGCTGTCCGAGTTGAAACAGATGAAAATCCATTCTTTGCCAACACGAGTATATATGAGGACACCTTTGACCCAAAAATGACAACTTCAAGAGAGTATTCACAGTCATCTCAGCTTGAAGCTATTGGGATCGATAGGTCTTGGACAGTATTACATATTCCTCTGATGCACCCATTGTTGTCAAAGCCCGTTCATGCCTTTCGACTAGATGCTGCGGCCATGGAACAAAAGTCTGCAGGCCGAGGTAAGCCTACTGATAAGAAAGAGAAGGATAAACCCAAAGAGACGGAATCTGTTTCAGAGAAGCAAACGCCAGTCGCGATTCTATCACTTTTAAGCCCTGTCATTCCATATCCCTCGAACTTGAAACACTCCCTGGATTTCCTTGCGCCACATCTCGCAACGTCATATTCACTCTGCCGCCATCACTCTAATCTACAGACTGAGATTGCTGGTCTTTCGAGAAAGGGTCCGCGACAGGCTGGCTTTGGTGCTGTCGTCTCTGGACGTCGTCATTTGGACGATCGAGTCAACTTTGCCCAGCCTGTATCATCACCAATTGATGATGTTGGATTACAGGTCTCCAGTGGCACTGGAGGTAGTATCACGAGTCCGAGCGACTATTCTGGGATGTCGAGAAGTGCGGCCGGATCGCCTGCGGCTACTCCGGGCTGGGAGCAGACTACTGTCGGCATCCATCGAGACAAGAGACACGGTGGGAGTCCAGGTAATGCCACCGGAGAAAGTTATTTTTCTTCGAGAAGTAGGCCGGCTCTGGGCCGTATAGATACCGGTTCTGCTAGTAGTGTTACTGGGGCACGGCCTTCCAAAGAATCGTCTCCAGCAGACAAGAGGTCCCATCAACACAATCGAAGCATCGAGGGGATTCCCGAAACACACGCTTCTGACTCCAAAGATAACAATGAGCAAGGTGGCAAATCAGATCAAGATGAGGTTCGGTCCTCGACTACAACGCCCAGGCAAGAGATACGTAAGCACCCAGAGCGATCTACCCGCGAGATTCATTCGGAAGCCTCTGAAGCGCGCGAGGCTAGTCCATCTCGACACCAAGCCGAACCGCCAGCTTCTCCTCGCCGCCAGGCCGTACGAATGGCCTCGAGTCAGTCAATTAGAGTGGACCGACCTCACACCCAATTGCATTCTTATGGAGCAGATTTCAGCGCAACCTTTCAGTCCCTGCCGCCCACAACTTCTGTCCAACCAGCAAAACTCCAACCACCCCCCAAGGTACAACCTCGACCAGGGTTAGTGTCGACACCGACAGATATGCCGCCGCCTTCTGATAGGGTCAAAGGACTTATGCTTGATTCATTACCGGCTCATGTTTTCGTGGCAATGCCTCCCACTGGCGAAATTGTTTGGGTCAATAATAGATACTTGACATACCGCGGTCAGACTGTCCAGGACCTATACCAAGATCCTTGGGCTAGCCTGCATCCGGACGAGCGAGACGAATATCTTCAAGCTTGGACTCATGCCGTTCGATCAGGCGAACAATTTTCCAAGCAGGTCCGTATAAAACGGTTTGACGGAAATTACCGCTGGTTTTACACAAGAGCTGTCGGTCATCGGGATCACCGAGGAGTGATTGTCCAATGGTATGGCACACACATGGACATACATGATCAACATCTCGCAGAGGTTAAAGCTGCGCGACAAGAAGAGATTGAAGCTTCCGAGGCGAAGCACCGGCAACTTGCCAATCTTATACCACAAATCACCTTCGCTGCCACTGAAGACGAGGGCATCACATTTGCAAATGAACAGTGGCTATCCTATACAGGGCAAAGCTTTGATGATGCTCTGGGGTTGGGCTTTATGGACTATATACATCCGGAAGATTTGGTCAAGTGCAATATTCCACGTGAACAACCACCAACCCCTCGGCAAGCACCAAAAAAGAAACCAGCTGAAATTAGTCGCGTCTCATCGCACTCATCTTCTACTGGGCAGTCTTCTGGAAAATCATCACTTGTTTCGGATGCACCATCTGAGCCTACAGTCAAAGGAATTCATCAATCTTTGTCCAGAAACAACAGCTCAAGTAGCGGATCACTATACGAGTTTCCTATTGCCGATTTAGCGGAGCTTGCAAGAACTGGCGTGATCAAAGTCACCACAGATAGTGATGGGAGACAATCGTATGAGACGGAAGTACGACTCAGGTCCAAAACTGGCGACTATCGCTGGCATCTTGTGCGCTGCGTCGAGGTGGAGAACATTGCCCTTGGCAGTGGTGATGGGTCGTGGTTCGGCGCTTGTACAGACATTCATGGCCATAAGCTTCTGGAGAAGACATTGAAAGAGACTATGGACATCAAGGCAAGGTTTTTAAGTAACATGTCGCACGAGATCCGAACACCTCTGATTGGCATCTCTGGAATGGTCAATTTCTTGCAAGACACAACTCTCAACGACGAGCAATCAGACTATTGCCAGACCATCAAATCAAGCGCTGATAGTCTTCTAAATATCATTAATGATATTTTAGATCTATCAAAGGTTGATGCTGGCATGATGAAGCTGTCTTATCAGTGGTTCCACACTCGCTCCTTGGTCGAAGAAGTAAATGAGCTTTTGTACTCCCTTGCGATTACCAAGCGCATTGAGATAAACTACATGGTTGATGCAGACGTCCCAGAAATGGTCAAGGGAGATAAGTTTCGCATTCGGCAAGTCTTGTTGAACGTCGTTGGTAACGCGATCAAGTTCACTACTGCTGGCGAGGTCTTCAGCCGCTGTAGAATCTTCAAAGATGCCTCTGTTGGAGAGAACGAAGTTATGCTCGAATATTCCATAATCGATACTGGCAGTGGCTTTACGGAAGAAGAAGCAGAGATGATCTTCAAGCCTTTCAGTCAAATTGATGGAAGCAGTACTCGTACGCATGGTGGAACTGGCCTGGGACTTGTTATATCTAGACAGCTTGTTGAGCTACATGGTGGCAAGATGGAAGGCACTTCTGTTCCTGAGGAAGGCTCAACTTTTACCTTCACAGCAAAGTTTAGCTTGCCAACCGAAGAAGACCATCCCGAGCCTCCATCTACACCAATGATGAGCCGGGATATATCATCCCGAGCATCTGTCCAATCGTTAGCCTCAAAGGATCCGGCTACTGCTGCTCAAGTTCTCAAACAAGCAAGCTCCATTGGTGTAATACCTGACGCTCAACTCACTCAATCACCTGCGACTCTCAGCCCCAAAACAGAGTCGAGTATCAACTCGCCAGCGGTATCTTCTAGCAGCTCTGTGCCTTCGGTCCGCTCAAATCGCTCGTATGCTACTCATAGGTCTTCTAGCTCTTCTGTCGCACAGAGTCTTGCTCACTTTAGTCAAGCTACGAGGCCTGGATCTACCGAGCTTGCGCAAATGAAGCTAGCGCTTCCTGAGAAGCAATCCTCTACTTCTTCAGCGCCGGCCTGGGCACAGATTGGAGCTGAACCAGGCGGTATGACACCAACACCAACAAGTGGAGCTTCTAGACGAAATAGCCCTTCTCTTTCTGGTCTTAAACATTTCCGGCCGCCGATGTATTCGATCCTGATCATCTGCCCGCAGAAACATAGTCGTGAAGCCACGACTCAACACATCGAGATGACCTTACCCAAGGATATCCCTCATCAAATCACAGCTTTGGGAAGTGTAGCTGAAGCCCAAGAGATGATTGGTGGCGACGATCCTGTGATTTTCACACATATTGTCCTCAATCTTGGATTTAATGAAGAGATCGTGACACTAATTGACAACATCTTCGCATCTGTCTCCCTGCCGCAAACATCAGTCATTGTCCTCTCCAACCCAGTCCAACGCCAAGAAATTATCAGGATGGCTACTGATTATGATTACGACCAACTGGCCAAAGATAACCGCCTGACGTTTGTCTTCAAGCCTGTCAAGCCTTCCCGCTTTGCTGTCATCTTCGATCCCGACCATGAGCGTAATCTTAGCACTGACCGGAACCGCTCCACGGCGCAACAGCAAGTGGCAGACCAAAAACAGAGTTATCTTGACGTGACACAGCGACTGGGAAACAAGGGTCTCATGGTGCTTTTGGTGGAAGATAATTTGGTGAACCAAAAGGTCCTACTGAAATTCCTCTCGAAGATCGGTATCGCAGTCGAAGTTGCTCTGGATGGTGTCGAATGCGTCAATATGGTTTTCTCACGCCCGCATGAGTTCTACTCTCTCATCCTGGTATTCTCTTCCCTTCTCATCTTACCGTTTTCAGGTTTGCTAAGCAAAGTAGTGCGATCTCCACATGCCGAACAAGGACGGCTATGAAACTTGCCGCGAGATTCGAGCATGGGAAAAAGAGAATGGCCATCCCCGAATGCCGATCATCGCGCTCAGCGCAAATGTGATGGCGGACGTGATGGAAAGATGCGTACAAGCTGGGTTCAACAATTATGTGACGAAACCGGTAGATTTCCAGGCGTTGAGTGGAACCATGGGTGACTTACTTGATCCGCTTTCTGGTTGATGCATTTTGCACCGGCGTTAGGGTTATGAAAGGTGTATATTATTCATGTATTGTATCATTTGGATTGTGCGGCTCGGTGACCTGTTTTGAGAGCGGGGCAGGTGATTGATAATGGTTTGCGCACCTGAACATCCAGCGAGCAAGCGTGCATAGGTGGGCGTTTTTTTAGGTGATGATTAATGAGGGAAGAAGAAATATTGTGTACTTCAGATGATCGTAATGGATAAGACATTAACATTCTAACTTGGGAACAAGACGACGAAATCCTGTGAGGCTGTGGATGTTCATGGGGAACCTATATCAAGGCTTTTATGACAAGGCTTGGCAAGCATCAGCCTTATACTACAGCTCCACCTCCTTCCAGATTCGACATGGATTATTTAGAATGATGCGACAAAAAAAGACGTTTGCTCACTCAACCTTGTGTTCATTGCTTTGATCCTAACAGAGCTGTGTAATTATCTCGAATGCCTCGTGAGTTCAAGCGTAACGTGACTAATGTTGACTTGGTCTTCTCCTCAGCAACAGATCGTTGCTACCTTCACGAAGCGGTACTGTTTTGCAAATTGAATGTAAACAACTATTCCTGCCATTGTTATGGTCGTCACCCACCTAGCTGGGATATAACTCGAGTGTATTCACAGAGCCGCAATGCAGTACCTTATCCACCGACGCAAGGCAAAAGAAATAAGTAAAAGAGTCGAAAGTCCATATCATTCAAGTCGCTAGGACTTGATATTACACCGAAAAATTAAATACCTAATCAGTTATATAGTTATATTACAAAATTACCAAGTAAACCCACCCCTCCTCCTTACCGTTGCAGATTCACCTGGACGTCGTCCTGAACGCGAGGCTACAGCCGTGTGAGACAGCAGCGCTAATGCGTTCACGATGGCCCGTGCGCATTCAATATTTGAGGCCTCGACAATGCATCATCCTCAACTTCCCTTCTTCAGGCAGTCCCCATTTCCAACTTGTCTTTCCACGTTCCCGACAACTCTTGCAAGCACTTCAATTGTCTTTCGCATCACATTGCTGAACTCGTACATACACACACATACAGTTGCACTTGTCTAGAACAACCTTTCCCCCATTCAAGCCATCATTCAATCCATCGATCAATCTATCAATCCCCCAAAGGCGTCACCGGCATCATGTCAGGACGTGCTTTGCGCTCCCGTGGGGCCGCCGCGGCTGCACCTTCTGCAGACCCTCCCAAGAAGAGAGCGTCGCGCAAGAAGAAACAAGCTTTGAACGACGCACTTGCTATGTCCGTAGAGGGCACCGACGACCAGACTCCTATGACTTCAGAAACCGAATCAGAGATCCAAGCTTCGGCGGATACTCAGACTCGCTCCCCCTCACCTTCCAACCAACTCCAACCACAACAACCGATGCAGACTATGAGTCGACGAACTACGCGCTCAATGTCTCGCGAAGTTTCTCCGTCCATCGCGACCTCTTCAGCGCCTACGAAGAAGGTCAAGAAGACCAGTATCGCACGCGTCACTACTACAAAATCCTCAAATGGCAGCACTACCTCCAACCGACGTCGGAAGATTGCACCAGATAACAATGGCAAGAACAAGCGCAAGGCGGACGATTCTGCCTCCGAGCAAGATCTCGATTCCGATCCAGACACCAGTTCGCGCCCTGTCAAGCGTGTCCGCCGCGAACTATCTGCCGCAACCGCACCATTCTCGCCTATTCCCGAAGCAGAGGAGGAAGAGGATATTGCTCCACAATCTATGGAACATTCACCCAAATTCGGTGCACCAAAGCCCGAGGCCAAGACACCGGAGGAGATTGTTTCATCATTCATGGAACATTCACCTGAAGTTGAGGCAGCGGGGGATGTCCAACAACCAATTATGGAAGATTCTCCTGAACCTTCGCAGCGATCTCTAACCCCAACACCAGCCCCACTTACCCCATCCCCAATTGTTCTACAAGCTATGGAGCATTCTCCAGAGGCCGAGGAACCTGAGGATGATGCTGCTGCTAGGACTACTAGTGGATCCAGAGAAGAAAGTGCTGAGATTCTCGAAAATGCATCACACCCCATGGAACACTCTTCAGAGGCTGAGGAACCCGAGGCTGCTGCTAGAACTTCTGGCAGGTCAAGGGAAGAGAGCGTTGAGATTCTCGAAAATGTTTCACACTCCATGAAACATTCTCCTCAAGCTCCACAGGAGAGTATGAAATGCCCATCTAATTTTCTCGTCTACTTTCCAGCGACGTCCATCAGACCAGAGTTAATTATATCAGATCCTACCATTGCAGATGAGCTGTACAAGAGGGCCGAAGAGCTTTCTCTGCCTCCTCAATTCTCTCAACCTCCTGCTACTCCCTCGCCCATCAGAGTGGAGCCAGTGAGAGGATTCTTCACCTCTGCCGTCGACAGAGTTGTGGGCTTAGTTGCATCCCCCTTCAAATTCATGAGTCGTCAAGACCAAAACGCTGCTGATGCAGTTATTACTAATAACAATGAGGCAGACACACCCCAAGACATAGCCCAAGATATACCTCAGCACATCCCCCAGGACACACCACGCAACACCTCTATGTTCACTTATCGAGAACCTCACAACCTCAAATTCGACAAGCCAATTGAGACTCCCTCCAGAGCTCCGCGACGCCGAAGAGTACCTGGAGAAGGAAGCCAGTCGGTTGGACCAAAGAGAAATTACCAACGACCTCAGACTCATTTTCCTAAGCTTTCTTGTCCCAAGCCCATCAACCCGAAACCACAGTTGACGTCACCTTTCCGGAGCGCAGCAGTTGGCAGATCGCAATCCGAGGCAGTTAGACATGATGAGCCTTCTACATCTGAACCAATGGAGACCGACCAAGAGCAATCTGCTCGGCCCAACCAAGAGCGAATGAGTCGCATCTCTCGCGCAGCAGGTGGTAGATCCCGTTTCGGGGCAGAAAGACATGATGTGGTTTCCACACCTCAACCTATAGAGACCCAACAAGAGCGAGTTGATCGACTCAGCGAAGAACGAAAGAATCGCCTCAAGCAAGTTCGGGCGAGACTTGATGCGATGACTCCTACGGAGAAGGCTCTTCACGACCAAAAAATTAACGAACTTGCGAAGAAGATGGAGGATAGACAGCGAAGGATGAATGATGTTTTTGCTGCCGAAGAGTCACGAAAGCGACAAGCTCACTCGGCTTTCCCTGATATCGATGAGAAAAGTTCATCATCTAAAAAGCGAAAGACAAGAGTTGGCTATCGCGCTCCATCCCCAAACGACAGCTCCTCTGATGAAGAGGGAGACTCAACACCGAAGAAGAATCTCACATCCTCTTCCACCACACCCATTGCAGGAGGCGGTTCACCGATGGATCTTGATTCTCCTTCCATATTGGGCCATCCACTTCCCGCTGAACTCGCTCACCCTTTTGACCGCGGTCACAATGCGCTTTACTTCAGACAGCTCGAGTTGATCCAAGCGGGGATGACTGAGGAGGAACGAAAGCAGGACAACGAATTCATGAAGCTGGATTGGGTTTATTGGAAGTTAATCCATCTTTACTACTCCACCATGAAGGAAGAGGAAGATGAAGAGGCTTGGGCGTATGAGTATGCACGTCTAAAGAGGGAGCCTTGGGCTACTGAGGATGGCATAGCTTCCAAGAAACCTGCGTATATGGCGAAGGAGAAATCCAGGCGAGAGAAGCTCCAGCTCGCGGATATTGAGAGACGCAAGGAGAAACTTGGAGAAAAGGATCCATACAACATCTTCTTGAAGGCGAAGCAGCTGGAGGAGGCCAAGGAGCAAGAGGCTCGGGATCTTGACGCCGCCAAAAACAAAGTCGTCGAGGATGAGGATGATTATGAGGATCAGGATGAGGATGACTTCGCTCCAAAGGGAAAAGTAAAGGGAAAATACGTATTGGATTACGATCTGTTTAGTGATTCAGATTCAGATGAAGAACAAGAAGGAGAAGAGGAACCAGCAACTACAGCTGAACAGACGGTCAACAATTCGGCTGCAACCCCACCACCTCCTCCTCGTCCCAGCAACGCACAGCTTCCACCAGCAGGTATTGGCATGGCCGCTTTCCAGAAGTATAAGCCAGCCGTGCCAAGCAAGCTTCGGCATGTAGAGGAGATGTCGCCCCTTCAAATTGAGAAGGAGAAGGCGAAGCGCGAGAGTATGGGCAAGCAGAATATGGGCAAGGAGAATCAGCTTGATTTGCGCCAGATTTTCATGGACGCTCACCCAAAGTACCTGGCGCGAATGGCTGCCGATGGTGACATTGAATTTGTCGGCGAGGACGAGGAGATCGCGGAGGAAATGGCGAAATGGATGTAATGAAAATTGTTGGCGAGGACGAGGAGCTCGCGGACGAAATGTCTAGATGGGTGTGAGTATATAATAGTCGGTTTGGAGTACATAGCATCGGCGTTGTTGGATTACGGATTATGGAAAAGTCTTACCCCGGGTGGGAGAGACATTGTAGTATACCTAGCATTTGCATCATCGGGCAGGCAACCCTGAAAATACTGCCCCATTACGAAGTACGAACAACGAATATATGATTATTAAAAACATACCCTTTTGCAATGCAATGCCTTGGTGACTGTGAGACCTTGACTTTACTTTGCTATTGTCGTCGACGAGTGTTGACTTGCTTCCAACTCCTCATATCCGCCACATTAGATCTGCATTGGGAATACTTCAGGTCGTATCGGATTTTTTGATCCCTTCTTCGCTATGAGCAGCGCCTAGAATCGACATTCGGAATTCTTCACATCACATAGGTTTTTCAATTTAAAAAAAAGAGGGTGGATCGGCAGCTTTACGAGAGCGTTCTCAGGAGCGTCGTGTACACCCAATGCGGATGGCATGAACGCACACACGTCCAGATAAGCGCGTTCGTTCTAGCATTCCTGGGATTTCAAATGGGGCGAGTCTTCTACTTCTTGATTTTGGGTTGCTGTGCCTGTCCTATCTAGAATACCTACTCTTGTTGGCCATTTCTAGTAGTGCGGATATTCTAATTGTTATGCATTCTTACCCTAGATTTTGTTCTTAGATCTTTGCTCATCATGACCTTGTCATCATCGTCCACCTTTACCAGGCTTCTCCTAGTGTATTTGGTAATGATTCAATGAAGCTGAGACTTGGGTATGTATTGGCAAGTAAGACAACTAGTACGGTAGTGGCAAATACAGAGCTTAAATCAGAAATCTGTATTGCACAAAGCGCTTGGGTTGTTTGGTTGTTTTCAGTGAACACTTGCAAGACTAGTTTTACCATCACCTCCCATTATATTTCGATTTCTGCATAGTCTGCTTTGTGCTCTCGATCTGAAAATCGTCTTCATAGTGGTCCCGAGATATTCTACTACTACCGGTCCCTGCCTTATTCTCTATTTCATCACTCGGGGTATCTAGCAACCGCTCAGAATTAAAGTAGGTATCGTGTAGTACAGCACGCGCGTCAATCTCATAATATAGTTTTTTTTCTTTGCTAGAGAGAACAAAATAATTATCGTCATCGCATGTTCAGTTGTCAGTTGCTAGCATCATTTTCAACTTGCTCCCGAATCAGGTCGACAGCTCCAGGTGTCTGAACCCACGAATCGTACGTACAGGTGACGCGCAAGTAGAAATAGTAGCAAAGGATGTTGATTAAAAAATTCATTCCATTTTCATGTGACGCTTCATTCATAATTATTCACTAAGCCTCCCACCCACCCATCCATCCATCTTAGCCTGTCTACATAGACAACGCACTATACAACGCCAAACGCCTCATAATCTCCAACATCACCTCAAGCACCACTGCGATAAATCTGCGCTCCCTGGTTCCGAATCGTAATCGTATCCCTCCTCTGCAACACCGTAATCGCTCTAGCCAAAGCTTGTTCACTGTACCCCTTGCCCTCACAAATCTCCCTCTTCAGCGTCGCCAAACTCGTGGACCATCCAATAGGCAGTCTCCTTTTCAACTCATCTTCCAATTTATTAACTTCGTCGTTAAGTTCTTTGCTACCTTGCCCGCTACCCATAGTAACAGCGTCCATGGTTGATGCGAGGAAGAGGCGGATGGCTTCGTCGACGTGCTGCTCTGTGGCGATGGGGGAGAGGGAGAGCTTGGCAAGAGATTCGGTGATACGGATTATGGCTTCCAGTTGACGGACTGTGATGGGGATTGAGGAGCGGGCGTTAGCTTCGAGCTCGGCAGTGTGGACTTGTTTGCGGATGGAGACGAAGTGGGAGGAAAGTTTTTCGGCGGCTTCAGGCGCGAGACGGGGAGCGCAGCGGCTGGTTTTGTTAGTTTTATGGCTTTAAGAAGGGGATAGGCAAGCTTACGATTTGCAGTAACTGATGTATCGCTTCATCTTGTCTACAGGAATTTCAGACTCTGCTTGTTCTTCAGCACCGTGACCTCCTTTGTGAATATTCATCACATGTTTGGCAATGGTCTCGTCTCTGTTCCGATCGTGATCATCCTTGACGATGAAGATCATGTCGAATCTGGAAAGAATGGTCGTCTGGAAATCTATATTCTCTCCTGGTGTCTTTAGATCATCGTAACGTCCAAATATGGGGTTGGCTGCTGCGAGAACAGAAGTACGGGCATTCAGAATCGTAGTGATACCAGCTTTAGCAATAGAAATCGTCTGTTGCTCCATAGCTTCGTGGATGGCGACTCTGTCTTCGTCTCGCATCTTATCGAACTCGTCAATACAGACCACTCCTCCATCGGCCAAAACCATGGCTCCTCCTTCGAGGTAGAATTCCCGTGTTGTGTGGTCACGCTGAACGGAAGCCGTCAGACCAGCTGCAGAGGATCCTTTTCCAGACGTGTATATAGCAATTGGAGCAACTTTCTCGACGAATTTTAGCAATTGAGATTTTGCCGTACCAGGGTCACCAAGCAGAAGGACGTTGATATCTCCACGGAGCTTCATACCATCTGGCAGAATCTTCTTCGATCCACCGAGAAGTAGACAAGCAATGGCTTTCTTAATATCCACATTTCCATAGATGGAAGGTGCTATACAGCTCGCAAAGACAGTGTAAAGGTCAGGTCGCCTGCTCATCTCCAAAAACTCTTGTTCCTCCTCTTCTGAGAATATCGCATTTCCTTTCGCGGTGTGGTCTACATCGCTGTGGATTCCAACTGCTCGTAGGTACGGAGTTCTGATAGCCACCGCTGATGTAGTGGAAGAGCCCTTCGACTGTTTATTTTGATAGATCGAGAAAATCCCGGTGATTGTGCATCTCGATCCCGGAACAACTCGATTTGTAAGGTATCGATCTGTAGAAATGAGCACATGTCTTGGCAACTCTCCTACGGGGACTTGATCTGGAGCCTCCTGAAGCTTGATAATCTGTTGGTCGACAAACTGACTACTCTCGTGTACAACAACATATGGATCCATAGGACAACGATCCTCTCCAGGCATTGTTTGCCTATCGCATAGTCTTGGGAGAGAGACACCGGCAAAGCCACCAGCGACGGGCAGAGTCTTCGTTTGATGACAATTTCGGCATTGGATGTGGAGTGCCGTAGCTTTTGAGGATAAGACAGAAGCGCCAATTACGATTCCGGGTACTCGAACGAGCCTTGAGATTGTGAGTGCGTCGAGATTTCGGATTGAGATATCGCCAGCTGAAGAATGGAGGAGTAGTTGGTGCTCAGGGATGACGACGTCTTTGTCAGAGGGGTACACAATGCGATGGGTACATTTCTTTAATGCGCTCTCAAACTTTGCCTGATTAGTATCGAAGGGATGAAATAGATCGGTTTTACTTACAAGTGGGATAATCTCAGCGGGCTCCGTGACGAGTCTGTGTGCAAGTTCTTCGTTGAAGGAGATAAGATGCCCAACGTCAACATCGCAGTAATATTGCTTCAGAAGGACATTCTCGCGGATTTGGTCTCTGCACCAATATTAGCTACACCTCCCTCAGTCGCTCGAAGAACAAATACCTGTAAATAAAGACATTTTCAAGGCGGAACTGCAGGATAAATTGCTCGAGCTGTACCTGGACTTGGCCGCGAGTATCTTCATTGTCGTACTCGGGGGGCAAAACACTCAGAGAGTACACTGATTGCCTATCCATATTGCCTCGTAGTAGTCGGATTGAGTATGGGAATTTACGGTGTGTTGTAGACTTGGATTTGGAGATGGAATTGAGCGCTTAAACTTCGACGGACGCGTTTTGATAATTCAACCGCGACGCGCCTTAGCGTGAGCTGCTTTAAAGTGGTTGCAGGTGCATTAGCATCGGATTCCAGAGGCTGACAGCCACAGCCAATCACATGCTTCTTTTCGAATGCATTTGGACGGACGAGAGTAAAGGCTGAAAGGAGTGAGTCCCGGGGACTTGTAACTATTCAACAGCACAACGATAATAATGCCCTCTACACGAAGCTACGAATAACTCGAACCTGCGCCTGCTTTTCCGCCCAGCAATGATACCCCGATACCGAATCAGCGACCGTCAACAAAACATTGAGTGTTCCGGCCTTCGTGGCCCTTGCGAAGAGAGCGATTTACTGCCTTGTATCGAAGCAACCACCGCCCGTTACACCGAGACTTTCGGTTCCATTTGTGTGGTTGTGGGGGAGGTTGGAGAGTTGACAAGCACAGCAGCAGTGTGAGACTGAACGTGCTAGGAAGATAATCTTTAATCATGGCCTCTCTGACGCCACGCCAGTCCGTAGACGTGGACAGCTTCTCTTCCAGCTCACCCAACCTCTTCTCGAAAAGCGAATACCCATTTCCCAGGTTGGTAGCATTGCAAATGGCGAGGGGTGTGGTGCTGACAGTTGACAGACCTGGTTCGAGTAGTAGCAATAGATATCAACCACGGAGAGGCTCAACCGCAAGTTCAATACACTCAATAGGAGGCACATTAGACACTGCATCAAATTGGCATGGACTGAGCGAATCAGGGCAGAATGGTAAACATGTTGGGCTCCGAAGAGTTTACAGTCTAATTCGTTATAGCTATATCTACTCTACTACAACCCCCCATCGTCCGGACTGGTCTTATTCCGCACACCTCGGCGCCGGCATCGAGCGCACACAAGCCACCAACTGCCCGAGACATCCCACCTGTGACGCTCACCAATATACCTACCGTGGATCCGTCCGAATTCAAGCCCTATTTGTCGCAGGTAGGGGCTCTGTATGACGCGCTTCAGAGGGCCAAAGAAAATGCGGAAGAAGGCGGAACCCAATTGCTCAGGAAGGGTAATCAAACGGATGACTTTGCAGATCTCTTGGATCCAGAGAGACGGTTATCTAGTCGGCCAAATCTTTCGAAACGATCTTCACTAGCCTCTTTAGCATCGTCTATTGAGACGCCCTCGGTGACTCGAAGGAGATTAAGCGGAGGCAAGCGAATGATACATGCCCCGACCCCTTTGTCAACGATACCCCCCGTCTACTTCGAAGAAGACTTTCACCTGGAGAATCCACGTACGTTTGATGTCGTTAGTGAACGTTCAGAAGTTGTAAAGCCAGCGCCGGGGACTCCTGATGAACGCAAGGCTCAAAACGGCGCTGCCACTGGTCCTCGGAAAGCTTTGGCAACTAATGCCATTCTCCAAGAGAAACTATCGTGGTATATGGATACAATTGAAGTACACCTTATAGCATCGATTTCGACTGCCTCTACATCCTTTTTCGCCGCCCTTGGGGAGTTAAGAGAGCTTCATTCTGAAGCAGCCGACTCTGTGAGTCGAATAAAAGCGTTACGGAAGGAATTGAAAGAGCTTGATGAGGACATGGCTATTGGCGGACTGGATATTGTTAACAAGAAACGGAGGAGAGAGAATATAAAACAACTAGGGGATGCGGTCCATCAGTTGAAACGAGTGGTCGAAACTTTGGCAACATGTGAGTCCCTGGTTGACAGTGGCGAAGTTGAGAAAGCGTTGGATGCCATGGATGGCTTAGAAAAACTCATCGCTGGTGAAGAGCAAGGAATGAGATCGGAGTATGGCGCTATCCAGTTTCGAGATCTCAGGGGTGCAACCGCATTACAAGGAGTCACAAACGACCTCGATGTTCTTCGATCTCGTATTGGCAAAACATTCGAGTCGAGATTCCTTCATACTCTACTTGGGGATCTCCGGCGTCATGTAGAATCGGTTTCTAACCCGGATATATTACAACGATGGAGTAGCGCATCAAAACGATCGCGAGGGGGGCATAATCGGGAGCCATCAATATACCCTTCTTATTTAGCGATGGGTGAAGATTTTAGACCTGAGTTGCAGTCAATCCTCAACGGTCTACATCGCGCACGGCATACTTCTCCCGCAACCGCTGCATATCGAGAGTCAGTACTGCGCGAAGTTCGAAACATCATCCGTCGGCCACTGCCAGCTTCGAATGATGATGACGCTACCTCCATGATGTCGACTTCTACGATTGGCGGAGGCCAACAAAAGTCGCAGCAGGAGAAGTCGACGATCCTAGCACGTAATTTAAGAGCATTAGACCCTGAAGATGCTGAAGAACTACTCAAAAAAGTATACATTGGCGTTGGCGAGACCTTGAGGCGACTTGGCTTTCAAGTCAAGATATTATTGGATGTTACCAGTACTCTTGGGGATCCTTCACCTCCTGCGGGCATGAAATCTCCCCCACGAAGTCCCAATATCGCTGCTCTTGATGGCCGACTGAAGCAAAACTCAACTCAGCAAATACAGGAAGAGATGCACCTAACCCTGGATATGTCGAATCTTCTAGGACAAGCTGTCGATATAGCACAAGACAAAATCGTGAAAGTATTGCGTGTACGATCAGAGCAGAGTATACATCTTCCAGTTGAAAAGTTCTTGAGATACTTCAATCTAAACCTTCTTTTTGCAAATGAATGCGAGGCAGTTTCCGGAAGAAGCGGTACGGCGCTGAAGAACGTTGTCAATGGTCATATTAAAGACTTCGTCCACCAACTTGGCGATTCTGAGAAACAGGCATTAGCTACTGGTATGGAAACTGATCCATGGAATGCAAGTGACTTCACAGACTCTGATAAAGAAGAGTTGTCGCGGATCCTTTCGGCAAGTACCCAGGACGCAGAAGCTTGGAGTACAGGCAGCAACATATGGCTCCCGCCTGAGAATCCACCTACGAGTACCCTAGCAGTCCCGTCTTCTGCTCAAACGAACGGAACATCTGGGACCTCAACGCCATCTTCCACTCCCGCCAAGCCTACAATACGCCCTGCAATCATCGAAGGTGAAACCTTCCTGCTCCCTATGTCTGCCATCTCCTGTCTCCATGGCATATCCACCTTCCTGCACCTGAATACCGGTATCCCATCCATGACGAATGAGATTGCAGCATCAATCCTCTCCTACCTATCAACCTTTAATTCTCGTTGTACACAACTTATCCTAGGTGCCGGTGCAACTCGCTCGGCAGCTAGCCTAAAGAATATCACGACCAAACACCTAGCTCTAGCAGCACAAGCTGTGTCCTTTATCAGCAGTCTAATTCCCCACATCCGCGAATTCGTACGTCGACATGCTGGATTAAACACCAGCATCTCAAACCTAATGGGCGAGTTCGACAAAGTGCGACGCGCATACTTAGAACATCAACAGTCGATCTATGACAAGCTCGTTGATATCATGGCCGGTCGTGCAGCTGCACATACCAAAGCTATGAAGCTGATCGATTGGGAGATCGCAGGCAAAGATGGCGTCAATGCATATATGGAGACTCTGACCAAGGAGACGAGGACTCTGCATAGGGTGCTGAGTAATTATCTGCCGGCGATTACGGTGCAGGGGATTATGGAGCCCGTGTTTAAGAGTTATAAAGAGCAACTAGGAAAGTCGCTTGAAGATGTGTCGCTGGGGAGCGAGGCTGCTCAATCTAGGTGTGTATATTTCCAAGCTCATGTCAATATTTTCTTATTAATGGTCTCATAGGATGCTTCGTGATGCGGAACACTTCAAAGCGAGAATAGGCGGTTTAGACGGCGCGGGCGATACAGGAGATTTCGTCGTCAATCTTGTGAAAAATAAGAACGTCCCAAAGCCCAAAACGCCTTCACCCCCACCTGTAAAAGAGGAAGCTGCGACAAATGGCACGATACCTACCCCTGAAACTAGTGGGAATGGGAAGGGGGGTGAGAAAGCCAACGATGAAAAAGCTCCTGAATAGACAGGTTAATTTCTAGGGGTATGTAGAATAATCCAGGGTATATCCCGCCACACATACTTGGCTTCTTCATTCATCTACTCTAGACCAGGCCTCAGGTCATGTCAGCCCTTTCACATTCCCTCAAACCCCCTGTCAATAAAGTATCGGTCGGATCTTCCCATTCGCCCTCTCGAGCAATCTCACCGACAATAATTCCCCGTAAACCCTTCTAACCCACCACCAACTTCCTCGTCGCAGCCGGATCAACAATCTCCTCCACCCCATACGCATTCGTCGTCCTCACTGGATTCATCAGCCTCCCGTACTCATCCCCTATCTCTATCAGGTGTCCTCCCTCTCCTCGTCCCCTACTCCTCCCAGTTCCGCCGCATAACCAACCTCAATACGCCCCTCTAAAGGCAAAGATCCCCATTCTCCACTCAGCCACGCGATACGCATACGCGGGTCCCGACAGTCCAGCATTATCCCGCCTGCAACGCCGTGTACACACCTGGTTATGACGGAGAATACGGGAATGGTGGTGGAGTAATATGTTGTGGCGAATGCGATACAATGCCATGTCTCACGGTTGCTGTCCGCTCTGTGTGAGTGCCGATTTCGTACCCTCGCACGTCTACGAATTGCAGGATGGGGATATTGAAGATGTCGTCTGGTTAGAGGATTTTGGTGTGTTTGGATGGGAGGGGTGGATGGGATTGTATGGGGTAGGCAATTATATATAACTAAATATAATAATATCTATATTTACTAATTAATTATAAAAATTAGGATAGAAAGATCCTAAAATCCTGAGTGCTGGAGTGTAGTTTTCGTCCACCTTACCTGCCACAACTTCCTATAATGCAGCCACACCTTCAACCCACAACGCGAGTCTCCCACATAATGCTTTAATTTACTTGAAGATAAGTTTCCTTATTTTGAGTTCAGTGTTTGATATAGCTTGAACAAGGATAGTTTCAAGTTATTACATCATATTCACTTGTCTAGACACTAGTCTCAAAAACTAGTTGAACGCGTACACTAGGTAGTATTATATAGCTTCATGTATGAATGAGTACTGGTAAGCTAATTTAACAAATGTGCTAGAAGGCGTAAAAATGTCTTCCCATCCCACAGCTGGAATCTTTTCTTTTCGTTCTGCAAAAACCTTTCTGCATATCCAGTCAGTCACAATGAATATTCAAATTTCCAGTGACAACCCCATCGCTGATCTCGACGGTCTGCGTCGTGAGCTGCAACACCTCCAAGCACTCCAAGCCCAAACATTATTGGGCGACTTCCCAGAGTGCTACTTGCTTTACACCGAACTCGGAATGGATTTCGATGATACACAAGAAGCTATCCTCGACGACCTTCTTGACAAGATCACCGAAAGTCACACGAAAATAAACAGCAATGAAGACTTCATCGAAGAAACAACTCCTACAACTTTACCCCGCAAAAACCCCGGAAAGAATGTCAGTGTCACTTTTGATTCTGACACCAAGATAGTTGATGGAGGACGGAAAGCCAAGAGAACCCGTCGGGACAAGAAGGAGAAGGACACCCGTCGAGTATTAACGGCCAAAGAAGCTTTCCTTGCCTACCTTGCGAGGGAAGCCTCAAAGACGAATATGGAAGCCAACGTGCCATGTACTCCTGTTCTCTCAACCTAATTTCGCCCAGAAATCGGAAACACGAAAATCAAAAGATTAATTACCCACTAAGCAGCCATAGCCTGCTTGTTAGGAGAACCAACATGTCAGGCGTTCTTTGCACGACTACGTTGTTCACCATGGGTCATTACCGGATACCGCCTCGGCATAGAGCAGCAGAAACGATATGGACGGAAGTAGAATTGCTATCGCCCACGCAACGAAAATGAGAAGGATATGATAGATGATAGATGAAGAGAAGGAGGCAGGCAGGCAAGCAATGATTGACACCGGTCCAGAAGGAGAAGAAGAAGTTTTTGCACTTGCGAGTCTATTGGTCCTCTTACTGAAGACGCTGGCGCCAATTCAGCAAGAACCCATAAATGTAATTCTTACAACCCCAATCATCCCAGGACCATGTGACCTTCGTACCCTAGCTTGTTTATATTCACACAAGCTCCAGTACTTAACTAATATAGGTAAATATCTTTTAAACCCCTAGCTTAGAAAGAATGAAGAAACAAGTAAAGTTAAAGGAGGCACGTGAGGAGTTGATTGATTGCTGTTGAGGAACGTGTCGGTAAAGGCGAAAAGGAAGGCGATCAGGAAGCGAGAGATGAGTCTGAGACGGATACGATTGGTGTAATGTTGTCAAGATGCTGAGTAAAAGGTATGTAAATTGTAAGAAACTTCTACCAACTCCTAGCCGACTTGCGGAGCAGAAACTTCCTTGTCCTACGCTACCTGTATATAGTACATAGTAAAGAGCAGTGATACAGGTGGAGAATAAGATATATACACAGTGCTGACATTCAAGATAATAAAAGCGCACACACATTAACAGTACTGGTGGCATGTGAAAGTTTTGTATATACTTTTCATTATCTCATCTATTAAACCTGAAAAAGAGGTACTCCAAACAGTCCCGCAAAACCGTCGTTTCCAACACGATTCATTGCGCTCGGAGCTCATCTACAATCGCAAGAAATTTACATCAAACAGCCTTTCCCAAGCTATGCTTCATAAATCATTCATGCAAAAAGGTATCTTTCAGGTACTGCAAAGGGGGAATGTACGAATAATAAATGTAAGAACAATCAAGGGATAGCGTTAAGCTCTTCCCGCTGTCTCAAGTACTTCTTGGCAAGCTCGTCACCGCCGAGGGCACTGAGCTCCATCCAGTGATAGGCGGCGCACATTGTGGCTGGATCACTGCGCTCTCTATCTCGCTCTTCCTTACCCGTGCTGCCTCCGCCATGCATCTCCATGACTTGCGCTTTGAATGTTTCTCTTGGCTTGCTCAATGGCGCCGTGACCCTCTCGACCAACTCGGGATGAGTGAGGTAGAAGATAGCAAGTTCGCGTTCAGCGACCGGGTCTCCTTCTTTGGCAGTGATAGTCCACATCTTGGCGGCATCTTGCATGCTATATTTCATGAGCTCGCCATTCGCGTTGGTTGGTGGCAAAGCTTCCGGGATGGAAACAGTTTTGCGCGTTTGTGTGTAATGGACCACCACTTCGTCGGCGATCTCGACGAGCGTGCGGCAAACGTCTTGTTTCAACCCAAGGGCTGCAAGCCCTGCATCCCAAAAGGCCTTGCCACGCTCCGTTTTGTCCAAGACAGCAGCTGGGACGAAGGATGCAATGAATTGGAGGTCTCGGAAAAGTGTCTTTGGACGGATGTCTGGATCACGGAACAAATCTTGTAGGACATCAACGATCATATCGGTGCTAGCTGGAGTGGGTACATTTGATGATCGCTCGGAATTTCGATGGACAGGAGAACTGGTCTCCGGTTGGTGGAGTGTATGTGAGCGTCGTTCCTTGCAATTATCAATTGCCTCCTCAAGATTTTTGGCACGCGGTGCGGCCGGGGAAGTCTCGGTATACGCGAAAGCATTTATATGCTGCACTTCAGGGGATTGAGGGGCATTAGTTATGGTGTCCTGCCGGAGACGTGGTCGTCGAGGAGCAGATGGTGTAAGGTAGGCAATGATGAGTTGCTGCAGTTCATACAGGGCGTTTAGCTTGGCATGTGGATTGGGATGCACTGAAAACATCCTCAACAATTGTTGAAACGCCTGTCTATAAGGGAAATCAGGAGAGTCCAACTCTTTCGACACACTCTTCTGTCGCCTATGAACAACAGTGTCGCTGGTAGACGAGCTTTCCGTGTTTGCTTGAGAATCTGCACGGTCCAAGGAAGTTCTCGTAGTATTCGACGACACTCTTTCGGTGCGGTCAATATACGCATCAGGCCGTTCACCGGGCAAATCGATTCTCTGCGCTCCTCGAAGATCTCGGAAGCTTTTTTTCTTCTCGAGTGTTCGTTTTTTGCTTCTTCTTCGAGCCTTTCGGTCCGCACGCTCTCTCCTTTCCATACAATCCTGGCCAAGATCACCCGCGAACCAAGAGTCAGTTTCACTTCCTCTCGCAAAGACGAGAGTTCCCAGATCACTAAGCAGTAAGCTAGTTAAAGTTTGCTTTAGGTCTATGAGGAAACGCTGCTTTGCTTGAGTTGCGCGGTCTTCTTTCAATATGACGGTCTCGTTTGTTGAGGATGCGGTGTCTGGACGAGCACTGCTAATACTTGTAGATGGTGACTGAGCTCGGGCCTGGAATGGTGACCAAAACGTAGTTGCCGAGTCGATAGCCAAAACAGGACTGGCCATACCGAAGTAATCTTGTGAATCCATCAAATCACCGGTTGTACTTATCCGAGACATGCTAAATCTTCCCGAATCGAAGCTTTGTTGAGAGTTGTTTCGTGCAGACATTGTTCGGAGATCTCTGAGGCCAGATCGATTGAAATCCGTATTTCTTAGACCTCGACGACCTGCATCAGGATCAGTAAGATCATCTCCCGATATGTTGAGAGACCCAAAGCCGTTGATGAATAAGTCTGCTTTTTGCCGCCCACTGTCCAAAATTCGTTTATCCCGATGATACAATTCGCTAGACCAAAGAACAGGCCCTTCCATGAGGTTATCTCCAACTAGCTTATTGATACAGGCTTCAATCTCCAAACAAAATCTGTGGATTCGTTCCTCGCCCTTGCAGAAGTTTTCGATGCCAAATTGGGAAAGCCAACGTAACGTCTTCTCAGATTGTTCGTCCGACAACTTGTTTGGACCACCTTGCTCCTCGACTGCAGCCATCATATCCATAACTTGGGCTTCGGTCTTCAGCAAAAAATTGTTTGTAGAGGATCTGGACATGTTCCGCGGTCGCATGCTAGCTGGCGGCATGTATGAGACTTTCTTGGGCGCTGCCATGCACTTGAGCGCAACGGCAATGTTTCGAGCACCTTCGTAAGCGGCCGAATTCCTCACATCCGTGACATACCACATCTTATCTCTGAGAGACTTGAGGCGTTTCATCATTGATTCGATGGTCACATCGTGACGCTCCTGGGATTGCTTTAGCCAAACCAACCACGCATCATACTCCTCAACCGCGCTCGTCGACCGCCGAATAAGGTCTCTAGGACCTCTAGAAAAGATAGTCAGGAGTGAAGAGAAACCGTCTCGCTTCAGTGATGGAGATGACAGTTGATGAAGTAGATTCAGTGTCTTCCAATACAAGTGAGCATTGACAAAATCCGACTGAGCTTGGCATTGCGACCCTGCTGCCTCAAGCATAGTAATCAGGACTGAGGGTTGATCTTCAGACTCTTTTCCACTGTCGGTGTCGTGACGATGTCGTGACGACTTGGAAGAGGCTCGTTTGGCATTTCGATCAGTTGGCGACGGATCACGTGGTCGGTATGGATTCTTCGACTGTGCTTGTGCCGATGAACCTGGCCGACTGCGATGCTTCTTTCGAGGGCTTTCAAGTACGGATGTCCTGTTACTGAAGGTCTTTGATTCGGTCTTGGAGTTAAGGGATTGAGGAATCTCATAGTCTTCAACTAGCTTCAGGATCGAATCTCTGAGTTGATGATAGTCTTTGTCGAGATCTGGACGTGCTCCAGAGCCCTCATCCTCGCTGTCGCTGCTAGTGGTGTTGTCTTCTTCTTCGCCATCATCATCCGGATCATGTAGCATCTGAGTAGACAGGTTTTGGCCATCAGGAGACATGAATAAAACAGCCCAACGTTCGGCGCATGGATGACATGTACCAGTAGTCCCATCAGTCCCTAATGCTTGAGTCATCTCGTAGAGTGCGACGCGAAGCTCGAATCCGTCATCCTCATAGAGGCTGAGGCGTTGATTTTGATTCACAGAAGAATATCGCTGAGTGGCATTCGAATTCTCATCGAGAAGAGGTTCACGAGACGTAGTGGTATCGCTGATCACTGACGATCCACTATTGCTAATGACAGAGGCGTTATCAAAAGCATTACGTTGAGTAGGCATTGGGATTGATGCAGTCATCACAGACATTCCTGAAATTGATGATGCAGAAGAGCGCAAACCATGTATCTCTTTAGCTAGAGAGCTAGAGGCTGGACGTCTTTCGGGGAAAAGAGCGTTGACTATAGTCACGAGGTCCGAAGGTCCAAGAACGAGATAGGGATGAACTTCCACTGTCTCTCGCAAGGACGTTATGGATCTTGCTGGAAGGAGCTTCGCTTTGGACCGGGAAGGGCGGTTTGACTTGAATCGTGCCATGATGTTCTCAATATGACCCTTGATCGCAAGAGGAGCTGAGGATGAGGATGATTTGTTCCTAGAAGAGAAAAAAAAAGTCAGTAAACGGGTTCCAACAGATAAGTAGCTACTCACCAGACCATATCAACGACAAGTCGCAAGGCTCGCATCCCAACTTCTCTCAAAATCTTCTGCCTGCCATATTCGGTAATGTGGTACTCCGACATCATGCCGTAGGACTGAAATACGTCAGTTCTGTTCCAGTGATGAAGAATCAAGCGCTCACCTCCGGGTGGATGATGACATTAAGCAGGAAAACTTGAAAGAGCCATTTGGAGACTAGGAATTTCCTTGTAGCCATGTGTCTTTTGGGGTCAAGTTTACGGAGAGTGGCATTTCCAAGTTCAATGAGGCCTTCAGGAATTCCACCTGCTCCAGGGTCATCAACTATTTCAAAAAGTCCTTGGACGGCAGCGGTATAGAACTCATCAGCTGCTATCGAGTCCTTGGCGTTCCGTGGTTCCACATGAATACGGGTTCCCGCTTGGTCCTCGGCTTTTTCCAATAAGAAGGCTCCATCCTCTAGGATTTTCATGAGATACCATTCCATATTGCTTCTTCCAGACCAGTCCCGCATGGCTGTCCAAACATTAAGTACGCTACAAATAAAGGGATCGACGCCGGTCTTGCTCTCAGTAATCAGTCGTGCACATGTGGTGGCCCACACGTCAGTTCTCCTAAGGTCTTCCACGGAGTCTGGGCCAGCTGAATTTGCAAAGCAAGTATGAATTAAAGCAGACAACGGATCATGACGCTGGAATGAAAGTAAACGCTCAACTGCAGAGGGTATATGTACGGAACTTCGGTGGTTACCAGAAGCATGGCCTTTCGAACGATTATGAAATGGCAAAACAGAATCAACGGCTTCCAATCCCTGGTGGAATGATGTTAGAGCAGAGAGCTCTGGGGCTGAAAGACTTGCAATCCGACTGGCCAAATAGTCTGGGTTTGTCCGGATCTGGGTCAGAAATCTAAGAAGGGTATCGCGGGAACGCTGGGGTATTTCATGCATGAAAGTTGTCAAAGAACTGGTCTCTTGTCCACCAGGGTTTGGGCGTTCTCCATCCAAGTCTGGTTCCAATAATGCATACCGACGAGTTGCATCACATGAGTTCCGGACATCATGGATAGCATTGTAAAGGCTAGCAAAGTTCTTCTTTTCATCGCCCCTAAAATTATCAACTAGTGTTCGGTGAGCCAATTCTCCGCAACGGGCCAGACGCGCGGAAAGAGCAGTAGAAACCAAAGATCTTTGTAGCCGTAGCCGGGAATGGATTCTCTTCCTCTCTTGGTAGGTGGAGAGCCGGACTAGATGGGCAAGTTCCTCCAACGTTGTGGAAGCAGTCGCAGCTGTGACTGCTGCAATCTGCGGGTTTATGTATTGGGAAACATCTTGGAGAAGGGGCAGCTGTGGCAATTTGGTGGCTGGAAGAGCGATCTCAGGGTTCTTTGAATTCAAAGAACCTTGGGACGAATCTTGTCTTTGCCGTGAGGCAGGAGATGGAGAGGTTTGTCGCGTGCTACTTCGAGTTCTCTCTCGATCTGCGGGCTTCTCTTTATAGGATGTAGGGGGTCTACTAGGACTTTGGGACTGGTACCGGTGGAGTCTTGGGAGAGCAGGGGTTTCAAGAGGGGTTGGAGTCGGGCTTCGCGAGGGGACCTGCGTGGTAGTAGGGGAAACGGCTACAAGGCCGCAGAGTCAGTAAGCGTTCGGTAGATGTAAAAGAAAGAAATGAAGCTATAGATTGGGTAAAATGAGATTTCCTCGAGTAGGCATGGTATGTATACCCAACGTACAGGCGTGGGCAGGCCCAGGAAGAGAGAGTGACCGTTGCATTTGGATCATCGCTCCATCTAGGTGTCAGCTGGCTGCGATCTCGAGCCTGAGAGCTTTTGAGATGCGATGTTGTTGTCGCGCTCTGCCCACGGGGGAAGGCTGAGGTCGTGTCGGCTGATAGACGATAAGAGGGGCGGCGGGAGGAGTTAAGGAGAGAGAGGGAACCTTCGACACTTGCTTCTCTACATCATTATCAAGAATAATGCGATGCGATGCGATGGGTGAGACGAAGCGAGGAAAGAGTGAAGCTTGTCTTGAGAGAAAGAGTCCGGGAGTCCAGGAGTCCAGGAGGAGTACTGTACAAGTAAGAAGCGGACTTGCGACGAGGTTCGTCCAGAAGAATCGACGACTGCCAACAAATCCGCATAGATCCCTGCCACCACAACATCCAATCATGAGCTCCCACCAATTTGGGCAGATCATCAGCCATCAGCCATCAGCCATTTCAGCACAGGGTGTGTTCACCACCTATTGGCAGCCAGCCTACGAGACGATCAGACCATGAGACTACGCAGAGACTAAGCCGTGGTGGCAGCTCACCCAATATGCGCCTGGCCAAATCTGATGTGCAGCTTAGATGTAAGAGGATGCAAGAACATGTCCGGCCGAGACTCGAAAAAGACGGCTCCTTCCAGCATCCTACAGCAAGATATACTACTCTAGTATGCATGCATCTACTGCTGGGGACATACAAGCTTCTCGAGTGGCACTTGCAGAGGATAGGATATGCTCTATTCTTACCCGATTCTTGCCTCCTACAGCATCTGGAACTCCCTCCCAAGTGGTTTGCCCCTACCTTTCCATCTTTCCACCTGTCACAGCCGGGAACAAGGCTTTGGGACTCGATGGGAGCTGGCACTGGCTAGTATTGCTTGTTGATTAGCCAAAGAATAGGCTGGCCATTGCTGCAAACCACTCACTTCGTGGCTGAAGACTTGGGTGTACATTGCACAGTAACATCTACACGCTAACCATCTACTTGCTACCCAAGGTAGAGTCACCTCGTCCTTTCCCGTGCGTCTTACGTTTGCTGGTCAAAGTGCCACATTATCTATGTATATCCGCCCGAGACAACAGGAGCCATGGCTACCTTACCTAGATATAACGCCATTGCGTTTGCAGTCGCAGCATGTGTTGGTCGCAGCAACGGTCACATACAGGATCGATACCACGAAACCCATGCCTAATATTAGTAAAGCTCCGTGTTGCCTTCCTCCATCCACTCATTATTCTGGAGCCCTTGCCGCTTTTTGTTGCATAAGTCCCGGAATTTGCCAACTCATCGTACATATATGCCTAGTGCCAAAATGTAGTTTGGCGCTCGACACGAAACATTTGCTTTTCTGATAGATTTATGCATACTACGCTGATTGATACCTCTTATACTTGGCTCCTGTTAGCGAGTACCTTTGTTTACTCTTTGGCCCGAAAGGTTCAAGAAACAGTTCGTAGTATCACGTGGTGCATTCCTCTTGAAACAAGCTCCGGCAACGTACGAAGTAGACGACTCTCGATCAGTATTAGAGTCCTTTTCATTCTCTCCTTACGTTCACATGGCTACGAAATGTATTCGCCGTTCTCTTTAAAGTCCCTGGACTCAGCATGTGACTTACATCACATGACTGACACAATCAGAGTGGCTGAGACAGACGTCGTAGTGTACTGTACAGTATAGTATAGAGGTGTACTTGTCTCGCATCAAAGCTCTTCTTTAAACTCGATGCAGAACTTTTCCCATCCCACACTTCCTCGGTATCTCTTTTCGAATTCAGACAGGAAAGCTATTGATTCTGCGGCAAACCATCCACCTGCATTATCTGGGATCATCTCTTGACGTGGCACGAAAGCTGTGGCGCTAGTTCAACACCCACATAAGAAGTCAATCACATGACCTTGCGACCGAAAGGTCTACAGGATAGTCTATCTGTTTTACAGTCGGGGAGGTTTTCTTCCTCACGTGCTAAATGAAAAGGTCGTGAATGAGAACTCTTGTCTTACTGTTATATCATTAGATTTGTCGTTAGAGTGGGCAATCAGACGAAGCCCTATTGATACCTCTGGTGCCAATTCTCGGAGTAATTGTTAGGCAAAGACCTGCTTTTTTGGTCCAAGTCACAAGTTGAGGCACTCCAAGTCAGGTACTGTACACTGAAAGGTGAACTCCATAGCGAAATTTGAAATTTCAAGAGCAGGTGGGAGTAAAGTAAATCAAGCAACGAATTTATTCTCTTATGGTTGCAAATTGGTCACTTAGCTGAGGAATCCATTTTTGCATAGGAATCACTTCTTGATAGACATGATTTGGAGGGACAATGCTTCTCCAAAATAATCGAGCGTTTGCTTAATATTTTGTATCATTTATGGTTAGAGTTTATGGTTGGACATTTACCAAGTCAGTGGCACGGCCTCATGAAATTTCAACCCCACAACTCTTCCCGAGCTGCACCCCTACAAGTCTCGACAAACTACCTATCTCGTGTTTTTCACGAATCAGAAATGCCTTTCATCTTTCCCCTTAAATCTCTTTATTCATCTTATTTCATTTCTATTTATAGCGTGATCAACTGGTTGTTGGGTATTTACGTGAAATTTGGCTTTTAGCGTAAACAATTCACATCAATACGACGTATTTGAAACGTTGTGAATTACTTCCTGAATTGGTTCTTATAAACACTGCTCTCCTCCCTCAACTCCTGTCTTGAAACTATTTAGATCCCAACTTTGGACAAAGGAAACAAAGACCAAAGCTCAAGATGGTTCTCCCTTCAGCAATCCTCCTCCCTCTGTACCTCTACCCCTCCGTCACCACTGACCCGTGGAAACCTCTCTACGACTCCCTAACGGCGCACCCAAACACCCAATTTGATATCGTCATCAACCCCGACTCAGGTCCCTTGCTCGTAGGCCCATCCGACAGCGCCCTCTCAGACTACGTTGTCGCCGTCTCCAAGCTCCGCACCTACCCCAATGTCAATATCTTCGGATACGTTCACACAGGCTGGGGCGCCGCCTCCCTGCAACCGGCGCTCCTATCCAACATCTCCCGCTATGCAACCTGGAACACCTACACGCCGGCCAACATCAGCCTGGACGGCATCTTCATCGACGAAGCCCCCAACGCCTACGACCCCACGATCTACACCAACCTGCAAACCGCCACTAATCTCGCGCGCTCATCGGAACTGCCCAAAATCATCTTAAACCCCGGCACCGTAGCTGATGCCGAGTATTTCGCGCTCGCGGATTACATCATCATGTTTGAGGGCGCGTATGCTAACTTTAATGCGAGTGAGATGGCGGCACTTTCGCAGGCTGTGAGGGCGAATAGCTCGGTGATTCTTTATGATTCTACGCTTGCGGAAGCGGATCAGAACACGTTGGTTAATCAGTTGGTGGATTTGGGCTTGGGAAGTTTGGATGTTACGACGACGAATACCTATGATACTTGGAGTGCGCTTTGGACTGCTTTCACTCAGCAAGTTAGCAGTGCTGTGGGAGTGACGTAGAGGGGTTATTTTCGATGTTGTTTTTGGATCGTGGGACATAGCTACACTTTGATTCATTGTATACCAAGATAGATATGTTCCCTCCTGACCTGGGCTTTCATTTGGCACTCTGATTTACTTGTGATGGTCGACTGTTCATGATTTGCATGGAATCAAAGCACGTCATTTCAAACGCTATATTCGGCACCCGTTCACAGCCATTTTATTCCCTTCTACATACAAAAGATTGCGAGATGTCAGGTCGGGATCCCGGCCCGGGAAACTGTTTCGAGATTGATCCTGACTCCTGAAGGAAGCGGGGCCTGAATGTTTCATCAACCATGAAAATCCTAGAAACAAAAAAGAGATACCCCCAAAGAAGATGGACAGTCCCAGGTGCATATCATAGAGAATTGAATGTTCTAAATTCTACCAGACTATGTATTCAAGTCCCCTCGCTTAAGGGGAAAAGGGGCCAAGGCACGTGACCGTCCCAAAAATCCGATTTTGGGGGGGGGTTGCACTACTCGAGACTATAGCGTGTGCTAGAACATGCAGGGATCTCTTCTATAAAAAACAAGGAATTGAAGTTCATTACAAGACAATGCAAAATGGAGACGACGTAGAGTCTGTTTGTTGTGATTGCAGACTCAAGAAGAAAGCTGATCACTAAGAGAGGAAGGATGTAGAAAACATAAAAAACAATTCCTAGGGTTTCGAGATGCTTGGTAGGCATAGATCAGAATATGGGTTGATAATGAAAGGTTGAAGGACTTGAGAGATGAATGTCATCGGTATTATAACGTGGACTTGAATTGGGAAGCAACTGCTTGTGGTAGCTAACTGGCTCCAGGTGGGAAGCCATAACAGAAAAAGAAGGCAATCCTGTACACTAGACTTGTGAACTTTGAGCAGAAAATTAAGAGTGATTTTAAATATCTGGCATTCTTGAAAGAGCTTATCAGTAATCTTTGCTATGCAAAATCGCCGGAGACCAGTCAAACAGAACCGGGTTCCAGTTTCTGGGAACCAGCATGGAATTCGTAAATATTTTGATTTAAAAGTTGCTTGAATATCATTTGTCATCATGCCATCTAACGCCTCCCCTGCTCATGCAATGTAACTCCTTTTACCACGGGATATTCAGGAGTATGGACCCTGGGTATTTGCAAACCTATGTATTACGTCCCTTTCATCTCTCAATCTCATCCATCGGGACATCTTCAAGATCCTTTCCAACAATCGCCTCAGCTACTTTCCAGATTTGGATGAGGTTGTCTTGAGCAGCGCTGCACACAACCCATGGTTCATTCAAGTTCCAGCAGAAATCTGCTACGCTGTTTGTGTGGCCACCATGCATAAACAGCCTGCTGCTGGCATTAGTATCGTACATAAATTGAAAATGTTTTAAGAGAACTTACAGCTCTGGTGGGCCATCCTCTTGGTCGTCTGGTAATTGTTCTTCTCCGACTCTGCTAAGATCCCAGAATATCACACGACGATCGTCACTCCCACTTGCCAAGACAGCCTCCTCGAATGGGTGCCATGCCAGTGACGTAACGATGTCGCTGTGACCCTCAAGCGAATGGAGCTTGTCCTTCAAATTCCTCAAGTCCCAGAGCGCAATCGTTTTGTCAGCTGAGCCAGTCGCTAGGACGAACTCCGACGCTGGGTTGAATGCTAATGAATTGACAGCATCAGTATGGCCTTGACCTTGAGAAGCTGACTTATTAGTCTCGCTTTGCCGAACATCAAGGATTTGTAAGGTAAGATCGTCCGAGACGGTTCCAATCATTGATTTATGTAGTGGGTGGTATTGAACATCGTTAACAACTGAAGTGTGGTGAGTGTAGGTCCTTGTGGCTTTGACATGGTTGTTGCTTGAATTTATAGTTTTCAGGTTCCTAAAGTCAAACGTAAGCGATAGCTCTAAAGGCAGGGTAGGGGTTCTTTACCAGAGTCGCACTGTGCTATCTCCACTGCCAGTCGCAAGGTGCCCGTTTTCGCCTGGATGGGGGTTCCAGCTCAACCCGAAGCCCTCCTTTTTGTGGCCTACAAGCTCTGCCTGTGGAGACACGACACCATTTGGAATACTGCTATGTTTGGTTCGATCGAATACTAACACTCGCCCATCCGGACACATTGTTGCAATGATGTTGGGATTCTGCGGTTGGTACCTTGCTTTGTTGACCTCACCCGGGTGATCAATCTTCTGTTCGATGACCATCTTAATTGCCGCTTGTTCGCCAGTCGAGGAGCCTCCATATCCGCCGATCTCTCCTCGCTCTTCATCGTAGTCATTTGGGTTGGGTGTGATATTTTTGGGCAACTCAACGGTGGCAATCTGAAGGTAGTTCTGTGCATCATTTGAGGTATGGGTACCAAGGAGGAGACGGTGAATGGTGTAGTTCTTCCCTGCTGGCCTAAATCTGTTCAGTTTTGCAGTTATAAGCATAGGCGCATTCCGAACTCACTCTTTAACATCGGGAAACCATTGGGTTGTCAACGTTGGCCATTCCAGCGCAGTACTTTGTTACATTAGATTGATTGCAGATACACCGAGACAGCTTCGCTCACCTCAGGATCATGTCATAGAGGAAAGGGCTGTTCTTCTTCCACGTCTTGTATTCTAGGGTCCAGATTTAGCTGCAGTAGACGGCTCGAGAATCTTGTGCCGTACCTTCATTGATGACCTTTTGCTCTGTAACATCGTTCTCGGCCTCGGGGCGATCGACTATAAGCTGTTAATTCCATTCGAGGGCCATCTCATCAAAATCAACACGCAATGCGACCTGTATTCAGGATGCGCTGAAAGGCTTGCTGGACTCACCATCCATCTCATGGTCTGGAGATTCAGGAGCCATTTCGACTGTGGTCGTTAGGAAGTCGTGAGAATGAGGCGGGGATGAATTCACGAGGATATTATAAATTGAGCTTTTATTTTGTAGAGCGTGTTGAAATTGATCCAGACGCGCCTTGCCTTGCCTCGCCTCGCCTCGCGTTAAGTGAAATTCAAGCCTTGGGGCCTTACGATCCTTAGCGCCGGTTCAGCTTGGCTGGGCCCCGGTCCGGCTGCATCGAGGCTGAACTTTCTCGCCTTCTCGTCGACGGCTTGAAAACTACAAAGAACACAAAACGACAACAGGCTCAGCGCCACCGAGAGAAAGAGAGAGAAGCAGAAGAGGCCGGGGAAATTTTTATCTTTTACGATCACGATCCTACATCAAGCAAGCGATAACCAAGCGTCATTGTATTCATTGCATGCGCTTTTGCCTTCGCCCTAACAGTACTTGCGGTAACAGCAAGGCTCCTCTCGCTTCAATTCTACACACCACACATACATACTCTACACAGTCATCATGGGTGTCCCCAAATTCTTCAGGTGGATGAGCGAGCGGTATCCGGCCATATCACAGCTGATTGCGGAGAATCGGATACCAGAATTCGATTGTCTTTACCTAGACATGAACGGAATCATCCACAACTGCACGCACAAAGACTCCGACGATGCAACGTTCCGAATGACCGAGGAACAAATGTTTATTGCAATCTTCAATTATATTGAGCATTTGTATGGGAAGATCAAGCCAAAGCAGCTATTCTTTATGGCCATTGATGGCGTTGCGCCCAGAGCAAAGATGAACCAACAGCGAGCCCGAAGATTTCGAACTGCGCTAGATGTTGAAAATGCCAGAGAGAAGGCAATTAAAGAAGGCAAGGAAATGCCAAAGGAAGAAGCATTTGATAGCAATTCCATCACTCCAGGTACGATCATAGTTTAGGAGCTGGATATCAAGCTGAGTTAAATAGGTACCGAGTTCATGCATAAATTGACTCAACAGTTGAAATATTTCATCAACAAGAAGGTGTCAGAGGATGTCGATTGGCAGGGCGTTGAAATCGTGCTGTCCGGCCACGAGGTCCCGGGAGAGGGAGAACACAAGGTCATGGAATACATTCGACTGGCAAAGGCGCAGCCCGATTATGACCCCAATGTCCGACATTGTCTTTACGGTCTTGATGCCGATTTGATCATGCTGGGGCTTTTGAGCCATGATCCCCATTTCTGCCTGCTTCGAGAGGAGGTCACATTTGGAAGACAGAGCAAGACGAAGTCGAAAGAGCTAGAACACCAAAATTTCTATCTCATGCACCTTTGCATTGTGCGGGAATACTTGGAATTGGAATTCCAAGAATTAAAAGAGGATGGCGTACTGGGATTTGCATTTGATCTCGAACGAGTCATCGACGATTTCATACTGATGGCGTTCTTTGTTGGAAACGATTTCTTGCCCAACCTTCCTAATTTACATATCAATGAAGGGGCATTGGCGCTGATGTTCAAAATTTACAAGACAGTTCTTCCAAAGGGTACTGGGTACATCAACGAAGGAGGTGTTATCAATATGGAGCGACTGGCTATCTTGTTAGAAGAGCTTTCGCATGTGGAATATCGCTTTTTCGAGAGTGAAAGCTCGGATCAGAAATGGTTCAGATCGAAGCAGATGGCTAAAGAGGATGTCATGGTGAAAGGCAAGACAAAGGGCAAGATTACGATGACAACTCCTCAGCGGGAAGTGTGGAAGCAGGTCAAGAAATACGTCACTCGTCGCTCTGATGAGCCTTTGAACCTCCCAGCGACTTTGTCTGCCGCAGATCGGAAATTTGTCCAGGATCTGGCCGAGAGCCTGCACCTGGAATGGAAGACGATTGAGGACGATCAAGGCGATCGGCATATGCAGCTCTCCTTTCCTCCTAAGCTAGTTGGCGACGACGAAGAAGACGACGAGGAAGATGAAGAATCGCAGCTTGCAGTCCGGCGTGTTGTCAAGCAGTTTGACAGCGCTCAAACAATCGACATTACCAGAGCAGAAGCGCAAGCTGAGATGGATCGTCAATACGAAGAGAAATTTCAGGAATGGAAGGACAAATACTACGAAGGCAAATTCGAGTGGACCCGGAAGAATGATACGGAGCTGACGAAATTATGCGAGAACTATGTCCAAGGGCTCCAGTGGGTACTTTTCTACTATTACAGAGGAGTTGCTTCTTGGCCATGGTTCTACCAGTATCATTATTCACCGATGATCTCAGATGTCGTCAAAGGCTTGAAGGCAGATGTCAACTTCAAGCTCGGACAGCCTTTCCATCCGTATGAACAGCTTATGGGTGTGCTCCCTGACCGAAGTAAGAAGATTGTGCCAGCTGTCTATCATGATCTCATGACGAACCCTAATTCTCCGATCATTGACTTCTACCCTCGAGACTTCGAGCTGGATATGAACGGGAAGAAGATGGAATGGGAAGCTGTGGTCAAGATTCCTTTTATCGAAGAGGGCAGATTGTTGGCTGCCATGGCTCCAAAGAATGCTCTCTTGAGTGAGGACGAGAAATTCCGTAACGACTTTGGCGTGACACTGAAGTTCACCCATGACCCGGACATATCATTTACCTATCCCTCTTCTCTTGTGGGCATCTTCCCCGATATACCCAATTGTCACTGCGTCGAGAACATCTTTGATCTCCCAACAATCGAGGGCTTGGAGTATCATGTTGGCTTGATGGAAGGTGTGAAATTAGGGCATGCCGCATTGGCTGGCTTCCCTAGCTTGGCTACCATCCCTTACAACGCAACTTTGGGATTTCATAGTGTCAATGTCTTTCAGTCGGACAGCAAAAACGAAAGTATGGTCGTCACGATCGAAGACAGCGAAAACCGAACCAACGTCAAGACTGCCACAATGAAATTGGGCCAACGAGTGTTCGTGGGTTACCCTTTCTTGCAGGAGGGCAAGGTAGTCAAGGTTTCAGATGAGCTATTTGACTATTTTCCTTCCAGTGACGGGTCGAATCAGCCTTTACAACAACCCCATGGCCCTCGAGAAATCGAAGATTTCCGCAAGAAGGCTGATAGAATCGAGAACAACTACAGCAAGCGTCTGGGTATCATTATTGGCCCTGTCGAATCAATCACTCATGTTGAGATATTGAAGGGTCTGAAAAAGACCGATGAAGGAGCCAGCATCAAGGAGTACGCTGTCATCCCTGGAATCGAAACTGAATACGCAACTCAAGTCTGTGTGGACGAAGTTCTAAGCGAGGATCAACGATTCTTAGAGAAAGCAGCTGTTCCGATTGAGGAGGAGTTTCCACCAGGCTCTCGGGCTTTCTTCTTAGGGGAATTCAACTTCGGCAGGCCTCTTGAGATAATCAGCCACAAGGATAACCGGGCAGAGATCTGGCTTTCAACGATCAAGGGAAAGGAAGTTGAATTTGGGCGTAACATTGTCAATGGGCATGGCTCCCAGACTCATTACACGCCTTCGTTTGCTGTAGCAAAGATGCTTGGTCTCCACCCTCTTGTTCTGAGCAAGATCACATCATCGTTCACTATTTCCGCTCTTGGCTTGGATCGTCTTAATCTTGGACTTAATCTAAAGTTCGAGGCAAAAAAGCTGAAAGTCCTGGGCTATTCTCAGCGTACAGATAAAGGCAAGTGATCTGGGCGATCTCTCCCTCCTATTCTTGTTCCGCCACGGTTGCAAGCCGTTTATACATTTACTGACTCGTGTACAGGCTGGGAATTCAGCAATAAAGCGATTGAGCTACTAAGCATCTACATGACCAAGTTTCCTGAATTCTTTGCCGGCATCCAGCGCAAACCCCAGGGGAATCAATATGATGCAGAAGACTTCTATCCAGCAGAAATCGCCGGCGAAAAAATCAAGGAGATAGCGGCATGGTTGAAGTCAATCGAATCCAAAAACTTTGAGAAAGTTCCCCTGGATGCGGAGCAATTAGATTCAGATGCCGTCATGGCAATCGAGAGAGCAGCCGATGCAGCTTTAGCGGCCACCGGTGCTGCAGAACCTAGCGACTTTAAGAAACTCAAGGGGGTTCCTCGAAATGCACTCATGAAGCCTTCTGATGCAGAGCATCGTCTTGGGAACCAGAGGTTCGCGCTCGGTGATCGTGTGGTTTATGTCCAAGACTCTGGCCGCGTACCTATTGCTACCCGTGGTACTGTTGTTGGTATCTCGCGCACAGCACGCGCTATCCTATTGGACGTTGTATTTGATGTTACATTCATGAGCGGTACTACTCTAGGAGAACGCTGCACACCATTCCGTGGCTCAACAATTCCGATCACGTCGGTTTTGAATTTGACAAACAAGCAACTGATCGCTGGTTCCAAGGCGGGTGCGGAAAAACATCCCGCACCGGTTTCGACCCCCCTTGCCGCAAATAGCGGTTACGGCACTCCCACAGGCCCCGGTGGTAGAGGACAGGTAAGTTATGAACATTTCAATGCTTTTAGGACATTGTCGCTGACTCGTGTAGCTGCGCGAATCCAATGTGCCTGCGCCTTTGAGGGGCTCATTCCGGGGTGCTGTTGCGGGCCATAATGGTTTCCGAGGAAATGGTGTGTCCAGGGGCCGAGGAAGAGGCGGCTTAGGCTATTCCGATCAGAATGCTAGCCCGGCAATACATAGCAGCAACATGGCGATTCGGGGCAATCTCCAGAATGGTACGAATGGAGGTCGAGGTGGTGTTGGGGGAGGATTCAGAGGTGGACGAGGAGGCGGGCCTGTTGGATACAACGCGGTCCCTCCACCATCGAGTCTAGAAGCTAGAGGACGTGGAAGAGGCCGAGGTGGTGGCCGTGCAAGGGGTGCCTTGAGAGGCAGAGGTAATGCCGTGCAGCCTGTACAGGCCCAACAGACTTAGGTCTTCTGGAAATGATGTTGGATGAGGGCACGATTGTGATGAATATGAACTTGATGATTGGACTTCTTTTTCGATTTCATGAATAGGAGTTGACATTGGGTGGGACATTCAGGAATTGTATCATCAGCATTACGAGTGGAACGAGAGGGTATGGGAGGTGGTGAGGCTGTTTGGGTTCAATCAAGGGGGTAGGGATAGCGTGGAGAAAGTTGGACTGTTCAGCCTGCAATGTGTCAAAGACAGAGTGATGCAAGATTGTGAAGATGTTTGACTAGCCATTTCCCAACTAGTAAATAGACGCACCGCTGTGATGCAGAAGAAGCAGGCACGCCAAAGAACATGAAACAATGCGCGAAGTCTACAGACAAACATGTACATGTACCCTATTGTCCTCCAGTCTATCCATTTTACCCAAACACCCACTAAGAATAGCTTCGCCGTCGATCTGGTCCCAAGTTGAACATATCTAAGGAACAAATAAACATGTCCTCACAATACTATACCGTACAATAACCGAAGTATGATTGGTGATGTTGTACATGCAGTCCGTGTGGCGGTGCCTGGCCTGGCCTGGTTTTGGATTGCGCATGCGTCATCGGGTGCGTTCCAGGTCTTGTATGCATTGTATGACCCTTCTAAATTCCCTCCCTCCTTGCTAACAACTTGTCCATCACAATTAAATATCCATTCGCAAAATCCCACACTTTGAAAGTTATACGAGTTCCATAGATCGAGACAGAAATCCCTCAACAAGCTACCAATAAGTCAAGATGGGTGCCGTTTCCGCCGTTTTCCTCGTCCTGATCACCATTCTCTGTGAGTATGTCACTTCTGTGTCGTATCATCTTGAATCTAATGCAAGAAAGTGCCTCCGGTAGGTGCCTATATTGTGGCAGGCTGCGGAGCCGATCTCTTGATCAATATCTGCTTGACACTGCTCGGGTACGTCTGAGCTTCTCTCTCTCCCTTCCTCCAGCATTTCCGACACAAAAGCGACACCACCTCTAACATGACCCTTGGTCAATAGCTACATCCCAGGCCACATCCACGCCTTCTACCTCGAATACGTCTATTACGAACGCAAAGAGTCGGCCCGCCAAGGCCGCTTCACTGCAACGCGCGCCCCGGGCGTCTACAGCGAAAGGGTGCAGAGTGGTGGTCATGGTTACGGTACTATGGTTCAACCTGTCAACTAAAGGTTGTGCATTCGATGAGCAGAGCACTTTTCGAGTAGTAGTTGGGGGTGCTTCTGGGTCATTAGTTCGGCTCGAGATTGTTACTGCGTAGGAATGATATATATGATGGAGCGTTGGGGTAACTATGGGGGATTTAATGGGAGTATGGAATGGAATATGGGACACCACTTGTATTAGGCTCCGGTTCTACCGAGTAGAGAATCAAATGGTGCACTGAGCATGACACGATTTTCATTGGTAGAGTAAGAAGAAGTAATTTATTCAGTTGCGCAACTTACGATGATTTATCCTCAGCCACGTCACGATACCTTACCCCACAATGCACTAAATTAGCGCATTCAAGACTGTGGCTGTACAGGCTGTGGCTGTGGCTGATCGCGACGTGTTATTAAATAAACTCTTGGTGTTGTCCAGATGTCAACGGAAGATAAATAGGAACAGCTGTGACAGCGACCACATCGCACCCTCCGAAATCCCATGACATAAGGAGAACTTCACGATAAACAATGCACTCAACTATTGTGCGCGGCCAGAATGTATTCGGTTTCTTCACCACCGTTTGCTTCGTCGTCGCAGCCCTGATTGCAGCTTCAGACTTACTCGCGCCCCGGACACCCAAGGCGACTGTAGCAGTCAAGGATCTCCAAGTGTACAAATACTTCCATCCCCCCAATCCCATCTTTGCACAGAAAAACATACTGACTTTTGAACCCTTCAAGTGTACGAGGCCGTCCACACTACTACTCCACCAAAAAGGAAGAGTATGCCATCATCCGCTTCTCTCTCTCCGCCGACCTCTCATCCCTCTTCTCTTGGAACACGAAACAAGTCTTCGTTTACGTATCGGCTTCATGGCCAAATTCTACACTGGGCGATGCTGGAAAGGGAGAGATGGTCAATGAGGCAGTCATCTGGGATACTATTATCACGAATCCTTCAGCAGACCACCTACAGAACATAGGGCCAGCAGCTATGAAGAAGCTAGTGAGGAGCACAAAGGGCAAGACGATCGATCCCTCCAGGTCCGTATACTCATTCTACGCTACGTCAACCTCTTTGCAGACCTAGATGTCTTGCTGACGAGTTTGTATGCAAAACAGAGGCAAACTAGAACTTAAAAATCAGAAGGCAAAGTATCAAATCACATCCCCTGACGGCAAGCTCGCGGAGACGGATAATATGGTGCTGAAGCTGCATTATAATGTGCAGCCGTGGGTGGGGGTCTTGACGTGGACGCCACAAATCGAGTTTGGGAGCTGGAAGAAGGTGAAGGGAGGGATTAGTAAGGCATTCAAATTACCTGCTATAAAGGCAAAGAAGGTGGTAGAAAAGAAAAGCGCTTGATTCAAAAGAATCCCTGCTTTTGTCGATGAGACTTATATGAATTACAGCACTTTCTATTACAAGTACAAGCGGGAAAATAGTGCCGCGAATCTAGAGACAGAGACAACGCTAGGTAGGTCTGAATTGTATAGACCTTCATAAGGGCTTTTGATTATGGCATAGATTGAGGTGACGACCCTGATCTTAGAAGACTAGAGCCATTTCAGGCAAGTGCCTATGCATTTCATATCCAATGACTGCACATAGTATATGTACGTACTCGACTCTCCAACCAAAAGGATTTTGCTAACTCATTATGAGGTCTATACCTGTTGTGGAAATCAACAAGTAGTAATACTTCCTCTTTCTGAGATGAATCAACCAGCTTACTTTTTTCTCGGACATCGCATTTGGCCAATTTTCTTTTCCCTTCCCTACTTTCTTTCACTCTTTAATTAGTTTTTACAAAAGACGACTTTGCTGCTACCTTATGCGCCAACGCCGCCTGCACGATATCAAACACACCCAAATCCACCTTTAGCCTCTCGCGAAACCCAACTGCGTAGCTCTAATGCAGTGAGTGAACCAACGCCGTACGTTGACATCAACTCCCAGCCGCCTGTTGCTGTTCGAATGGCATCTGCGAATGTCAAATCACCGTTTGAGAATATATGGCTTTCTAGGAGTCCGCAAGTCTCTACAAGATGAGTCTTCCCCTTGGAACTGACCGTGGTAAATATATGGGCGCCATGCAGTTGCAATCTGGATTGCGGCTGATCCCACACTACTGCCTGTAGTGTAAATCAAGACCCAATCCTCTTTCTGGACACGCGCGACAGTTATCAAGCTATAACAAGCGGTGACATGCAAATGGCACCATGGCAGCGGCAGCATAGCTCATTGTATTGGGGATTTTCCGGACGTGATTACCAGGGTTCACCACCACGGTTGCAAAAGAACCTCGACACAAAGCCGCTGCTCTGTTCCCAACTTTTAGGTGGCACACTTCGATTCCAATGTTTGTCACTGCGCCTGCGCACTCATTGCCCAGATAGTCATCCGCATCCACGCCTTTGCCCGTGCAAATTTGCACGTCTCTATGGTTCAAGCCTACAGCGCGCACCTCGATCTGAACATGACTCTCAGTGATCTCATTGGGGGCGTACGGTTGTATTATAGCGTGTAGACCAATTTAGTGCCACTAATTTTACCAGCTCTCAGTTCATCCAAGCCTTTGAGCGCACCCTCCAGCCCAGTTCAGTACTATTAACAGTCGGTCTAATTGGTTTAATAATTCCTTTTGCAAAGAGCCCTTGACTCATCTCGAAGAAAGCAGTTGCAAATTCCATCTCATCCGGCTTTTGAGGCACCTCCTGGACCATCCAAATGTACTTCTCGCCAAAGACATCATATCCAAGCGTGAAACGCGGGCCATCGACATTTGGATTCGTCTGCTTGAGGATTTTCTCGTCCGCCGGCCCTGGGACGATGGTTCCGTAGACGGCACCTGGTTCCACGTCACTTATGGCGGCAGCGCAAGTCTCCACGCCCGTGCCCATGCAGTCCCAAGCATACTTGAGCTTGTTTCCGGTGTACGTCTTAATATCGGAGGCGCATGTTGGGGAGTGATAGTCGAATACTGCGTCAGCACCCAGTGACTTGACTAAGCCGAAGTTGTGAGGCGAGGCTGTTGCAATTACGGTCAGCCCTGAGGCTTTGGCGTACTGGATGCCGTAGATTCCTGTTGCAGTACTGGCAGCGCAGATAAGAAGGAATATTGGCTCTTTCGCTGGCGCATTGGGGAAAGGAAGTCCAAGGCATTTATAAAGTCCTTGACCCTAGTTTCCAATTAGCTATTGTACTTCTACACATGAAGTGGAAGGGAGTCAAGCTGTACATACAACCGTCACCACTGAAACGCCCAACGTCGCCGCCTCTTCATTGTTCAAGTTATCCGGGATGTGGAATTGAAGAGCGGCTTTTGCGATTATGTACTCGCCAAAAGCACCGGTTTCATGGTCGGGCTGGCTTCTATGCCGCATATACATATTAGCAAATCTTCTTCTGTCCTTCTCCCTCGTGAAATCGGGCGGAGAGGACTCAACACAACGAGCGAGATGCCTGGGCTGGTCACGTAACGCAACTCACCCCCCATGGACGAATCCTGCGATTCTGTCGCCTTTCTGGGACTTGGTGACCTTGCTACCAACTTCCGCGACGATACCAGCGTAATCGCATCCAACTCTCGATCCTGCATCCGCGGCGCCCCAGTTGATCATCTTCCAGTCTGTAGGGTTGAGGGCCACTGCTTTGACCTCGACAATCACCCACTCATCTCGTATTTTAGGAATCTCCGCGTCGCACACCGCGGTGACCTTTCCCCCGTCGACGACTACAATGGCTCGTGTCTTGGTCATTTTGTCAAATTGATATCTGAGGGATTGTGGATGTGGCTGTGGCTCGAATTAAGCAGAAGATTGGAACATCCGGTGAATCCAGACGCGGAGGCTACTACACATACACGGTTAGATATACCGCCGTTCCAACCTCCAACCTCCGATTGAAGTCCCTATATTAGTTTTTTACTGTCTTTCATTCTTTTTCTCATTCATACTGCTGTTGCTCTGACAGCTATAAGCAGGATACAAGAAATTCTTGCTCCTCGAAAAGAAGTGTCACGTGCCATGTTCCCCTACTTACCACAGATCTCTTTGAGATGGCTGAAAAAACCATATTTTTAGACTTGGAAACCGTAAATATTACCTCTTCTCGCCGATAATATACTACAATATTATACTCTATTTACTCTTCAAACAGTTTAACACTCACTTGAGGCCTCTTTAGCGTCAGTTTTAGAACCTGATGTCCTAAGCAGAGCAATAATGCGCCAAAAATGGTCCAGTATTATGCCCGAGCACTCACTCGCTGCAAGAAGGAAATCGATGAACTGCACTACAAGCATTGTGGTTTCGAAATACGCCCTTGGGCCAATCCCCCATTTATTCAACACAAACACCAAGACGAGGGTGCTGAACGTCTGCTCTCACTTGGGCTTAGCTTCTTCTACAAGGCTACTCAGGAGGTCAACATCAATCCTCGCGTCGAGAGTAATTTGAATCCGGTCCTAGGGGTGAAGCAAGAGTTTCTTACGGACACGCTCTATGAATTTCGTGAGCAGCAACGTCGTGGGAGGATAGTGGAGACGAACTTTACGAGCGATGAAAGTGGCCCGAATCCAGCTTGGGTTTGGTGTCGTACAATCAGAGAGCACAGGAATCACCATCATTGGCATGTCGAGGAAGTGCGGGAATTCGGGTATGTAATGTGGGACCACGAGCGCCTCCTGGGCTGGGGGATATTGAGTATGGATCCTGATGAATTGACGAGCGTCTTGGAAGAAAGGAAGCAGTCTTAACTTCGTTGTGTCTCACTTGCGATAGACAAAAGCCCAAACAGAAGTCTCAGACGGTGATTTGAACGTTTCCGAGAACATGATGACCTTTAGTTGAACACTGGACTAGTATATTCAAAGCGATATACAACCTAAAGAGAAACTCTCTGCTAAATTGACTTGGCCTGCAATCCCCCTATCACCAGGCCCAACTAAAATCGCAATGCATACATAAAACTTTCAACTCTCGTCTCGCGCTACGTAAACAACAGTAAAAGAGGCTTACCTACTTTGTTACTACAGATCTATATAATCAATCACCTGGAAGAATGAGTTGCGTATTCGCATACATAGCATCAAGCCCGAGCCCGCGCCTCTCAGCCAAGTTAAGCGTCTGTTGCGTAGCCCGAAGAGACGCATCCTGGCTTCGTCACGAGAAGGGCTAGCTAATAATATGTTGTCACCAATACGACAATAGAAATTCCAAATTGCTTGAGTGAATCGTTGGGGCGCGAGATAGGAGAGATAAACCAGCCCAGCACTCGTATATTAGCAGCTAGAGGGTGAGATGGTCCGATACTCCGTGAATGATGTTAGGTTACGGTGAGGAAGGACAATTTGAGGGCGTTACATGTATGGATTGCGTATAGTATAACGATTGATACGAATACAAATACAAATTCTAATAAAGCTTTTTCTGGAAATAGACTGATATTCTTAGGGTGAATGAAAGGAAGACGGTTTAGATAGACGAATATCACCTGAGATGATTCCTTAACGCTGACTTGAACTGTCCTGAGTTCTGGCTCGCGTAGAATAGACTTTGACTTATTTCAGAGTACAGCTCTTTGAAATGCTCGAGTTTTAGCCGCTTGTATATTGATATAAAATTGTGCTTTACATTTGTTTGCATTGTGATGGTGTGCTTTGCAATACGGTCTTGAACACAACATCCGCCAGAGCAAACACTCTCAATACTCAAATATAAACATCACCTCCCGTTTTAATACACTATAGCGCTTAGCAAGGCCACTTGCCGCGTTGCGCGGCTCTGCTATCTTGAAACGTGTATCTGGACGGTTCGACTTCAAAGAAGGCAAAGGCGTGCCGCTGAAGAATACATTACATTAAATGTGACTAACCTATTTTCATTGACATTGACGGCATCTCTCCAATGGGAAAGCTTGTGAGCTTTTTGAGATGTATATTCTTTCAAGCCCTGTACAGTACTATAAGGACTTTCGACAAGCAACCGATAAGATGCCGTGCCGTTACAGATCGAGAACAGGTTCTCTCGGGGAGATAGGCACGGAGATAGTCACCTCGCCCGCGCGCGAGCAGGGTATATCGGCATTTCAATTCGCGCAACTCCACAACGAGAGGCGTCCCGACGGTCCCGCTATGATTGATACCTTCGCTTGCGTGAATTATCGGAACATTGTTGTTGGAGGTGACGTTGGTAAGTGGAGTGGATAGTTTATAATCAAAGAGGCAAATTAAATATTTGGGTAAAATGCCGCACGAGCTATGTGTGGTCCTTATGTGGACCGGTACTGTACTCCGTATGGAAGTAGAGAGGGAAGGGGTGTCGAATGGACGGATTAAATAATGCAGATATTTACAGTACAGTACAGTACCGCATCCTCGAGTTTTCTTGGATGTTTCTTTGGCCTGGTACTTCGTAGCTTGAGGGTGGTGTGGGTGTTCGTTCGTGTATGCCGCGTGCATGCAGTCATACAAGTACAACAACCTTCATCGCATTCCCGATCGGCCCTTTGGAAATGTTTTTTCTAGCGATGCAATGACAAGGCCATGACTGGGTTGAGTGGACATTTTGAGCCTCTTCTTCGGCCTAACTCGTGTTTGATGGAGGTTGTCGGCAGTACTATGTACTATGTACTTGTACTTGTACTCAATAGTATCCCACGTGATAATTATACTAAATATCATCTGATTCAGAGTTTGAACGCTGCACTAGTGGGATAGTAAATGCGGAGGGAGTGACGCTTGTTCCACGAATCACGGCAATGCCGGGGGACTTTCGGTAGTGCTCAGATATCTCAAGACCCAGACCACACGTGGGATCATCGATCTACCTGCTCCATATGGAAATGTTAGGCGAGTGTCAAAAAGAAGGTTCTGCTTCTATCAAAGCTTCGTTTCTTCTAAACTTCCAAGCAAGGTTGTATTATTTGCAATACCTTTGTTCATTAGTAACGGATGGCTATATCATTGTGCCTGGAGTGACAGTTCTTGCTATCTGCCGATCACCTATAAAAGCACCCGTCCTATACATCCCCATTCCCTAGTATTACTTGTTATGATGTCTATTCTTAGAATGTTCTGCATAGCACGGGAAAGACTTGGCAGTCGGTCGCTTAAAAGACTCCCAGGTGTGTATCGTAACTTCACCAATGAAAAGAGACCCCATGGCCCAGGGACGTGCCTCTTCACCTTACTCCGTACGAAGTAGTTTGACGTTGTTCGGTAGGTGAACTTAGTAGAAATCATCCAGGGTACCGCTCCCGAGGATTGGAGTCCGTGGTGACGCTGTCCTGCATGGCAACTCCATGGCAGCCAGGAATGGGGTAGCATTGGTGTTACATACAGTACGGAGGTACTCCGTAGGAAGCCTATGCTGGTCCACCGAGTATGCGTGACGGTCCCCTGTGCAATTTAGATTAAACTGATTCACCCCCTGAGCATTGGAGGAGGGGAAGAAGCGCCCGAACCATCGAAGAGATACGATACAGTATGTAACAGTGCGGGGAGATGTCATATTTGCTATAAAGACAAGAGATGGAAATCAATAAATGGGTGCGAAACCGCCATGTCTGATTTCTAGACCCACGCTGGCTGTCTATGACTCGAGAGCGAGGTATTCTTCGACTAGTCTGACTAGCTTCACAGCGAGTATTTCACCTGGAGGTACGTACTCCGTACTAGGCGGGCGAGTGGACTCGGTCGGGATGTAACGGTGTTCAATGCGGCGGTAGTGAAGTAAATAGTCGTAAATAGTGGCACGTCGTAAATGCTGCCATCCCAGTGCGGCATGTTTCCGGTACTTGAAGCTCTCTCCCGGCGTCTTCGGCAAGCTCCTCCGGCAACCCATTGTTGCCAAGAAGCAAGGATTCCCGCGAAGATGCCACAATGGAGCCCAAGCTTTTCCATAATTAATGGTATTTTCTGCAGCACATGCGCTTGTTCCTGCAGTGAGGAGGCACGGTGATCCAGAAGAGGGACCAGGGAAGGGCCACCCTTGTCCGGTACTCCGTAAATATATTTCTCATCTGTACTCCGTACAGTAACTCTGCAAGCGGCACATGGTGACATGGATGAAAATAGAAAGAATACGGAGTAGAAAAGGAGAAGCCACCTACTACAGGGGGTGAAACTGATAAGAGAGCAATGGCTCCTACAGTATTATGTCGACACTTCAATAACAAGAGTTTGCTTGGATTTCACTGATTTGACGTGAACCTCTGATACTAATCCCGGAAGCAGAATGGTAATCTATAGCAGACATGCAGTTGCTTATGGTTTCGGAGAACCTCTCTTTCGGGTTCGTTGGCAATACACACTACTGTATTACTAATCATACCTACTAATAAGTGACCTTGAATCAAAGACCCACGGACCGCATACTAAATCATCTGATACTAGAAATGTGCAACGCTGTACTCCATATCGCTGCACTGTCGCGTAAATCCCATGTCCTCGATGACCGTTTTATTTACGTCATGTCGATCTGAAGGGAAAGTAGGGGAAGATCGCAAAAGATTTAGGTGTGGGGCTGATGTCTTCATTCATCCAAGCCGAATAATAATCTCAAACCCGTATTATAGACATGTTAACTGAAACTTCGCATATAGTTGTTAATATCAATCTGAAGTTGCACATGTGACAGGTCTAGGCATACTTCGTGACTGTCACAGTTCCCGGCATCTTGGTTGGTGATATAAAGGGTCACAGACTCAATAATACGCGTTCAAAAATCTTAGACTTTGGAGCTCGCCCCTTCTCCTTCTGCATGATCTACCGGGAGCTAGTAGACCGCGGAGACCATTGATAGAAGGCTAGTAGATAGTGAGTTTCTAAAGGGTATAGTCGTCTTCGGAGCTCGTCCCGTTTCCAGTCTGGCGGAATTCCATCACTTGCAGAGGCCCAGCCGCGACCGTGTCACTACGTGTTGGTACTACTACGTTGAAATTATGTGGCAAAGTTAGTCGGTATAATCCGATTACGACCGGCAAATTTAAAATTTCATGCTACCATGATAAATCTAGAATGCCTATTAGACTTCATGAGGCGTTGTAACAGGAGTTTTATGTGTATTCTACGAGTATACAGTAGTGAGAGAAGGGGAGGGGGGTTGCGAGCTCGCGAACGAACCCCTCCTTTGTACAATCAATAGCTTTCTAGCTCTCACCATTCTACATCGTCGCTACTCGTACGCCACGAATTATTTCAATGCCCGTCAAATCACTACTCCGTAGGGACTGCCAAAGTCGGAGACTGAACCTGCACCCCAACAAGGCCAGAGGATGATAGCCCAGAACATTTCCACGAGGTGCGCACGATAACTTCATTACCATCCCATGCAGGACGAGCCCTGCTTGTACGAGTGTTCGGACGCGCTTTAGCGGCGGGCGTCGCTTTGAAATGTCGCAAGTTCAGGGTCGGTGTCGGTATCGGTACTACTGTATACTGTAGCCCCCCCCCCCCCCCCTGTCGCGACTATTACCTTACCATGGTCCATCATCCGTGGCCCGCAAGAACGCCGTAATTAGCGGGAAACGTATCACCGGGTCTTTGGGTACAGACTACAGGTAGTGTGTGACCTAAATAATACCTACTTCTACAGTATCACGCATATTACACTTGTGCGGAGCTTCAAACTTAATCATAGTATAATATCGTAAATTTATCTTCAGAAGAACCCATGCCATAGACGGCCGGAAGCACAACAACAAGCAGTGTGAATTATAAATTAACTTACGACAATTAGTACCCAACCCACCCACACATACATGTACCGCGTGGAATAATCGTTCTCAAAATAGCTTCATCTTCACACCCTCTTCAACTTTCATCATAATAAGCACCGAGCCGCCCCTTCTATAACAAGATTCTGGACAATCAGCATTCATTAATGAGAATTAATTCCCTTACCGCGCCAGCCATGCGATGCGATGCGGCGCACACGCCTTAGGAAGCTTGGTGCATCTTCTGGCACCTTGAAGCGCCGCCCCCTTTACCCCACAAGTTCGAATCGGTACTCCGTAGACGACAACCAGGAATGACAGGATTAAAGCTGGCTGCTGGGCCGCATCTAGTGCCTGTCCACCTCGTGGCCGGAACGCCCTGTTGGCGGGCGGGTCCATTTTGCTCTTTGAGCGGCTACCTACCTACGTAAACTCACGGCCCTTGTCCGCCATGTCAAAGATCTACCCCTTTAGGAATAGAATACTAAGACCGCTGGTGCATCATGGTACGAGCAGTAGTAGTAGTATAGTAGTAGTAGCAGTAGCAGTAGTAGTAGCAATAGCAGTAGCAGTAGCAGTAGTCAGATAAGGCTGTGCGTTGCGTTGCACTCGAACGTCTAGTATCGGTAGCAGGACTGAGTCTAAGACTCCAAGAGCCATTGCACTACGGAGGTATTCCGTGTCATACCCTATCCTATCCTATCTGTAGATTTGCTTTATAGTAGTTCTCTCTCACGATCCCAAGTGTACGGTCTCTGTTTCCTCCTCCTTCTTCTCTTTTGCATACCCATTACCCAACACGCGGCACTACCAACAACAAGTCCCAAACATCCCCTGGCTCCGGATTCCACGACAACCTGCATCGTCCTTCACACCCTGCTGCACGAGCAAGGGCTAAATATCCTTGAAGATATCCGTCGTGACGCCTGCATGTACTGTACTTACCAGCCGTGTCCGTAAGGAAATTGGTCTTGCACGAGCTTCCGCTTCCAGAACTTTGGGTATGGCTGGATTTATCGACACCGCATGAGAGCCAACATTTCGAGTCTCCAGCGCCAACTGTTGTAAACTTCCTAGCAACTTGTGTTCGTCCCCTTCTGATAACTTGGTGGGAGTTCTTACCGCCCACTCCTTTTCGGAATTACCTCGCGAATCAGGACTCACGGCACTTCATTGCGACTGCCGCTTGGAAACTTATTATATGCACAACAGAGAAAACTGCTGAAAACCACCGAAAGCCACCAACCGTCTGAGAACCGACTCCAGTTTTTTTGAAATAGACGGCCAGAATCAGAGCCGTGCCAGAGAAAACCATACGCTTTTTTCATGAGTCGAGCAGTACGGTCCCGTAACTGAGATAGGTCCATAAGCCCCGAATATGACCCAGATATACACCAGACCATTTATTCCCTCCCTGCACGAGCAAGATTCAAAGTACGAGAAGCAACAGGTTGCTTACTTTCAGCGGGAAGCTCAGGACCCCAACGCTTATTCAGCTCACGCGATAAAGGACCACGAAAGAAATAATTGGAACGGTTCGCAGTCTCGTTCCCAAATGTCTGACCATAGCCAAGGACATCGTGGCATCCAACAAGCGAAAGTTGGCGATATGTATCCAAGTCACCCAGAACGTAGTCAGAAACCTACCCGAGAACAACTGCCCTCATTAAGCAGTCTATTTGGCTCTACACCACATCAAAACAGACCAGCTCAATCTCCATATTCGGATCACCATAGTCCTATCTTCCCACCGTCAGTTCATGATGGTAGACATCCCCCAACGCCGATTCACCAAGATCGTCCCTTTGACGGATCCTACTTTCAACACCCTCAGCAACTTCCATTCAACTCTAGACCAGACCAAGTCGAGAGGTTAGGGATTCCTCCCCCTCCTCCTCCTCGCCCCACTGCGACTGGAATGAGACCGGAATCGCCTCGATACGACTCGCGATTTGGTCCAGTTGAAGTTTCTAGAAGCCAGGCCCAGCCTTCTGGGAATGCTTGGTCTCCACGCCCACAATCTAGTCGCAATGATTACTTTCCAAGAGACACGTCGTCGTCGTTCAGAACCCACTCCGAGCACGCACGCCCAGCGCACAGACCTGAAGCTGAACCCAGACAACATTACCGTGAAGCACCCCACAGCACACCTGTGACCCCAATCTTTCCTCCTACACCTGCGAGTACAGTTGTGGGTGATGTGACAACCCTGAAGGATGGCCTAGGGCCAAAGATCTGGACAGGAACGCAGTTTCTACCTCGTTTTGTTCGACAAGCGGAGGTTTCTGGTGAAGGAATGTGTTATTTTTATGATGATGGTACACACTGCAAAACTGTTATCGATGGTGAGGTAGTCAATGCTCATTGGGGCGTCACAAAGGCTGGAAAGCCTAGAAAGAGGTTGGCGATTGCCTGCATTACTTGCAGAGAGAAAAAGATCAAGTGCGACCCTGATTTTCCTCGGTGCGTTCAATGCGAGAAATTCGGCAGGATTTGCAAGTTCAAAAATGCGTAAGTATATACTGTTCTCGAAGCTTCAAGTAGTCCATGCACATAAGCTTTTCGGCTACAAAAGCATGGGTCGGGAGTTCACGTTTGCTAATAATGGGTTGAATAGGCCTCGAGGTGGGCAAGGATCGCCAGATACACCGCCAGCTGAATTAGAAGATATTGGTTCAAGGCCTACCTCATCTTCACGAACGGATCCAGAGTCGTTCAAAGTTGGGAAGCGGGAGAGCAGTGAGTCTGTCTCTCCAAGGCAGATTTTACGACGAGCAACTCCCGACTCGGAGATGCATCATACAAAGCGTCAACGCATTGGGTACAATGACTTCACCCCGGTTGCGTCAGAACATTCGCCCCGACTCTCAACCCAGGAGGTGGGTTCGCCAGCTACAGTCTGGGCTGAGCCCGTCCCCACCACAACTTTCGATCACAGCCTCCTCCGGGAGTGGCAAGTCAATCCGTTTGCTGCCAACCCAGAAACTGTCCGCGAGATTATCGACCTTTTGTTCAAGAGTGGGCCAGAAACAGCAGCAGCAATGTTTCCACAGCAAGCTTTCACATCGTGGTTTCTCTCAGCAAGAGTGCTGTCGCTAGACGATCTAATGCTAATTTACAGTGCTCTCGCGTTCGGCTCTATATTTTCTGTAAGGCAAGAACATAAAGCTCTTGGTGCTAGATATGCATCCATCTCTCGATACGCTTGCGACAACCGCCGATTTAGCATTCAGCTCGTTCAGTCACGTCTATTGCTCTCGTTATATTATTTTGCGGTCAACAACCTGAACGATGCTTGGGATTTTTGCGGTGCGGCCGCGAGAGCAGCGAGTGGATTGAAGTTGAATGTGGAAATTGAGAAAAGTGACGATGCCTTACTCCAGAGCTTCCCCTATGGTCTCAACCGTCACGGCTATGCCGAATGCCGGAGACGGACATTCTGGAGCTGCTACCTCGTTGATCGCTTGAACGGATTCTGCTCTGGCTATATCAGCATGCTTCACGCAGACGATGTCTTCCTACGACTTCCCTGTGACGCCAATAGTTTCGAGGCTCAAGCCGAAGTCCAGAATCCGTTCTTTGACCCTACAACTCCTCCAATTCAAAATATCAACTGGACAGTCGGATCAATAGCCTACTTGATCAATGTTGCTACGATATGGGGGGACGTTATGGCAAATATTTACCGAAGCTCCCAGCGGCCATCTACATTGGGGTCGAATTCATTCAGCACATTCTACGAGGAAGCAAGTCAACGATTACAGGTCTGGAACGACACCTTGCCTAGTTGCTATGCTTTTTCACCGGAAAATCTGAAGAGAGCGGCAGATAACGGAAAAGTTGGCATATTCATGACAATGCACACTGTGTACCACATGACAGTGATGAAATTATGCCGCTATACTTGGCAATCTGACCTCAGCAGCGCGCAACTCGTCCGTCGCGTCTCTCTTGCCCGACATCACGCGGAGACTGTCCTGTCTTCGGTAGACGCACTGGCAGCTCATCGTACCTCGCCGCATACGCTTTCAAATGGACAGAGCGTGACTGCCGCAAGTTGTTCATCGCCCTTTGTCGGATGCTCTATTATCTCTGCAATCGACATTCTGACAGCCAAAGTCCCATTAGCAACTGTCTCAACTCGCCTCGCATCCTTCAGCGGCGCACAAGCTGTTCTTGCCGAGCTCGCCCATTTTTGGCACAGCGCCAAGAACCAACAAGCTCTTGTGTTCGAACGGGTCCAGGATTTGACGGAGCTTACAACGGGTCGAGAAGTGCAGGGGGCCTTAGCGTCTAAGTCCGGCAATCTTGGAGTTGCAAGTAAGGAGGCAGGAGAAGAAATATTCCGGATGAAACAGGCGATTGAAAAGATTTTCTCGAAGGACTACGACTGTATTTACGCATAAATCACGGCACTTGGATTGTACACACGATTTACGATGGAATGACCATGCGAAAGATAATAATGCCTTGCACCTTGTAATTTACTTTGAAGAATACGACCTGTACTATACATAGCGATCAAAACAAACATAATACTACATATAAATCTATGATGATGTCCTTACAATTAGTTGTGATTTCAGAAGAAGAAAGTTAGTTTTCTCAAGAATCAAACTGCCGACCCAAGAAACCAGGAACTACCATGCCGTTATGAGGGTTTCGGTAGACAGCCTCCGGGCCTCCATCCCGCCCATACCCCGCCACAGTCATGTTCGTCGGCTATTGAGCGATGATTGTCACTGGGCTACGCCTAGTCTCGCGATACTCCGTTACAAATCGAGAGGAAGTGGGCTATCTAGACGAGAATAACGCCCGCGATCAGACGGGACTTGAGATCAATCCGATCAGCGACAGGACAGCTGGCTAGGTTGACATGGTAGATGCGGTGTCTCAAAGTAGCAGATTATGGGCGTACTAGTAGGCCAACTACCGTAAGCTTCCTTCAGGATCGACTCGTATAGGTAAGTAATTTACATGTAAAATGAAAACAATAATTTAGGAATTCTGAAGCGAGAAGCGAGTACAATACTCCGTACTGCCTGTCTACTAGTGGCAGCTCGGGGGCGCTACGGTGTAAGGTATTGTAGGTATTTACGCTCCATAAACGTAATTAATTATGGTTCCAAATACAGTACAGTAGTAGCCTTCTTCTCCAACACCAACTAAGAGAGATGGCGGATCGTGGTCCCGCATCCAAGCGGCACTAGATCCCAGTAAGATCTACGGAGTACTTACTGCTCCGTAATTACGTAGCGTTGGTCGGCAGAGCCATGAGCCAGCCTTACTTAAAGGAGCGATATTCCTCGAGATGCTCACGGCTCACCCTAATAGCATTATGGCAGGGACTACTGAGGATCATTGAATTCCTGCCCACGGACGGCAGACTGAGAAAAGCACGGTACGGAATACGGCAAGCAAGCTGGACATGGACATGGATCATTTGCTTGGAGTTAGCTTGTTCGTACAATTGGCCATCTCGCTCTCAATATACGAAGCCCCGAAGCAGTAAATAAAGGAGAAAGAGAGATCTGGTCCTTCATCTGAAGCCAGGTTGAAACTCGAAGTGGACTTGGCATGGATAGGCATGGGTAGCCGGAGTTCTCCCTCACCCCTACCCCTACCCCTTTTAGTTTCGCTTGTCCGAAAATCCCGAGATGACGGTTGGTCGGTACTTGCGTGGCATGGGCGTCTGTACGGTAGAGTGGCTTGCTGACTCAGCTGAGCTTCGGCAATCTCTTTGGGCCTCGTGCACGTGCCTTCGGATCCGGGCCGGGGCAGCGCTCGCCGCGTACTATCATCACGAGACTTGACATGAGACAGGGATCCAAAGTCGTTACTCTGTGAAGAGTGCCCAGTGAACTTAACAGCTATCTATATATGAGGTCTCTAACTGCTAGATATCGCGAAATATATATAGTAACGTCACCTGGTGCGTTAGAACTTCCGATTCGCGCGATCCATCCTCTGTTCTGCACGTGCCAACAAGGCTGAGTGAAAGCTACAGATATTTTCCTCACTCAAGTCCCGTTGTATCTAAACCTGTATATAAATATCCGCACACCGACAGAGCGACGACGAGAGCGAGAAAATATGACACAGATGTAGAAGCAGATGCAGAAACAGTATTCAACAATGGCATGATACTGCTTTTCTTTGACCATGGCATTTCCCTCTAAGCCATTGGCCCAACTTCATGGCTCTAATGGTAAGTTCGCATCCTGCATCCTTTTACAAAGCCATAGTATACTGTACTACGGACACTCTATACGATAAGCACATACTAACTTGAAGTCGTAGGACCTGTCCACGCCCTCACCTACTCCTCTTCCCCCTCAACCTACATCCTAAGTGGCTCCTCCGACCGTTCCATCCGCCTCTACAACCCCTCTCGCCCAGCCGCACCGCCAAGCAGCAACCCTCTCGAGCCTCCCCGCGCAACCCAGCTCATCCAGACCTATTCCGCACACGGCTACGAAGTCCTGGATATTGCCGTCGCCCAAGACAACGCCACCTTCGCCAGCGTAGGCGGCGACCGCAGTGTTTTTCACTGGGATGTCACGAAAGCGCAGACCATACGGCGGTATGGAGGGAACCAAGGTCACACTGCCAGGATCAATACGGTTACCTTTGCAGGGACAGGGGACAGTGTGTTGATTTCCGGGAGCTTCGATTCTTCTGTACGCATTTGGGATGTCAAGAGCCACAGTACGAAGCCCATTATGGTGCTGGACGACGCAAAGGACTCAGTGTCGTGTGTCCTGGCTGGGAGCCGGGCTGGGAAGGATGGGGAATATGAGATTTTGACGGGGAGTGTAGATGGGTCAGTGAGGAGCTACGATATTAGGATGGGAAAGTTAGAGACCGACGTCATTGGGGCGAGTGTGACGAGCTTGCAGAGGACGAGGGATGGGAAAGGGGTTCTGGTGGGAGCTTTGGATTCAAGTATCAGACTTATGGATAAGGACAGGGGAGGACTTCTCAAGTCCTACAAGGGCGAAAAGTGGAAGAACGAGGAGTTCAGACTACGAAGCGCGTTTGGCGGGAACGAGCGATGGGTATTGTGTGGGAACGAGAATGTCATGGGCGACGACGGCGAGGTTGCCATCTGGGATACTTTAAGCGGCCAAATCATCCAGAGGATACGTGTTGAGGGGTCCAAGGCCGAAGGGAAAAAGAAGAAGATTGGCCTGGATGGGAAGGAAAAGGAGAAGAGAAACGTGATAAGTTGCGTGGCTTGGAAGGAAAATGGACGGGGAGACCAATGGTGCTGCGGGGGTCAAGACGGGACAATTTCCGTGTTTGGCTCTGCGAGATAGAAAAAGTTCGACGCACTCTTTCTGCGAAAACCACTTCACGGTTTGAAGTACTTCGTACTATTGGGTTCAATCACTGGCATTTACCAAACAAGTTTTCCGGCTGAAGTGTGCCGGGTCGGTATTTCGCGTTCGTATATGTCAGGCTGGGTCAATCTGGCTGGAACCACCCGGTGCCAAAGCGAATTCCGCGCGACTCGTGCTGGAGACAAAAAGCAGCACTTGTTATCATCGACTTTGGGTGTCGCCTGGCACATTATAATTGGTGCTGCGTTTTCTGTCCGGCGCGAGCGTGACCTTTTCCCGGGAGGCACTCAAATTCGATACCCACAAAGTTCATTTCACAAGAAATGACACTGTCTCAGCATTATCATCAAAAGCTTGGTTGTCAAGCCCCTTCCCGGCGCGGTGAGCGGTTTCGGCGTCGATTTCGATATTCACGCCTCGCATTAGATTAGATTTGTTGGTTGGAAGTATCACACAGCATACAGTACCGTACGGAGTAGCGTGCCATTTTCGGTTACGAGAACATATTGGCCGGCAGACGCAGGTTAATTGCCGGACTACCGAACTATCCGTACTTTGTCCAAGCGACCAGGTTTCGTACGTCGTATTTATACCGGGGTGTCTATCTACCCCGGCCATCACAAAGCATTTGGTCAGCCATATCCTTCCCAACTTCCCGTGCCCATTCTGGTCCCCATCCCGGTCTACGTGCATATGCAGATGGACTAAAGGGGGTGTGAGAGTCGCGTGGCAGCGGACGCATTGCTGCGACCATGACAAGGGTGAAGAATCTACTAAAAATATGACTGGGCCGCTAAGCTGCTGCCGAAGGTATGCATAATCAATTATCTCTTCAGTTCTTACATCAGACGCGATGGTAATCTTGGTAACGTGATGGGGTGTTTTTCGTCGCTATTTCCTTTCTTGTTACTATTACAGTTTGTGCTACGAAGTCGTAGGAGCTATCAATAAGTTGTTTATGACAGCCTTGCTGCCCGCAATTTTCCATTACTAAACTGGCTCAGTGGCCAATCTATCCAATTTGTATGGGTGCTGAAATCCCCAGAGAGGGGTAACAAGCCGCGCGAAACGTTACATTTTGTGGATCTATTTATTTATAACCTTTATGATTGTTGGGGAGCCTATGGCAGGACTCGCAGTCGTAGTTCCAATTCGACTTCTCTGGGGATCGGCTGGTTGTTCAAGCCTCAGTCTGGAACTGAAGGGGCTGATTCACGGTGTTTGCTGGCTGTTGCTCAAAGCATAGGATGTGACTGAGACGTAAGCTATGCGCCTCGGTCTCAAGTGCTTGGCAGGAGTTTTTCTGTTGTCACTAGGTACTGCGTGTCCCGTACTGCTTACTACGACAGCTCAAAGATGTGGTAAGGTCACCTTCTCTTAACAGGTCCACCAGGTCCGCATATTGTGATGGCGGCGATGGTGAGAAGTGGGTCGGGGCTTGTGGTTGATTGTTGGTCCCAAGGCAGACTTGGCGGAGAAAGGGCATAGTTTAGGGTGATTGTGACGATCACATTGGGAGTAGTGTTGATACTCTGGTCCTGTGCCCTTTGCTGTGGGGTCGTTGCACTATGTCGCGTTGATCAAATCAGTCCTCGTCTAGTAACCAATGCTTGGAATTTAATATACAACTCTTGGATATTGAAAGGTCTACTTGGATCTGAGTCTTCCAAATCATCCATCACATCGCGTGTACTTGCCATCTGAGTTTGCCTCCCTAATTATTTTTTATTTCCCTCGAGAAGGTCTGCGTGGGGGATTCGAGGAGAGTTTAAGCGAACAGTGAAAAGGGGCGCATGCACGTGATTGTGTAAGGTTTCATCATAGCTGCCTGGGTAGCTATGATGATTGTTGACGGGGTAGATGCGGATAGGTGTGTGGTTTGTTGAAGGTGTGATCCAATGGTCACTGTCAGTTGCGCTGTTTCGTGAAGAACCTGTTAGATGTCTGGAAATATCTCTTAAAGTGCCTGTATTACATTTGTTTTTCTTCAGTTTGACGTCAGTAATTTAGGCTAGAAACTCTTATTTCCACAATTGAAGTGCAATTGAATTGTGGTCAACGATCTTGCTCGGGTTGGGCTTGTAGCCTCACTCACGACTCTGCCTGGAGTATTTGATACTTCTGCATTGTTATGTACATTTTTCGTTGATTGCTAATATAAAGTACATTGGACTCGGCATCCTGATGCCGTTGTCCCTACGCTATAAAGAGAGTCCGGTTTAGCTCAAACCACATCTTCGGTTGAAGCAGCCTCATAATCACTAGGATCTTGCTTGACGTATGGGGGTCTGAATAGCATGAGCGACGCTGTTTCAAACCATCACTCCTGACCGAGCTTACCTTGCCAAATTCTTTGCGGCCACGATTCCGGCAGCGCCCACAGCATAGGCCCCCAACAAATTGCTCCAAGATGTCTCACCGATTCCTCTCTGACCTACAGCTAACGCTATCAAATCGTACACGAGACATCCCCCAAAAATCCAATCGCTTGAAGTAGCAAGAGCACCAAAGCCCAGACCAGTCAAGACCTTCACCGCGGTCGAAGGACCCTGATGGTCGAAATAAGCGACGGAGCCGTTGTGCAAGAAATCAAGGACTCCAATTCCAGCAAACGTTTTAGACACAATGTGCGTGAGAACAGAAGAGGTGGAGCGAGTGTTCATAGGTGGGAGTCGCCCAAAGATGTAATAAAGTTGAGTGAAGGAGTTGATGAGGACGAAAACGTTTGCTGTCTTCAAAGCAGAGGCATTCCAGAATATCATCCATGCTGCAGACTGGTCAGTACAAGTTCTACTGCAGGACTTTGAGACATACTTCCGATGCAAATATTACCAACAGCGTAGTAAGGAACAAAATCGACCATCGTCTCGACCTCCTGCTTTTCCTCGGCACTCTTCTTCGGATCGAGTTTCCAGAGACGATACAGCCACGCTAATTGAAACAACTGTTGCGGGAAGAAGAAGCCAGCAATGAAGTATGGCTGAGGTGACCAGAAAGATAGGTTGGAATCATGGACATCTTTCATATTTGGGGAAGACATCATGCCATATTGCTGGGCTGCGAAGTCGAGGGCGAAAGAGAGGGGAGCCACCCAACGGGCAGTTGAATGTGATATCCCCATGATTGTTATTTTAGTTATTTTGAATTGACAAAATACTTCCTACTTGCTAGTTCATGGATTTTGTTTATATGCCTTCTTATACTGTTGTTGAGGTTATATTTTGAAGTCATGATGTCAGTAGACAGGAATGCACTAGTGATTTGGTCACGCTTTGGCACGTTGTTAACCTACATTGCTTCCACTCGTTATAGAAGAGTCAAGTTCTACAGATATAGATTTAGACAGATGGTATTTCAAGGCCTCATGAAGGGTGAAAACAAGATCAATTCAGCTTTATATTTTCAGTCCCGTATCACGTGATCATGGCAACTCTCCATCCCTTCGAGATTTGCGATCTCGTCGCTCTCTTTGTTGGCCTCATCTGTTGTCTCTCTTACTTGAGACCCACTGCCTTCTGGTATCCCTCGTGTGAGCGAATAGTTACGCAATCTTCTTTCTTCCTCGCTTAATCCTGACCCTCCCCCCTTTCTTCCAAGCTAGGAGCCCCTGACTAACCTCACGCCACCTTGCCCTAACGAAAAGCCGAAAGCAGTTTGCAATTCTATATCTAGAGTAGGAAATTAAGACACTTACGATGATACATGCCGCTTTTTATGTCCACCGCGAGGCCCCCCATAAAAAAGGCTACCCACCCCTTCCCCCCCCTGCCACACTTTATCTAACCATTCACAACCCTTAGCGCCTAGGATTCCCTAGCGTCGATTCCGATTTTTATATCTTTCCTTAGCGCTACGACGTGCAACAAAAAATTTAGGGTTTGTTAAGTATAAGGTCAAGGTAAATGATGGGTGGAATAACGAACGTAGGCGGCGAGTGAACGCTTCAAGAGACATGTTGCTATTCAATCAGACTTTTACGTCCTCATCATCCATACATTCTTCACAACTTCCCCTTCCCAGCTTTTTTATACAACTCCTGCTCCCACAGCGCAAACAGGCGGTTGAATTTTGGATCGCCCGCCGGTACTACCTGAGCACCTGCAATCCCACTTAATCCAGCCTTCCTATCACAAAACCACAACAGGTTGGGATAGCCTCCCCATGCCATCGTACCAGCTCTCCTCCCGCCTTCCACATCTTTCAGGAATATCATACCACCCAGCCCGTAGGTGATCTCCATTCCCGTCATCATACCTCCCCCCAAAGTCTCCCGGAGTGCTGGATCCTCAAGTCTTTTATTAAACACCGCTTTCGACGCAGCGGTTAGATGGTCTTGGAACATGTAATCGACAGTTTCTTTTTTCAGGATCTTGCCATCGTCGGCACAGATGCTGTGGAGCAAGTTCTGGTAATCGAGGATATTCCCATAGAGTCCTGCACCGCCGGAGCAGTCGGGCATGTTGAGGCCGAAGACCCTGTCCGCTGTGTACTCGACAGGAGCTTCGGGGTCGACTGCTGTGCCAAAAGGGGTGATACCACCGGATCTGACTGACATGTCTGTCAGATTGGCAAAGGTTGAGGGGTTCTTCTTGGGGTGGAAAGTGATAGAGCTAGCCCCAAGGGGATCTGTCCGGTGAATCAGTATGGAATTCTATAGGAACCGAAAGCCGAGCTCATATAGTCTACGAAGAACTTGCATGTATGGGGAAAAGTTGACGTACCCCAAATGTTCTTCTTCATATACGTCTCCAAATCCATGCCGGACACGCGCTCAACCATAAATCCAGCCCAATCAATACCTACACTGTACTCCCAGGAAGCTCCTGGTTCAAAGACCAGCGGGAACTTCAATGCTTCCGTAAGGGGCTTTTTTATGTTTAAAGTAGGAGTGAACTTATCAACGACAATACGATAGCGCATCATCGTTGGACCTAAAGATTTAGAAGAAGACTCAAAATCGAAACAGATCGAGCGACTTACTGAAGACGTCGTATGTGAGACCAGATGAGTGAGTGAGAAGATGTCTGCTCGTTTCGTTAGCTTTCCAAACCACTTTGTATCCAACCAAGGACTACTGACTTCAGAGTGATCGGCTTGGTATTCTCAGCCATAGTCGGCTGTGTATCCCCTGTATCGAACTTTGCCAAGATAGGAAGACCTTTGAGTTCAGGAAGAAGCCCAGTGACATTGTCATCCAGGTTCAACTGCCCACGCTCGACACACTGCATAACTGCAACACAGGTGGGAAACTTGGAACAGGATGCCATCCACATCGTGGCGTCTTTGGTCATAGGGTCAGACTTGGAAGGGTCCTTGAGAGAGCGGCTTCCAAAAACTTTCTCATATCTGAAGTTGCCTGGGTTCCATTAGCACATTTTGACTTCATACTGCAGAATTCCCCGCCAGCTAGCCTTAAAGATACTTGAAAGACCTCGGAAACTTCCTCCAACCAAGATTTCATGTCAAACGTACCTTCTCTATCATCCGCAACCATGAGGACCCCAGGAATCTCTTTATCCCTACACGCCCTCTCTATCCTCTGTTCGAAAGTTTCACTTGCCATTTTCCCTTTGTCTGAATGAATTATCTCTTCGAATTGCAATTCTTTCTCTTTCCCAGAAGCTACACTACTTGTATGAATATATCCGTTATTTCTACCTGTAAAGTTTGAGTCACACTGGTCCTGCAATCAATAACTCATCAAGATTTTAATAGTTGGAGGCGATGTACTTATAGTTGTAACATACCTCCGCACGACCCCTCACCCCCCACTCTCTTTAGCAACGTTCAACCCTGCGGCCGGGTGTTTGCTGCACATTCACACCAAGTCGAGCACGAGCTTCCCCGCTCTGTACAGGAAATATGGCCCTAGCCTAGTCATAACAAAAAAAAAAACCAATCAGAATAGCGACAGATTATGTACCTCCTTCAGGGGAGACTATCATTAGCTGGCAAAAGTTTGTCCCCGCTTTGGTCTTGATAATGAAGCTAGGCTTGTTGTTTGACATCGGTAGAAGAACATCTACCGAGCCGGGGTTCCGATATTGCCTCGGCGGGGTGGGTAGTTATCTATCCTCAGTGGGTGGAACTTCATATCTGAGCAGGCCATTCATGGTAGGAGTGGCTGGCTATGCTACTCGTATAGTCTACGGAGTAGTCGAGGTCGAGGTCGAGTCACCAGTCAATGACTTGATTACCTAAGCAAAATCATACTTCATAATTGGGTATCTCGTACCTCTAAACCTCAGATGGAATGGTTGCAAATATAATAGAACATGCAGCATATTAGTTCACCTATCTTCCAAGCCTAATGAAAAGACTTATTAACCTTCTGATCAGCTGCGCGGTCAAAACTTTCAGGAAGTCGTCTCACGACAAGCGATCAAACTCTTGAATTGTAGACTCCTGCAAAGAAGGGAGAAATCACTGGCGATTATATGGCATATGTGATCATGAAATCATATATCTTGGTTCTCCAGATAAAAGGAATAGTCTACAGTTATTGTCCAGTTCCCAAACACCTTGCAATGCTATTTTGCACCAATACCAATAGATAATACAACGAATCACTTCTTATACATCAACCCATCCCCACGTATTTGAACCAGTTCGGTCGGCAATCCTCTTTCATCAACCATGATTCTCCATCTGTGACTCGTCCGGTCACGCAGCCCTTGCATTTCGGTGAGTTGGGACAATTGAAAAACGGAATGTGTTGGTATCCGATGTCACGGAACCTATTCACACCAGTTAGCAAAATTCCAGGACACTTGGAAGCTTTGGCTTACCAATGAATCTTGCTCGAATCTTCAAATAAGCCCAGCGCAATACTGTGCACCGGCGCATCACCCCACCGCTCATAAAAGAAACCTCCAGCACGATCCAGGTGGTTGAAGTAATCCTCGTATGCCTGACTCCTCCAGAAGCTCATATCTGCAATCTCGAAATTGGTCCAGAAATGACAAGTTGAGTATCCATTCGCTTTCGAATTGTGATCCGGCCTCCTCTTGTTGTCCGTCACCCATGGCATTGCATTGTTCTCGTGCATATACTCCGGATGTTGCGCGAGGAACTTGGCCGTCTCGGGCCATAGGGTAGGAATTGATGCAGGAGCGTCGTATAGATTGATCGTGAATCCGTACGTCTTGTTTCCGTCTTGCATGTACCGGAACACATCATAGTCCACGTCGCAGAAGAAATGGACCTTGGGCTCCACACGCCAGTAGTATTGCGTATCCTTCAACGCAGGATGTTTGTAGAAAAGACCGCTGTTCCACCTGCACATCTGATGGTAGGATTTCATGGATCCATACTGAATATCGTTTTCCTTGAGGATTTGCGCCGACTCTTGAAATAGCTCTTCATTGATCCACGAGGGGACATCCCAATGCTCAGCAGGAATGAGTTCTAGATAGGAAATATGTCAGCCACGGTACAGACGAAGCTCAAAAGGAGCCCTACCATATCTAATTTCTGCCTTCGTTTCTGCTCGAGTCTTCTTCTTGAATTCCTCTGAGAAGGGCTTGTCATTGAAGAAAGTCCAGGGATAATTGAACTTGGAATTCCACGTTTGCTCGAGATCTCGCATAGCTTGTACTATCCCATCCACCTCTTCATTGCGGACCAAAGACAGGAGAGTCGCATTTATTCGAGATGTGCCCTCAGGACCAGGCTCGTATCCTTTACCTGCCCGGCGTAATATAACACCCTCGGGTTCTCCAGTTACTGTATCTCAAATCAGTACAAATCTTTGCTTCTGCTAGGAGAGCAGGTGGGCGGGCGCATACTGTCCAGATTTGGATCTCTCTCCATGTTCTCGACATGTTCGCCGGGAGCCTTTGGAGATCCTCTGGGACCAAACACTTGGTATAAGAAGAAAACCCATAGCCCAATGGCTAACAAACCCAGGACACGAATGGGGCGTGCCACGGCCATGTTGTTGTCGTCTGAATCGTGTGTTGTGGATATATTTTTAAAGATCCCCCTTTTACCCTTAGCGGCTCTTGCCGTCAGATATTCGTCAACCATGTCGTCGGGTGGCGTTGGCGTAGCGTTGACAGGTTTATGGCCTTAGTTACCAGGCACAAACCGATACAAGTCGCGTCTCCCAGGCGCGTATGTCGGAACTTTACTTTACTTCACTTGCAATGTAAAGTCAATATACTCGATACTCCACTCTACTTTAGACATATTCTCATAATGGCGCATCTCGTAAAGCTGGGTGCTCTGACCGACGAACTAGTGACACTGCTCACGTCTGCTTCTGCGGAGGTAAATAATCTGTTGATACAATGCGGTCCGGGGACTGATACAAATTGCAGAACGAACCTGCAAGATTCAACGCCCATAGAGAGTCTGCATTGCGAGCATTACGGCATAACAGCTATCTCCGAACGAACCAATTTGACGTCACTAGCAGACTCGATGGATTGGAGGAGAAGTTCCGAGTCTACAATGAAGACTCTTTGGCTGATGCGCTGAAAGAACGGATGGACAAACTGTCGAAGAAGGATATAAAATGGGCGCGAGATATTGCATTTGCTCCTCGAGCTGTCAGATAGACCCCTTTCAAAATCAAGGCTTGAGGATCTCGAGTTTCTGATCGAACCGGAACCGAATATTGAACCGCCACTGCGATGGAAGGACCTTGCGGCCGAGGACCCTCTTCTGCGGGATAAGAGCATCTGGAAGAATGTCGACTTTGGCGCTGACAGCTCTGATGAAGATGGATTTGAGGACAGTCGGTCCGAATTATCTGGCACGACCGAGACGGATCAATCGAGTGTCGACGAGGACATGAATAAACGACCGGAAGACTACGCCGTAGCAATAACGGATCATGAAGACTTGGACCGGTTAAGAGAAGCGCAATTCTGGCTCAAGAACCCCACTGTTGGTGGGGTCAAGCTAGAGACAGTGAAGAAGCCCATCACGGAGCTCCAGGCTGTACGTGAAGTTTTATTTATGCTTGCGGGATATCCAACTTCCCTATTCGAGACCAAACCCAAAGAGCCTACCATAATTGTACCGTCGAAGAACTATGCCCTCAAACATGCTTCAGGGGATGCATTCTACAAGTTGGCTAAGGATTTGGCAGACTACGGCTCGTCGCTCATGAGTCTTCGGGGGTGGGCGAAGAGACCTCAATCAATCCCATTACTTCAAGTTTTCAATGGATCTATTTTGGCACGAATATCAGAGTTCGAGAGCCTATTGTCAAGCATCCAACAATGTTTTGTTGAGCCAAAAGAAGATATCATCGTCAGCCTTCTCAGTGTTCAAGCAGAGATAAATCCCTATGTGGAACCTTTAGTCCGACTTTCTGGGATAACGAAAAAACTCGATGCAGAACCATATGCCCACGCATTCCGGTACTTGGAGTTGCTGTACGATGAAACCTGCACTTCACAAATGGCGGGAAATGACCAAATTTACGCATTCATGGGAGATATATTCTTCGAGTGCTTTCAAATATACCTTCGACCAATCAGGATTTGGATGGAGGACGGAGATCTCAGTCATGGGGATAAAATTTTCTTCATATCGGAGGCTTCAGGACAAGTAGAGCCGGCCGCGCTTTGGGAATCTCGATATAAACTTCGCCAGACTCAGAATGGCATTTTGCATGCACCTAGCTTTCTCAGAGCGGCTGCCAGCAAGATCTTCACGACGGGTAAGAGTGTTGTGGTCTTGAAGCACCTGAATCAATACCCTCTGATGCGGTCTTTCGAGTCAAGCCTGGAACCCCATTTGGACTTCGAGACTGTCTGCGATCCTTCCAAGCTCCGGCTTGCCCCTTTTCAGGAGCTCTTTGACGTAGCATTTGACGCCTGGATTCAAAGCAAACATCAATATGCCTCATCGACCCTCCGAAGAATACTTTTCGATTCTTGCGGCCTGCACACTTCCCTGGAGGCAATGTCCCAAATCTATTTCATGGCTGATGGTTCAGCTGGAGCCGCTTTCACCAACCCTTTGTTTGACAAATTGGATACCTTAGATAAGTCTTGTAAGAGAAAAATCCTATCTATTTCTTATTCGTGCAAGATGTGTTTCTAGAGCGTCTAATCCAGACATCCTAGCAATGTCTCGCTGCCCTGGAAATATTCATCCACACTCTGAGAAATTTCCCAAAAACCAAAGCTAACCTTTCATTCTCCACAGGGAATGACCGGTTCACACTGACCGAGCTAGTGAGGAGTGCATTTGGTGTTCTGCCATCCACCAATCCGGATCGTATACGCATTAACATTTTGCCACTTTCACGCAGAAGTCAAGATGCAGGGAAATGCAGGAGAACCGTCAAAGCTTTGTCAATCATCGAACTCAAATACCACCTCTCTTGGCCAATTAAAACAATCATAACTCCCGCAACCAACACTTCGTACCAGCGAATATTCACCTTTCTCTTTCAAATTAGAAGGAGCTCCCACATTCTCCATCGTCAGCGCTTAGTTGCAGATATCCTTACAAGCAACAGTAGTTCTGATGAACGTGCTCTCTACTACTCACTTCGAACACGTCTACTGTGGTTCATTCAGACATTGCAGTACTATGTCACATGCCTAGTCCTGGCTCCAGGTTCGCATAAAATGCGAGAGGCCTTGAAAGCGGCCATTGATGTTGACAATATGATTGATGCCCACTCGAACTTTATCAAATCCATGGTGGATCGAGCATTACTTGGACAACGTCTTGAGTTGATCCATAAGACAGTTCTCAAGATTTTGGATCTTGCAATTAAGCTCGAGGACGCCCAAGCGGCCAATGCTGTTGCCAACAAAGAGTTTATGGAACGGCAGCAAGAAATGATGGAACACTCAATGGGCGGTCTGGGATTGCAGACCCAGAGGAAAGGGCGGCAGTCGATGTTTGTGAACGAGAAGGACAGCAAGGATAAGGTTGAAAGTTCTGACGATGAGGGGAAGGAAATCGACGTTGATCTCAGCATCCTCTCGGTTGATGACGGCCAGGGACAAGTATCATATGTAGAAAAGCTGAGGACTATGAGAGCAGACTTTGATAGGTTGGTACGGTTCGTGGCTAGTGGATTGAAGGGGGTCGCAAGAGCTGGGAGCGGAGAAGACGCCCGGAGTTGGGACACGCTTGGGGAGATGCTTGAATCAGGCCTTGGATCTGGGACGATGGGAAGGTACTGATGGCTGTAGTAATTGGCATATAGGTAAGATACGATACATGTATGGTTAAAAACATGATTAAGAAAGCCTTAAACGGACGTGGGGTACCTTACTCCGTAGCTCTTCCTCCTAGCCAATGAGTACCTAGGTAGTTGCCCATTTCAAGTCAATACCATTATAATTATACATCCTTGTATTGAGATTGTCTACAAAAGTCGCATTTTATAGATCTTTCTTTCTACGCCGTGTAAAGCGATACTTAATATATTATTATACTGTTACACGCTGATATGCAGCCCCGCAACCTCCGTCGCCTTGAGTTCCCAGCCCAACCCCGCATCCCGCAATAAATGACCTTCCTTCCATCATTTCTCCATCATCGTCATCTCCGCATTTCTTTTGCTGTCCGTAAAGGTCGGATAGTAATCATCGCGGGCAGTTTTGTTCCGAATGAACGAATCAGAAGCAGCATCTCTCGCCGGCGCGTTGACCTTCCTTTCCCGATACGCTAATATCCGTTGTTGCTTTGTAAGGAAGCATTTAGCATATGCTGTTATCTGCCTCCCTCCCTCTTATCAGCGTCATGATCCGCTTTTTGTGTTGAAAGCATTCCCTCTACAACATTACAACTACTTTGATTTCTCTGTCTTCTTGTAAACGTGGAGATTGGCTTTTGAGGATAATATAATTTCTTTCCAGTATGGCAGATTTTGATTATGTTTCCCACGTGGATGCTACAGAGCCTATGAAAGGTCCAAAGCCGCCGGCGGATCTCAGTCATCATTTCTCCAGGGTGACGGTTGCGAGGAAGGAGAGCAAGATCAAGGAGTTTTATAAGTATTTCCAGATTCCTGGAATTGGGAATTTGGCTGGTGGTGAGTTCCGTTTCATTCCAAGGTCTACTTCATTTGCCCCCACTCTCCCACTCTGGGGAAGCTATAGAGTACAATGTTAATAGCCATATTCAGGCCTCCCCAACGCATCTTTCTTCCCATACGATACACTGGAAGCCCAAATCGCACAGCCAGAACGCTTCAATCCCACACCAAACGACCCGAACGATCCCAGCGAACTCCTCGCCTCAACGACCTTGAAGAAGAACCATGATGCCACTGCTGCTTCTCACATCACTGTTCCCCATGCATCAGCATCTCCAAACCCTCTGCAAAACATTGACCTGACCACTGCACTGCAATACGGAACAGCGCAGGGTTACCCACCACTCTACTCATTCCTCAAACAGTTCACACGCGAGAACCTGCATCCTAATGTGCCATACCTCGATGGGCCAGAGATCATCCTGACAAACGGCAATACAGATGGCTTTTCAAAGTGCCTGGAGGCCATGAGCAATGTTTGGAGCGAGGAACGGGATTGGATTAGAGAGAGGCCGGGGCTCTTGTGCGAGGAGTTTGCGTATATGAATGCAGTTCAATCCGGTGGACCCAGGGGTCTGCAGATTGTGCCGGTGAAGATGGATTTGGAGGGCATGCTACCTTCTGGCCCGGGTGGGTTGCAGGATGTGTTGGAGAATTGGGACGAGTCAAAGGGATTGAGGCCACATTTGATGTACACCGTGACGTGAGTACCCTTCGTTTTCTAATAATATGTCTCTTGCTAACAGAATCCACAGCATTGGACAGAATCCTACTAGTAGAACACTGTCCATCCAACGTCGTAAGGATATCTACGCCCTTTGCAGCAAGTACGATGTCATTATTATTGAAGACGAGCCATACTGGTACCTGCAATACCCGTCCGCAATCGGCAAGCAAGCCGAAACTCGTGGCGAATCTCTTCCAGCTGCACAAGAACCCCATAAATTTGACAAATCGACCGGGTATGAATACTTAGACAGTCTCGTCCCCTCATACCTGAATTTTGACCCTGACGGACGAGTCCTCCGCCTCGACACATTCTCGAAGACTGTAGCACCAGGCTGCCGCCTTGGCTGGATCACTGGCCAACCTGCTATCATTGAACGGATTCTTAGAATTACAGAGAGCTCAACCCAACAGCCATCCGGATTCGTGCAATCAATGGTTGCAGAGCTGCTCATAGGCCCTCAGCCTGCAGCCGCCGAATTCGCCAAGAAGTCAAAGGCTGGCCAACTCGCATTCTCGGGCTGGCAAACAGATGGCTGGGTCCGCTGGCTCTCTGGCCTTCGAGGAGCATATGAGCGTCGTATGACCCGAATGTCTGAGATCCTCGAAGAAGGCCGTTTCCAGCTTAAACAGGGAACGCCTATCAAGTCCAGCGAGAGCGACTGGGCTGTTATCTCTAAAACGAAGATGTATTCGTTTGATTGGCCACGCGCGGGCATGTTCTTGTGGATGCGGGTGCATTTTGAGGCGCATCCGCTCTGGGGCAAGGTCGAGGGAGCTAAGCTTTCGAGAGCGCTGTGGATTTATCTCACTACCAAGCCATACTTGGTTCTGTTGGCCCCGGGACAGATGTTCAGCCCTACACCGGAGATCTCAGAGCAGGAGGGATGGAAATATTTCAGACTTTGCTTTGCTGCTGTGACAGAGGATGAGGTGGACAAATCATCAAAGCGGACTGCTGAGGGTATTAGGGACTTCTGGTTGATTAGAGATGAGAAGGAGCTGGACGATATTGAAGGCACTGTGAACGGAGAGGGAATGAGGGAGGGCCTTATGGACCTGGGTATGAATTGGGCTTGTTAGGCACACGGGTCGACAAATTGGTTTTTTATTTGGAATATAGAATGAAGTCGTACCTCTGAGAGGGTGGGTGGTTGACTATGATCTAACGCAACGTCACGCAACATGATGAAGAATAACAATTATGCAAACAAATTTAATATGCGCGGGCTACTACTTACATTATTTCCATGCTATGAATCTCTTCTGTTGTTGCAATCATTCAGCACATTCTTCTGTACAGAGAAAGGGCCATCAATTTACCCCCGAGTCCAGCAACAAATCCGTTATCGACGATCAGCCAGGTACTCGGACTCGGAGTAGGACAAAGAAAAGTTACAGTAAACCCCACCTTCCACGCCCCACTTCGCCACCCCTGTCGGGTATATTATTATCAACACCTACAAGTACACACAACTTCACAACCTCCAGCCATTGCACCCGCTTGCTCTTAAGCAGCCCAACAATTGATCAATATACTTCATCCAAACACCTACAAAATGGAGAAAATAACCGACAAAATCGCCGCCCTACCTCCGGGGACCCCGTACTTCTCCCTCGAATTCTTCCCCCCAAAGACAGCAATGGGCTCCTCGAACCTGCGCGCCCGTCTAGACCGCATGTCCCGCGCTCTACGGCCTCTATTCGTGACCGTGACATGGGGCGCCGGCGGCAGCACCGCAGAAAAGAGTCTGGAGCTGGCGGAGCTATGTCAGAGGGAGTTGGGACTCACGACATGTTTGCATCTGACGTGCACGAATATGAGTAAGGAGCTCGTGGACAAGGCGTTGGAAGATGCAAAGGCGCTGGGGGTTAGGAATATACTTGCGTTGAGGGGCGATCCGCCGCGGAGTAACGAGTACGGAGCGGAGACGGCCGGGGAGGTAGAAGAATTTGAATGGGCTATTGATTTGGTGAGGTATATAAGGAAGGTGTACGGGGATTACTTCTGCATTGGCGTAGCTGCGTATCCAGAGGGCCATGCAGATGAAAGTCACCCTGAAGGCCAGTCGGTGGAGCATGACCTTCCCTACCTGGTGGAGAAGGTGAAAGCTGGGGCGGATTTCATTATGACACAGCTTTTCTTCGATGTGGAGGCGTATGATGCCTTTGAGAAGCGGTTAAGGGAACATGAGAGTGGAGTTTTCAAGACGATACCGATTATACCGGGCATGATGCCTATTCAGAGCTACCAGATGATCAAAAGGACCACGAAGCTCAGCAATGCGAAGATGCCGCTGAGTATCACGGAACGTTTGGATGTCGTTAGGGGGGACGACGAGTTGGTCAAGAAAGTTGGGGTGGATATCGTCAGTGAGATTATCACGCATATTAAAGATGAACCTGGACCTGGACCGCGCGGATTTCACTTCTACACTCTCAACCTAGAGAAAGCCGTCTCATTTATCCTGGAACGAACGAAACTCATACCCGCCTCACCCCCAGACCCCGATTCCGAATACGCCATAATCGATCTCCCTCTCCAATTAGACACCAACGGCTCGGAACCCTCCCAGAAGAAGCCCTCCCGCAGACAATCCTCAGTAGGCTCCGACCCCTACAACAGAATAATAATCACCGCCTCCTCAACCTCGCACCCTTCGCACGAAGCCACGGCCTCGGAAGCAGGCCGGCCAGCCCAAGCCGTCAACACGCGCGCCAACACACTCGCTATCTCCGAAGG